CAGGTTAGACCCCTATATCTAAGATTAAGTAGTAATACCTATAGAAGGAAAAGTAGTAACTAGCGCTATAATAGTACTTTAAGCGCTATACGTTAGAGAATATACGCTACTAAGAGGTTTACTAATACTATATATTTAAAGTCGAGTAAAGAGAAGCTTCTAGTTCTTAATAGACGAAACTATAGTAATAGACTATTTTATAGAAGACTCTATAAAGTCTATTATATAAATTAGTAGCTACTATAAGCTTACTTCTAGTACGAGAATAGCTTTAATATAGCCGTTACTAATAAAGCTAATAGAAGATTAATAATAAAGTAGAAGTAGACGATTACTATAAATAAATTCGGCGACCTTTCTACTTTACTATAACTAGTTTAGCGTAGAATTAGATACCTTAGCGCCGTTAATATACTACTAAAAGGAGTTAATACTATATAGATCTATATTTCGTATTATCTAGTCTTATAAGATACTATACTAAGTACTTCTACTTCGATAGAATTAGATCGGCTTCTCTAGACTAGTAAATACTAGTACGAATTAGCTAATATCGTTAATAGGTACTTTCTATAATATATAGTTACTAAATACTCTCGCTAAGATTATTACGTCCTTTATTAATATATTTAATAAGTAACCTAATTAGATAGCTATTCTAATTAGGCTAAATTAGGCTAAAATCTAAGATTCTAAAAATATAATAATATAATAACGCCGGTAGATATAGTATTTAAATAAAAGCTAAGAAAGATATTAGAAGTTCTAGGTCTAGGTTTATAGAATAAAGTAATAGCTCGTCTCTATAACTCTCTCGTTATAGTAGTCCTACTACTTTTTTAAGGCCTATATCTTAATTTTAAGCTCTATAGTACTATAGTAAGTCCTAGACTCTAGGAAATTTATATTGTAATACTCCTCGAGCTATAATTAAAGTACTAAGGCTATAGCTATCTACGTTGTCGTGTTATCGCATTTCAAAAATCTTAGATTTTGGCCTAATTTAGCCTAATTAGGATAGCTGTCTAATTAGATTGCTTATCAAACACGTTAGCGCTCCTTCGCCCTCAATTGGACCACAGCCCCACGGGCTTGCCCTGCGGCTCGAGACGATCACTTTCAACCTTGAACAAACGTCGCCAGAGGTTCATACTGCCATGTATCGCTGTCTGAGTAGGCCTGGCCATGTCACCTTCACAGTTACTCAACAGCCACCGCTTGAAGGGTCTTAGCGTCATCGTCTTTGCCCTCTTCGCGACTTATATCCTCTGGAGCAGGCTGCTGCCCGCCTTCGACTACCTCCTACGCCCACGTTCACACCCTGCGCTGATCACGGACATCGAAGCACCGCGCTATGAAAACATCACCGCGCATTTGGTGATCGCGTCGACTTTGAAAGAAGACACGGCATGGACCGCCAACCTCCAGATACCCAACCTCAAGATCCTACGATATGTCGCCGATTCAGCTGCCGCAGAATATCGACCAGCAGCATTCAACAAAGGCCGAGAAGCGTTGATGTACTTTACCTATCTCCACGACTTTTACGATGACCTTCCGGACGTCAGCATCTTTGTTCATGCCGATGAAACACCTTGGCACGTCGAAGGCACTCTACTGCGCAACACCTCCTTTGCACTTTCAAGGCTCGATCTTCAGCAAGTGATCAAAAGACAATACTTCAATCTACGCGTCACGTGGCGAGCATCTTGTCCGGCTTGGATCAATACCTCGAATGACTTTTCCAACTTCAAGAAGCCCGAGGAGCCGTACATGAAGGAGGCGTGGCGCGCCAACTTTGGTGAGGATGACGAGGTACCTGAAATTCTTGCCGGGCCTTGCTGCAGCCAGTTCGCAGTCTCACGAGAAGCAATCCGAAGCCGACCAAAAGAGCAATACGCACGGAGTGTAAAGTGGTTAACAGAGACGAAATTCAGCGACCACATTGCTGGCCGCGTGTGGGAGCACATGTGGCCATATCTCTTCAAGAAGGAAGCCAAGGACTGCGCGCCTGAAATTTCAAGTCTCTGTGAACTGTACGGCATTTGTTTCAAGAATGTGAAAGAGATCAATGAGTACAAGGAACTATGGGAAGAAGTCGAGAGATTGAAAGAAGTCATGCAATTCCATCGAGCCGTATGGAACCCCAGAAAAGCAGCCGAAGCCAGACGGAAAATGGATCAGGTCGGAGATGAAATAGAGCACAAGATGATAGAAGTGCTCCAGCGGCACCAGTCACCCAGCACTGGCAAAATGCTTGCGCGACAAATACGATAGACAGCATACGTGATACAGTCTGCTACCGCAGCACACCACGAACCATTCCCACCTACTCACTTCACCCTCTCCTCTTCTTTCAAAGGATCAATATCAACCTTTGGCCCCCTCGGCATAACAACCCCCTCCAACTCCTCATCTCCCACATCCCCACCCTTCAACATCCTCCCCCTCGCCCTCGCATACCCATACCTATACGCCTCAAAATTGCTCGTCTGTTTAAAAACCCCACCTCTCGTCAACTCACTTTCATCCCAATATAATCTCCTCAACCAAAGATATAAATTCGGATAATCGTGTCGAATTGACTTTAAATTAGTTTGGAAAATTGTATGATAAGCTGCATCGAAGCGGATCAAAGTTGTGAAGAGTCGGATATCGGGTTCGGTGATGTGGGGGCCGAAGAGGAAAGGTTGGTGGGATGGGTCTGAGAGGTGCGATTCGAGACGGTCGAGGGAGGTGAAGAGGGGGTAGATGTTTGTGTCGTAGGCGGATTGGGTTGTGGCGAAGCCGCATTTGTAGACGCCGTTGTTTACGGTGTTGTAGACTACACAAAGCATATAAGTAAGTAGACTTGGAGGTTTTTGTTTGGGTGTGGTAGTGAAGTGAGGTGACATACCCCATTCATTCATCTCATCGATTTCTTTCCGCAAATGTTCGGGATAGAATCCACCGCCTTGTTTATTCTCTTCTCGAAGCTCGGGAGGCAGGAGGTCATCAAATTCTGTATAGAACATGCGGATGATCTCGCTTGACTCGTTGCTCACAATGGTCTCGTTTTTCTTATCGAAGAGACAAGGAACGGTATATCTTCCCGTGTACTCCGGATCGACTTTGAGATAAAGTTGTTTGAGTCCTGTGAAACCATATAGCGGATCTTTGCCTTCGGAGCCATTCTTGCCTGGTTGATGGACATTCAGTCAAAGCAGATAGATGATGAGTTGCGGATGAATTTCGACGAACCTGTAAATGTCCAGCCGTTACTCGTCAGATCAAAGTCCGTTGCGATCATTTGGATATGATCTTCCAAGCCTTTCAGTGCTCGCACGATAGATGTTCTGTGAGCCCAGGGACATCCATAGTTCATGTATAGTGCATATCGACCACTTTCGGCGGGGAACTTCGAGTTTGGGTCTTTGGAGATCCAGTCGCGGAAGGCGCTGTCTTTGCGGCGGAAGTGGCCGTCTCTGTCTGAGTGTGCGTGGGTGACAGTTGCTCCGTTGGTAGACATTGTGCTGAGTGTCATTGATCAATTGTGTTGGATGCTTGATCACTTCAACTTGAGCTGATGCTTATAGCTCTGACTTGCATGCATATCGCCGAGGCCTCGATCTGGGGTTTGTCATGCTTTTGTCATAGGGACGGAACAATTCCTTTGAACTGAAGCCGCATAATTACTGTCAATACATTAATGAAATATTGATGAACTATGCCGTATCTCCATTTCTTCACGAAGTCCGGAAGATTTGCACGCCACACAGCTCCTCTTCTCTCTCGGCGCATGCAGACTGCAACAGGTCGGCACAAAGCTTCTGCAGTTGCGATCGTGACGAAGCAAAGTACTTCCAGCATCACCCTTTTCCCACCCTTACGAACAAAATCTTGGTGCGAAGCCTGAAAACCTATGTTTCCTACGCCTGACGTGGCTGCGATGCTGGGAGGTGCCCATTAGATTCCCCAATGTGGCCTAGGCGTAAATAGTGTCCCTGTCGACGGGTCGCGCTCTTGAAGGTCTCGGTGATTTGATCATGGACACGACAATGGAGGGCATCACTGATGTCTTGCTCTGCAGTGCTCAGTCTCTCAATTTGAACGAGGCCTCCAGAACACATGTATCTTTCCGCGACCTTGTCAATGGGGCTGAAAGTTCAGAGAAGAATGCACTCTGAGATGCGTTATCGAATGCATGCCACTGTTGCCGCGATCCGACGAGGGCCATGGCTAATGCGGCTTAATGGGGAACAATGGCCTTCGGCTGAGCGCCGCACGACATTGAATACAAGGATTCCGTCCATCCCAAGTTTTGTCCTGAGTGGTGGTGGTCAGGTGATGCGGTACATCTGTGTTGTGTTTTCGCGGAACCTTGATATCGCATCGCTTCTGAGATGCAGGTCCACGTCGATTCGAATCCTCCGGGAAGGGAGTCCAGATTCCAAATGATGCGCAGATTCAACCAGGATAGCGCAATGATTATGGTGCTGCCGCACCCATTTCGAAGCAACAGAGCACCTGCTCTTCAGTGTTCCATCGAGCTCAATCATTCCACCCTCGTTCTTCCATAATCTCGAACCTCTCCTGGAAGGTCTTTTTGACCGAATCCCTCATCAACAAACGCTGATACCAATCGTAAGTCCTTGGCCATTCCCGTCGCCACTCGACCTCAAAATTCTCGACGAAGCTCCGCATCAAGGTTGTTGATATCGCTTCTCTCGACGCCACGTATAATAGGTCCGCATATGTGATACGATCGCCAATAAGATAGAGATTGCCGGTCGCTCCTAGATGGTTCTCGATGGTCGCGAGGGTTCCGCGTACCATGTCGCCGTAGAATTCGTGTGTAGAAATGAAGCTTTCTTGTCCCATTAAAGATTCATGGCCTCCAAATTGATGCCAGGCCCATTGCTTGGTATGCCAGACTTCTGGAAATGAAGTATAGCGTAGCTTGTTGACTTTGTCGTACATTTCTTCGAGATAGTCCACTATGGCTCCAGACTGCAAGGTGTGTATCAGTCAGCTGTTCATTGGATGACAAACACTCAATTCGGGCGGCATCGCATCGTTGCCAAAGGTGATGCTTCATCAGGGGGCATTCTTACCTCCCAGAGTACGATACCAGTATTAGGATCTTCCATAGCCGGTCCACCGCGTATAAGCTCGCATGGTGCAGAATTAGGGTCCTCTTTGATGGCTCCTACATCAACCACTTTCAGGATATAAGGAAGGTGCAGCTCCTTGAGGATCACGACGACTTTACAGAGCTGTGGTCCTGTAATGTCTCCGTAAACACAAATCGGTGATAGGGCTTGTCGTTCCACGGACACCACGGAGGCGCCAGATGATTTTGGTTTCTCGAGCATCGGAGGAGGCGGATTTGACACCGCTAGCAGCTTACACACAAACGAAAAAGCCAGAGACGAAGCATGGAATGACTGCTTCCTTCGTTTCGATGGTGGCCTCGTTGATGGATTCGTGGAAGTACTGCTGGATGGCTTGGAATAGATGGTCGAGACCGGGGACAAACCCTTCGTCGACGATGCTTCACTGAAACTGTGCATCTTGCGCGGTTGTCATCAGGAAGATTGTTGATGACGATTTGCTGATTGCGAGAGGGGCATGCAGAGCAATATGCGATCGGTGATGGGTCGAAACGATGCCGATACTTCGGGGGATGCTCGTGCGCAATGCGCTTGTGATGGCGGACACATGCACCGGCCTATTCAATCCCTGTAGCTCGAGCTCCCTTGCACGTCCCATTTCGGTTGGACTGTAGTTCTGCACATCAGTTACAGTGATCGGTGAACAGCGGACGACGACCCTATAGTGAGCGACTCTGCGCAGGCTCGTAGGTACTGTAATGAAAGTATCAGTAATCACTTGTACGCTGCGGTTGTTCTGGGAGCAGGGTCAATCGAAGCGACTTTGGAGATCACCATGGCCGGTGATGGACTTTTCGCTTGGAAAGACTCAATGCATCGGAGCAGGATGATAACGGCAACGCCTCTGCTCTCGCTTCATGCCATGATGGCGTTGGTCTCGCGTGTGTCACTGCAAAGCAACGAAGCCATGTTCTTTGGAAAGTGGCCAGTAGCGATTTGTTCCGCAGTTTCTCTTCTCACGTGTCAGCGTTTAAGCGGCCGATGCTCACAAAGCAGTGATAAGAAGAGAGTGTTCTCCGTCCGGCTCACGATAGCGTGCGACTCGCGAGACCAAAGCAGAATTTGCGAGAAGATCTTGTGAAGCACTGGTGATCATCCGAGGATTACTCGAGATGTATTTCTCAATCGCACCACAGCCGATCATGCATCGTTTGGGGACTTGCAATCACGAGTCGCAGGGACCTGCAAGCGGTGAGCATGGCGGTGCGGCCCAATACACTGTACTGCGCGAAGAACAACACCGCAGCGGAGAGTGCTCCGCCAAAGCGAGAAAATCTCTGTTGCTCACGAGCATTCACAGAGATCGCTAAGGGCTGTTGCTCGCCAAGCAAGAGAATGGTTTCTTGAAAGACCACCATTGGCAGCGTGTTCCACACGTGCGTTAGCTCCGGCATATCGTCATGTGTAGAACTAGTTCCTGAACATGATCGGAGTTCGGAGAGTACCCCAAACATGTCTTGGAGAGTAGTGGTGAATCATCGCTCGTGCGGGTCGAGATTGAATAATGCCGAATGCGACGGAGAGATTATTCTGCTGCTAAGATCTCACGCGCGTCCCGCGTGAGCTGGCGCTGAGACTCACGTCTCAACTCTCGCGGTCATGATGACGGACATCCGAACGACTGTCTGATCCATCGCCAAGATGTCAAGGATGCTGAACGAAGATCACGGAGATGATGTGGTGGAGGTGTCTCGCGGTTGTTGATGTTGGCAGGAGAGAGAAAACTGGAGAAGGAAAGCGTCACAGCCAAGCCAAGCATGGTCCTTGCATGATCCTTGTCCTTGACCAAACTTCCCACGAATGCCTCAGCCTTAAATCAACGACGCCCAATAAATGATCGCGTGCACAACTGTTCTCGCAAAGAGTGAGAGCGCGTTCTGTTCATGTTCCACTCGATCCAATCGGCGGAGGTCTATTCCTCTTCAGTCCTGTAAGCCTATTTCACTGTCGTCTAAGGTAATATCTTCGTAAGTGCCGCATCCTCTGTATCTCTATAAGGCCCCAGCGGTATGGAGATATTCCCGCTCCAGCCAAGATCGCCTTGAGCCTTCTGGAGTGTGCTGGCAACCTTGCCAACCACATGTGCAATCCATCTATCATTGACAAGTCCGGTTACAGCAGCCTTCTTCATCCCATCTTTGGCAGTTTGATGCCAGTCCTTTGCGATATCTTTGATTTGCGCTTTCGTTGTCCCATCTCTCAGATTCTGTCGAAGATTTTTGGCAAAGACTTTGAATCCGGCAACTTCCCTCAGACTAATGTTGGTTTCTGACCTGGCATCTGGTGATGCAGCATCAAGTCCGGCCTCCTCATCACCCGTCGGAGATGATGACATCGGCGTATCGTGAGGTTGCACCTCTTCCTCAACGGTCTTTTCGAGCTCGATGATCTTGGTCGCTTTAACCAGTGCCGCGATAAAGTTGAGTAGGCTCTGATCGCAGGAGACTGGCAGGCTGCCATGTACAGACAATCTGATGTTGGTCTCGTCTTTCTTCACTTGTTTCAGATGCTGTGCAGCTTGCACAGCTTTGGGCAGACCATCGGCTTCGACAATCTGCACTTCAAGCTCGTGCTCATCCACTTCATCAGGCAGCCGCGGCAGAATGTGTTCATGGTGAGGCAGCAAATACGTTGGTATCGTAAAGGTCGCGTCAGCCCCACCAAGACGCATGACCTGAGTTACAACACCCGATGCTGGGATGGTGCGATAGGCCAGGACATCATCGAATTTGAGGTAAGTGACGATATTGTAATTCGAGTTCAGCGGCACTTGGCCGAGGCCGTCGATGTCGGTAAGTTGCACGCAGAAATTGGCATCCGCTGTCCATGTGGAGACTTTGCGTTGCAGTTTCCGCAGTTGAGAATTGTTCTCGGTATACTGCTTGAACACCTGTTGCTGCAGCAGACTCGATAGCCACTTTCCGGAGCCAGCTGCATTGATGCTTGCCATGCTGACAGGATGTAGGTAGCTGAGAGGGTTGAGTAAAAGCCTGAGAAGAAACGGTAGCCGATGCAAGAAGCGTCGCACGTATGGCGGCGATGAGTTCTGTAAAGTTGTGACGCGAATTGACCTTCGTGGTGGATGGGGCACAGATGGGATCTCTTGCAGTGCTGCACATACTGCTGCTCGCATATCCTTTTCGTCTTCCAGCTTCCGACCATTGCTCTTAGCATTCTGGCGCACCTGCTGCCTTGACTGATACACTGCGCTCGATGTGCGGATTTCTGTCAGTATTTCATGATATTGTTGATCTGCAGCTTCGTCGTCTGGATCTAAAGTCTTGATCGTGTCGGCGGCTTGCTGCACTGAACTGTCTCTCATATAGCTCACTCCGGTCAAGGTTTCTCTCAGTTTGGGCCTGTCCGACATGACTTTGGCTTTCGCAGCAGCAGCCTTCAAAAGTGGTGTATCATCCAGTAGGACGCTGAACTCGCTGGCAGCGTCGTCGCTATCTTCGTCTTCCAGTTCGCCGAACGTCATCTCGAATTTGCCGCCCTTTGCATTAGCGTACACGTCGCCAATTGCAATGTTTCTGAAGAAGTTCACAACCACCTCGTCCACGTAAATTGCAATCTCGATGTCGTCCGCGAGCTTCAGGCCAAGTTCAATACCGTGGGCGACGATCGAGAAGTTCGAGAACGAGACGGTGATGCCTCGAATGACGAACAGACCATCCACGTCAGTATCAATTTCCAGCGCAGGAAGATTGAACATGGCCAATTTGTCCTTAACAAAGTGTGATTGACCTCCCAGCGCTTTTCGAAGTCCTACTCGAGCCATATTTGCAGCCCATGGGAACTGATTCAAGCATGTGAGCAGAACGAAGGGATATATCGTAGTAACGAAGAGGCCGTGCAGCAGCCATGAGGTCGAGCAGATCGCATATGCCAAGTTCAGCGTAGCCAGGAGCGTCCAAAGCGGCACGACAGGCAGAATTCGCTTTTGTTGCGAGTGCCCGTATAGCAGCAGTAGTGTCTCAATGCCGGCGCCAGAGAATGTCCATTTCCAAGGCCATGCGGCTGCACATAGCAAGCACATCACGACCACAGTGGCAAGAATCGGGTAGCTGATTCCTGGTGCTGGCGCATCGTCTCGCACTGGTTCCTCGTATATCGACTTTCGCACTGGTTTTCGCGGAATCATGATGGGGTTTGGTGCCATATTGCCGACTCGCGACTTGTCGCGCCGGGCCGTGTGGGGAATCAGTGATACATGGAATAATGTCAGAAGCGCGCATGCATGATGATATGCGTGTGACCGTTGGGTGGAAGCAGTCACTGGAGCAAACACCCAAATAATGACGACGCCACCATGACGACCGGCTTAACGCTAGTGATCTTCGCAGGAAGGAAGAGTGAGGAATGGACACGTTACGGCAGGCAGTGGCGATCTGAGATAGAGCGCTGGCAGCGAGTTGGCGATGAGCGAGACATCGCCTGCTATGTGCCTTGATGATGGTGATTGAGAGGAGGAGGGAAGAGTCGTGTGATGAGATTCGAGTGTTGACATCGCCGATCACAACATTGCGCCAGGAGCTGCTTCCGACCCCGGTCGGCTTTCGTTTCCTCCGCCTTTCGAGCATCCAACATTTTGCGACTTCACCTCGTCGACTTTATACACACGATACAGTCGACATCTGGAGACGGAGGGATCCGGCCTTCATTGACAGCGCATTCAACCGCATCCGAGTTGTGTTGTCTGTGACAGCGGCAATCCCTCCTTCGGAACGCGTTTCCCTCGCGACCAATGGCTACTCCAGTTTCAAGCACGCGTCTGTCGACAGTGGAATAGCGAGGTGTTCCTAGATCCAAAAGGTGCAATCTTCCGCCTTGAGAAGTATTTCCACTCCTGCTCCAATGGCGATAACGTAAGGTAACATCGGCCAATGCAGTCCCACTTGCGGCCATACATCACTATCGCCGTCGTTCTCTTCACGATGTTTGCTGCACAGACAGTCCTTTCTGCAGTTATGAAATTCTACATCAAGGTTCCCAGCATGTTGACCTCAGCTTGCGCTGCAGTCGGTACATGCAGCGCGCAATGCTCAATAGCAGCTAGTAATGTCAGCACCGCCTGGCATCCGCCCGCGCAGTACTTTGTGAACAACCTCACTTTGACTCTGAACAGCACAGGAACCTATGGCTTCGTTTATAACACCTCGCAGTCGCCCCAAGAGACCACGTATAACTGGTGCAACATGCCGCATGTCAACCCTACAACATATAAGACGCCATCTTCAGATTATAAGCTGGAATATGTGGAAGTCATCCATCGACATCACAAGAGGACTCCCTACGCAAGCAACACTTTTCCCGTGGAAAGCTATGCGTGGGATTGCTCGGACGAGGGCCTCTTCTACGGCGGCGAACCTCTTAACCCTGCTGGCCATGATTCTGCATCCACGTATTGGAGTGTGTACACAAGCGAGAGTAATCCATTCCCACCCCAAGGCTTCAACGGAACATGTCAGTTCCCGCAGATTACTCGACAAGGCCTGGACGACTCATGGGAGCATGGTGCAAATCTCAAAGCCGTCTACGCGGACCTCCTGGACTTCATTCCCGTCGATTACGACCCGGCCGCCACGACTTTTAGAGTAACCAACAATGTCATAACCTCTCAAGTCGCTTCGATGCTCATAGCAGGCATGTACCCAGATCAGTCTGGGAAAGATACACCACTTCTCATCCAGCCCAACTCGATCGACAGCCTTGAACCACGATACAGCTGTCCAGCGTCGGCCGCGCTGTTCAGCGACTACGGTGTCGGATCTTCTGCGGCAAATTGGACTGAACACCTCACGGCTTCTTCTGCACTGTTTTCTCAGCTGGACGATGTGAGCGGCGTAGATCCGGACGATAGTGGCTGGCACCAGAGCTTCGACCATTACTTTGATAACCTTTCGGCGAGATTGTGTCATCGGAAGCCATTGCCATGCAGCGTAAATGATACATCAGCCTGTATCGAGCAAGCAGATGCGGAAACAGTGTTCAGGTTAGGGCAGTACGAATACTCGTTCATCTACCGAGATGCGCCGCAGAGTTTGGAAGCGAGCATTGCAAGCTACGGAGTCTGGATCGCTGAGCTTGCTGCACATCTAAGACGTGCTGCGATTGGCGATGGCCAAGTCCGATACAGACACAATGTAGCGCATGATGGGAGCATCTCGAGGCTTCTGAGCATCTTGCAGATCGAAAGAATGGTGTGGCCAGGCATGGGCTCAGAGGTTATCTTTGAGCTCTACAAGAAGAAAGAGTGCCACTTCTTGAGAGTTTTATGGGCAGGTCAGGTGTTGCAAAGTAGTCATCCATCGTTCCGGAGCATGGACATGGTGCCATTGGACACGTTCTTGGCGTACATCGATGAGCTTGTCGGGCAGGGTGCGAAAAAGGTGCCTCAAATATGCGAGGCAAGTGAGGACTAGAATAGACCATCATACAGATAGAATACTCTCAAGACTTCAATGACGAAAATTCGTCGTCTAATCACTCGACGCGTGTCACGACTCACCGCTGGCGTTCCATTCTCAAGTAGGCTAAGTCCGTTTCTTGCTCGGCTAAGTCCGTTTCTTGCGCCAAACATCTCGAACTCGCGTAGCTGAAGGAGCCTCATCGAGTAAACAGACATCATCACGAATCACCCACCACACTCCTTCCTACCTCCCGAAAACACTGCGCGTCGCTGTCACTGCCGCATGACGGCACAGCAATCATGTCCAACACAGAAACGCCCGAGCCTGCGACCGAGCGCGCGACACGATCGACCACGGCGCGCAACCCACGACGACGAGCTCGACAAAGCGACAACGACACCTTACAGAAGGCTGCTCCTCGACGGAAACGCAGCAAAATAACCGACGAGACCTACGCGCCGCGGGACTCGACCGAAGGGCGGCCTCCGGAAGTCGACATCGATGCGAAAATAGACGAGGCCGATGAAGCAGGGGAGGTCAACAGTGTCGTGAATGGATCCATCAATGGACACACCTACGTTGGCGTTGGGACTGCCAAAGCTAATGGCAATGGACACCACCGACATCGACGTGCCGGAAGCGCTACTCCTGTGCTTGACGTTGAAATGCCAGTGCGAGGGAAGAAAGGCACTGTGAAGCGAGTGCATAGATCTGACGGCGCCACGACTTTGTGCTCAAATCAATGCTACAGTGTCAAATTACTCCCCAGTACGCCGAAGGAGCTCAAAAAGGAAGGACTCGAATATCGTGGCAGTATACTGGGCAACCATGCGCTGGCTATCACACAGGAAAAGGCACTCGTATGGGATTATACCGCGCACGTTGCTGCGAGCAATGTGCGCACCTTCAACATGCCTTTCTCGACGCGAGGAGAGCGCTTGCCATTCGGTGCGCTGGTGCCCAGCAACGGAATCGCTCATAACGACATGGGTCTCGTGCTCATTTCGGCAGACACTGGCAAAGTGGTCTTCTACGACTCTCTTGATCGCGCAACCTCGCTCGGCTTGTTCCAGGCGAAACGTGCGAGTGTAGATGGCACAATTCCATTGAGCGGCACCGAAGTGGTGGCAGACATTGTCCCTGCTGCTTACGCCACGTTTGTGGTCACGCTCAGCTCTGGGAGGATAGTATCACTTACACTGAAGGATATGACCGGTATGCCGAAGGTGCAGAGCCAATTCATGAAGATCGAGGAAGTGTCCTCTGGTGGTGTCTTTGGCAGCTTCAGCGGCTTCCTCAAGTCAAATTACCGGAGGGACCTGACAGCAGTTCGAACGAAAGAGATGGCACGTGGCGTTGTGCAGGTTGTTGGGCTTACGGCCAAAGCAGAGGTGCTGCTTTGGGAGCTGGAGTGGTCTGGCCGCTCTCTATACATTTCCAGCCACGAGCTCAAAGAGACGATCGTGAACGAGCTGAAGGATGCGACATCAGCTGAGCTTGCCGGGCAGGCAGAGTACGCTGTTGCACTGGACTTTGCGATCGCGGACAAGGACAACACGGGCAGCAGCCAGGCATTAGTCTCTACCGGCTCCAAACAGCCATTGGACCTCTTCATTCTGTTGCGGATCGGGACTTCAGACATGACCCAGTACGTCGTAGTGGAGATTTCTCTTCCGGGCGATGGCAGCTACAACATCGAGCGTGTCCATCAGCTCCAAAGCTATTACAGCGACAGGCCCCTGTCCCAACACCAAAAGGCACGGCTAGTGGTACCAAAGCCTGGCCACTCATTCTACGCCGTATTTGAGGATACCGTTGTCCTTGCTGCGACGGTAGATCTTGTGGACGACAGCCCTGAAGCTCAATTGCACGCATCCTACCTACAGCAGGATCCGTTTGAGGATGCAATCCGGCTAAGGTCAGACAAGGACCTAGCTTTTCTCGGTGTTAGCGAAGAACCGTCTCGGGCGAATCATGCTTCAGCGATTGCATTTGTCAAAGGAGCTGGTCTTGTGCGCATTTCAGCAGCGGAGACAACATCTATTCCCGGAGGAGCCCGTATACCCGCTAAGAGCAGGATCGAACAGGCTGTCTTCTATGGTGTATTGCAGCCCGATAACATGCTCGACCTTTCGCAGCAGAAACGATCCGAGTATAGCATCGAGGAGATTGAGGAAGCGGCTGTGGTTGTCTCTGAGGAGATCTTGCGTGCAGATACAGGGTTCCCTACCATGATCTCGCCAACGCCAGCTTCTATGGAGGTCGGACTCGCCACGAAAGCGAAAGCGCTGAAGGCCTTGGTGACTTTCGTGACCAGAACTTATCCCGCTCTTCCGAGAAGGACGATGTGGCAATTGCTCTGGGACGCCGAGAAGCTTGCGGCTGCTCAGCAGCTGTGGCTTGCTTTCGAGGAACACGTTGCTCTCACAATCAAGGGAGAGAAGCGCAAAGCGACTGTGATGGACGAGCTTGCGGCTTGGTTCGAGCACAACTTCGACTTCTATGACCGACCTGAATTGGCCAACGAGAATGCAGTGCGGCGATTCTTCGCTTGTGGCCTAAATTACATGGACAGGCTTTTAACGAACCTGCGACTCTTGCTACAGGACTTCTACGACCAAGAAGAATGCCCTCCGCAAGAGGGTCTCAAACGTGTCATTCAAGCGGACGACATCTGGCTCAGGGCTTTGGAAACAGTTTTCAACTTCCGCTCTGAGAACTGCGCCGACTATGGTATACTGCCTGAACTAATTGACGATGGAATTCTAATCGATAAGGCTGAGTATGTTGATCTTCCGGAATTCTGGACCTCCTCTCTGAAGCTCGTGGACAACACTCTGAAAGTTGCAGATCTGTCGCGTGATTTGACTCAGAAGTGTTATCAACCTGAGGAGCTCGACGCTGATGGTCACGCAATGGTCAACGATATCGCAGACAACAACGCGCGACTTGTGCAGATATATTGCTTGCAGGCTCAAGAAAGCATCAATTGGTACTCTTCCCGGCCGGATAAGAGACAGCAGGAGATCGCAGATAAGATGCTACAGGAATATCATCAGGAGCGCTACGCGCAATGTCGTAAACTGGCTACTGTTGGCAGAGCGGAAGCTGGCATGCTATTGGCTGAGAAATACAAAGACATGAACACATTGGCCGATATGATCATTGCCGAGGACCAGTACTTGTACGAGTACAGTCAAGAACATGATGCGGACAAGACGCAAATTGCCCAGTTCTCCGCAGATCTACACAGCAAGATCCAGCGATACTTCCGCAAGTATCAGAAGGCCTGGTCAGAAGCCTTTTTCGACAAACTGTTTGAAAGCAGTGCCTCAGGTGCTAAGCTCTTGCGAGCACAAAAGGAATGGAAAAAGCCTCTTGCTGAGTACCTTCGAGGACACCCTAGCAGAGCGAAGTTGTGCTGGATCAATGACATTACAGCCGAGGCCGATTACGCGCATGCCAGTCAGGCACTTGCTGAGTGTGCTCAGGTCCAAGAGACGAAGCTGTGGAGCAAAAAGGTTGAGCTGTCGTTGTCGAAGCTGGCACTGCTCGCTGCAGAAGAGGCTGGTACGGCCCCCAACCCCGAGTCAAAGACGAACGGATCAGCCAAGTTGCACCGTTCCCCGCAAGACGAGCTCGCTATCCTGCAGGTACAGGAACGTGTTTTTAAGCACTTCACTCCGGAAATCCAGCTGTCCGTTGACGAAGATGCCGAGCTCGTGAACTGTATGGACAAGTACGGCAGACACCTAGATAGGAACTCGGCTCTATGGGGCGTGCTCGAACACGGGATTGCGACCATTCTTCGACATGGGATCCTCGAAGTTGAGGAGCTGATCGACACACTGACTCTGATGTCCGTAGTCATTGACAGCGCCTCAGACGTCAACCTTCAAGGCTCGGAGACACTTCAGGCTCTGATCGCGTTGGAAGCAGCGGCGTCTTCACTTCCACCTTCTGGCTTCGAGACACTCCTGGCATTGATCTGGAAGCGAGCATACATTTACGACGACTGGAATTCACCGGATCTTCAAATCCACAAAAAGCAATCTGATGAGGAGCGCAAGGGCGCCATTCAATTCTCTACTCTGTGGCAAACTCTGCACCACGTCTTGGAATCCGAAATCACTACTAAGCCCGACGCCCAAGTTAGAATCTTGACGCCTTCGGAGTGCGTGGGCGCGGCTTGTCAACCTGAAGACTTGAGCTACCGTTTTCCAGAGCCGGACATCCTGGATCCTATTATTCACGAACTTCGCGTTCAGGACGAAGTTTTGTCGAAGTATGTCACAGACCGCGGACTTGACGCGATCGCAGCTGAGGCTGAGCGGGACGTTCGGCAATTCTTGATGGCAAAGGCAGACGAGGAAGCAGAAATGCGGAAGCAAGAGAGGCATTTGCAAGAGTCGTTTGCTGAGGACGGTGGGCTACAGAAGACGAATGGGCATGTCAATGGGCTGAACGGGTACCTTCATCACGAAGAAGAAGAAGTGGAAGAGGTCGATGATGGAGATGTTGAGATGGAGTGATGCGGATACGGGTTGCTGGGCTCTAATCGAGATGCTGACCTGCAAGAACTGCTGGCCGTGCCTCGAGAGATGGTATTTGTCGGGATACTCACTGGGCCACCATCGCCCTCTTTTCCTTCATGCGGCAGTTGTGGTTATGGCAGAAAAGCGAAAGACGTCCGTTCGAGACGGCAGGACAGCGGGCTTGATTTTCTTGTTTGTACGAGATGACCACAGACAGCTTGTAGCCTTTACCTAGACAAGGGAAATGTATGATCGAGGCCACGAAACAAGTGGCTTCGACAAAACAGGCATTCTGCAGACACTTGGTTTCTCATGCCGTTTCTCCTAATGTTTCAACGTATGAGCAGGCCAGATGAAGATCTACATTGTGCTCCTTGCATCCCAAAAACCTCCGTATGCGTCGTCAGCTGTGAAGTTACGTACTCGCACTCAGTACGATCATCTCTTCTTGAGAACTATACGGCCAGAGTGGAGACCCCGAAGAGTCCCCGCTACAACGAGCCCGTTATGGTTGTCAGTAGCTTGGAAGAATAGGAGAATAGGGAGTTTCGAGAAATAAGCTTGGATCAAGCACTTACGTTTGTGCCACCAAGACGCAAGTTCGTCGTTGCTTGTTGAGACTAGTGCAGCTGAGACCTTGTTGAAGATCATGGAGAAGGAGAGCGGATATATCAGCGTCCTCGAACGGCGATGTAGCAGCTGCACACTCATTCAACCTCTCTTCGTCCACTCCAAACACATTCAAGAGCCACACGACAGAAACCCCATCGACCACCAAAAATGAAGTTCATCCTCAGCACCCTCCTCCTAGCCTTCAGCATCGGCTCAGCAACAGCCGCCTCCTTCGACGACCTTCCACCGTGCTCAAAACAATGCATCAAAGATGCCATCAAATCTTCTACAACTTGTGCCGAAACAGACATCAAATGTGCTTGCGCGAATAAGGACAAGATTCAGCAAGCGGGTGCTCAGTGTGTTGTTGCGGCTTGTGGAATGGATGTTGCGCTCAGTAAGTCTCTCGAAAGGAACTCAATGCTCAATAGTTTCCCTGGCTCGCATCGGTCCTGGGAAAACATTTGCTGACTTTGAGGTCCTTGTAGACCAAGTTGTGCCCGCTGTAGAGAATGGTTGTAAGGCGCCTTGAATGGATGATACTCCGGGACTGCGACTCGAGAGTGTATCAAGATCGAAGTTGGAGTAGGAGCAGACGCCGGAGATGCGGAGGAGCGATGTAACCTACTGGAAATGTTAGCGTATACAGCACACCGAGCGGAAGAGTGTTTGTCATCTTGAATTTCTTCTCAACCTCGTCTCAATTGTATCGAAGCCCTCGAGGCCTGCTGCTGTGATTGATAAGCTATCACAATCCGTCTCCATGAAAAAATGAAATGAAGGAACTCCCTGCGATCGTGAACGAGACTTCAGCTCGATTTTTGGCATCTTCTACTGCCTCTTCTCTACGCCTCGTAAGTGCTAAGCACAGCAATTCCTTGAGTTTAAAATGCAACCACCCAACTCCGCGCTCATAAACATGAAGCAAGCAATTTCTGCTTTCGACGCTCCCAATAGCGACGTGTAGGACGACTGCCCTACTATGCTGTAGTCTCAGTCTGCACCGTCTCGGACGTAACACTGTCCGGATTGCCTGGTTCTACCTTGGCTTTCTTCGGATCGGGAGCGACCTCATTCGCGCCATCTCCGCCGTACGTGTTCGTGACATCAGTCATGGCCGGTCTTTTCGCCGCACTTGGTGGTTTGTAACCAGTACTGTTACGAAACCCTGCCCCTCCTTGGGGCATACCAATCTTCCGACTCATGTCTGCAGCAGGATTGATGTAGTTGGTCGCGTTCGGTCGAGGTGCAGCACTCGTCGCGTTGACAGCTGGGCCAGCAGCAGCAGGTCGAGAGCCTCCCGCGCCACTGCCAGGTTGTTGACTTGGCACAGTTGCGGTAGGCTGTCCACTTGCGAGTTGTTCTCGACGGACTGGCTTTGATACGCCAGGGTTCACTCCCTGCGTTCTCCGTATTGAAGGACTTTCGGCGTGTGGATTGAAAGCGACGTTCGCTTCGGGTTTTCGTCCGGAAACGAAGCCTAGCGTAGCTCCTGCGGGTATTGTGTTAGACTCTTCTGGCTGCGGTTGTCCGTTGAGACCGTTCTGCGGTCGAGGTTGAGGCTGTGCTAAAGGCGACCCAACAGCATTGCCCGATGATGGATTCGAGCGTGCCCCATCTGCACCATGCTGGAGATACGTGTTGCCATTCTGTTGTGGTTGCGGTCTCTGTTGATTTCCTGGTGTCTGTGGTGGCAACATACGATTGGCTGGCTGTGCAGCGTTCTGTGGAGGCCGTTGCACTGATTGTGGCTTCTGTGGGGCTTGCATCCCGTTGACAGGTGCAGGAGGCTGTATGTTCGGCGGCCTCGTTTGAGGCATCGAATGCGTCCTCGATATGGCTTGTCTTTGCGCGTTTTGTGGACCATTGGCTGCTCTTTGCAAATGAGCCTGCGGTCCATTGCTGACCTCGGAATCGTCAAGTCGCACTTCATCAGGGTGACTGAAGTCAGTCTCGTCGAATTCTGTCGCTTCTCCAAAGTCGTCATCGAACTCTCCCGAGCCGACAGACGCTACAGACTGCATGCTAGTGTTGCGTTGTGGTCCGCCTACCCGCTCTGATGTTGATACGCTCTGCGTGACCGGCTCCTTTTTGATCGGCGCATAGTCTGGGTGCCTATGCAGATTTTGAGCATCCCATTTTGAGGGCGCTACCTTGATCTTGGTGATCTTCTGCAGATAGTCTTTGTCGTATAAGCAGTTGCCGAGCACGTTCCCAAAATTGCGCAACGCTCGTTTCATCGCGTCTGTTGCAGCTTCTTTCTTCGCCTTCTCAAAGGCAGCGGCTTTGCCTTTTGCGTTCTCGCAGTGCCCGTAGCCAATATCCTCATGAAATGTGCCATCCTTCAGCGTGACTCGCACTATTGTCGACAAGCCAAGATTGATCCTGCCAGACTCTCGGTTTTCGTCCACGAAATCGATCTGAACGTTCTGTATTGACGAGCTCCAGCCATTGAACCCAAATACTTCATTCGCAAGATTGATGACCTTCTCTGCTGCCAGATAGTGCACCTTTCCCCCACCGGCACCTGGTCGTGTGGAAACGTACTCGGGACCCAGCTGCTTGTCCAGTCTGCTCTGCAGTGTGGCTATTTCCTGTGCTGTAAACTCGGACATGCGTGGTTCGGGCTTGATGAACGGGTTCACCGTGTTGGCATTGTCGCGATGCTGGTCGCCTGGCCTGCATGATGTTAGTGTTTGGATGAGTTCTCAAACGATGGGGTAGTACTCACGCAGGCATCGTGGGCTATCGCAAATTCGGTGAGAAGATAGCGAGCATCGTATGGCGGGCGGTAGTGGTGTGGCGAATCGATCCGCTCGTCTGCCTGGCGTCTGTTGATGATGAAGTCGCAAGTCGCGTCGTGGGACGCGTCGCTTACGTTACTGCTTCCGGAAGTGAGATCGGCGCCTGCCGAAAATGCACGTGCGCAGATTCCGGTCTCCCCTGCCCGCTGGAGTGAACATGTTCCCATCTTTGTTCGCCGCGAGTGAGATTCAATAGACCGAACGCATATCCTCCACGCTTGGCTGGTGTCTACTTCTCGCCATCACAGGAACAGCTGCGCCGCGGTGTATTCTCGTGGCATCCTGCTTCTCCGCCGGCGATTTCATCCTGGCCAGCGCGGCTACAACTTCGGACCCTCGAAACTCTCGGGACCAAGCTTTATACTTACTGCGGCCGGACTTCCAGCGAGGAAACGTAGCAACTCGCCCATCACATTCGCACTTCGCCCAAATCTTGCCGTCTTCACCACAGCCCAATAGAGACAGCCTTGCGACCCCGAATCCGACTGAAGCGCACATGTGCAGAGCCCGATGAGCCGTTGATTGAGCTGCCACGTCAGCTAGCGACCGCCATCATGGCACACACACGGAGTCCACGAAGGACACGCTTACGTTCCATCATCACATTTACGAGCTTATTCGCCCTGTCATGGCTGCCTTCAGCGTTCGCGGCGGCGAAGTCTGCAGCAGACTACTATGTCAGCGATCTTCCGGGAGCACCAGAACCGAAGCTCGACACGTGGGCAGGACATCTGGAGATTACGCCAGAACATCATGGGAATCTCTTCTTCTGGTTGTTCAAGAACAGGCATATTGCGAATAAGCAGAGAACAGTGCTATGGCTGAATGGAGGGCCAGGCTGTAGTAGCATGGATGGCGCCCTGATGGAGATAGGGCCATACAGAGTGACAAAAGACGGGAAACTGCGACTGCAAGATGGGAGCTGGGACGAGTTCGCAAATGTGCTCTTCGTCGATCAACCCGTGGGCACGGGCTTCAGTTATGCGGACACCAACAGCTACGTTCATGAGATGGACCAAATGGCCGATCAGATGGTGCAGTTCCTCAAGGCTTTCTTTGAGATATTTCCGGAGCACAAGAACACCGATGTAGGTTTCACCGCTACGCAAAAGGTTGAGCGTTGCGATATGATATGCTAACGAGCGGAACAGCTTTACATCGCAGGTGAATCTTATGCGGGCCAGTGGATTCCCTACATCGCACATGCGATCTTGGAACACAACAAGAAGAACCCGAGCGACAAATGGAACCTCGAGGGCCTCATGATCGGCAATGGCTGGATCTCTGGACCTGAGCAGTACATTTCTTTCCTTCCCTTCGCCTATGAGAACAACCTGATCACAGCGGGCTCGGACACAGACAAGAAGGCACTCGAACAGCAAAAAGCGTGCATCGCTGATCTGGATGCTGGGGCCAAAGACCACGTCGACAGCGGGATCTGCGAGAACATTATGCAGTCACTTCTACGCGACACACAGAACAGCAATGGCTGCCTCAATATGTACGACGTCAGGTTGAGGGATTCGTACCCAAGTTGTGGCATGAATTGGCCTCCGGACTTGGAGTGGGTGAAGCCGTACTTGCGCCGAGATGATGTCAAGCGCGCTCTTCACATCAACCCGGACAAGAAGACTGGATGGGTGGAATGCAACAACCAAGTCTCATCTGCTTTCAACGCACGCAATTCGAAGCCATCAAGAGCGCTCCTCCCAGGCCTGCTCGAGAAAGTTCCAATTCTTCTGTTCTCGGGTGACAAGGATCTAATCTGCAACCATGTGGGCACCGAGAACATCATCAACAACATGGACTGGAACGGCGCCAAAGGTATGGAACTTTCGCCAGGCGTTACAGCACCACGAAGAGACTGGACTTTCGAGGGCGAACCGGCCGGTTTCTATCAGACCGCCCGAAATTTGACCTACCTTCGCTTCTACAATGCTTCGCACATGGTCCCATTCGATTACCCCCGTCGCACCCGAGATATGCTTGATCGATTTATGGGTGTGGACATTGCTTCTATCGGCGGCACTCCAGCAGACTCACGAATCGACGGCGAAAAAGGCAAGGAGGTCTCTGTTGGCGGACACCCCAACAGTACTGCGGCCCAGGAAGCCGAGGCGGAGAAGGTGGAAGCCGCGAAGTGGTCAGCATATCAACGATCAGGCGAGATCGCACTTTTCATCGTCGCTGTCGCAGCGGCTGTGTGGGGATTCTTCATCTGGCGTGACCGCCGGAAACGAAAAGGCTACAAGTCAGTCTTTGGCATGGAGCCTTTCGACGATCGTGGACCTAGCGGCGGCCTTGGCTTGGATCATGATGCGAGACGAGCCGAGCGTGATGTCGAGGCTGCGCGAGACTTTGACGAGGCTGAGCTGGACGACATGTCGCATGCGAACGGCAGACACAAGGAAGAGCGGTTCAGCTTGGGAGATGACGAGGAAGAAGACGATGACGGGCGGCAGTACGGTCGACCTGCTAATGGACATGCCACAAAGTAGACTGTTGTTACTGCATATGTAAGAGTTGTTCAGCATATTTTGCATATAGTTGGGCTATTTGCAAATGAGAAATGTATCAAGACCTCGGTCTCTTTCCGGACGCGCAGACATTCAATGTGGAGGAAGGGACCACTGAACCTTCAGGAGAGACTTGATTTTTCCGCGCTCCTCGAATGATGCGCTACGCAAGACACAAATTGGTCTCGAAACAACAAAGACCCGCGACGAACTGGCTGACAACTTCGTTGGAGTCAAAAAATGCCCAATTTCCCGCGCGGGAGCAACCAACGGTTGGATCGACTTCGCAATACCGAAGAGAGAGTGTTTGTACCAATTCAATACCGACGTCTAGACACCGCTCAAGAACGGAGTGTATGCTGTCAGAATCTCGCACGCTGCACTTTTGGCTGCAGGAATTTCTTCACCCTTGATGGCGGCAATGCGAGTCAGCCAGGAGTCGTTTTGTGATTGAGGGATGAAGTTAAACGCAGAGGGATATAGGCCAATCTGGCATTGCAAAAGCAAGCGCAGGCTGTGGCAGCATGCTTTCTTCAATTCTCGAGTCGATGCAGTCAACGAACGGATGGCCTCAGCTGAAGTTTGGTTCTGGCATCGTGTTTCAAATGAGAGTCAAGCCACAATCATGTCCACCTTTCGAAGGTCGATTGCCGACTGCTACGGAACCATAGAATTTCAGTGCAGAGCGTCAATACGCACAGCTTCTCGTGGAAGTTCTTCTCCTCCCGCTCCACTCGACGCCTCGCTTCCACTTTCACGACGACGTAGAGCAACCTCAGGAGCAAACGCCGCCAAACTTTCCAACCCACCCAACGCCCCACGCGCAAGCAAATGGCAAACATCAACCAACAATCAATTATCCAGAGAAAGACTGCTGAATCATCATACACTTCGGCACCTTGGTGCAGTCGTGTTTGATAGCTTCCGGCGGACAAGTTCCCGCTGAGTTTCACAAAGCAACCCCAAACTCGAGTGCGAGTCTAAACACACAAAATCAATCTACCATTCCCGGCGAACAAGTTCTCGCTGTGCTCCTTTCCTTCTTGGCCTTTTTGTACTGCGATACGCCTTGCAATCCGCTGCGGACAATTCCTTTTTTCGCACGTTGAAGAGAGCGCAAGGAGCGCGAAGAACGAGATACTTTTTGAGTACATACAGAAATGGCTCGACACTGGAGTACGGGGTCGTGCCGGCGAACAGAGCTCCGAGTCGCGCAAAATGACCTGGAGCGGACACTGATCGTGTAAGTAGCTATGCCTCGACCACAGAAGGAATGAGTGGCACAACGAACAGCGCTATCATTTCTCAGCTATAAAGCTATCAATCCATTCAATCCTCATCGAGTTTCTCAAGAAATGTCCTCACTTCTGCAGCGCAAGAAAACAATACGCAACATCTTCCATCTTTACCGCAAGATTCCAAAGACGGCACGAATTCGAAAGGATGTCTTCACCGTGCCAAGACTTTCACATGCAACAAAGTGCAACACATAAGTGTCTGCTAACCGCATCTGCAAAGCTACAAGTACGCAGAAGGCCGATGAGAAGATACTTGACAGCCGACGTCCCTTTTTACAAGATCCAAAGGTATGGTATAAGGAATCTATAGCACTTTTGCACAAATATGCATATCTTTCATAGTATGCACTATTGATCGTAGAGTTGAAATGACGTGTTTGCTTCACTACAGCAAAAGTCTGGTTCAGAGTAGCATTCTGATGTGACACAATTCCAAATTCTCGGTGAGAAACAGTCTGGTTAGTTCAAGCGCTATAGTGCTATAGCAACTGAGAAGCATGTGCTAGCGCGGTTCCGTGCCTGCGTTCTCTCTAGATAGTCTACAAGCTAGTCTGTAGCATTCGCGTTCATGTCACTTCGTGCAAAGTGAAAGAGTGAGCTGATTTGGATCCTTTCTTGTGGCGGTTGGTTTGTGAAGAGTAGAAGCATCGCGAGATGATGTCGGAGAGGAAAAGTCACATGACAACATGGGGCGATCAAGAGTCCCTCTGAAGACTTCAGCCATAGTTCCGCTTCATCAAAGTGGCTTCTCATTTTCGTTCTCAGCTTCCACATTAGAACATTCCACACCCGCTTCGGGATCAATCTAGCGAGTTTTGGATGCATTAGCACGTGCGGAAGTTCAGCACATGCCGGCGAAACTGGACCTTTCGGGACGAGAAACCAAGCCCCGCTCACGCCTTTTCTCCCTTGTGCATGAGATGAAGTTAAAGTAGCGTGCAAATGGTCGTGTTCCGGTTCGTCCGCTCGATTATCTGGTCTTGGGCAGCTAAAAAGTGCCCTTACTATCAGAGACTTTTCGCCATGTGCGTTCTGCAAGCCTTCCGCTTGGTCGGACACATAGCTTGCGCCATGATCTCATACCAGTCACGACACCTAGTTCGGAAACTGCTGCTGGATGTACCGGTGGTGAAGGAGGTTTTCGGCTTTTTTTTTTAGGTCACTTTGAACGAAACGTGCTCCGCATCGTGAACTTCACTGACGAGCGACACGTCGGTCAAGATGGACCATGTGCCTGAACATTTCCGAGCCCAAGACTCTCGTGCGTCATGCGGGCGGACTATGAGGTGTGCCCTAACGGTGTCGCTGGACACGATCGCTGTAGTTGAGCGCCACAAGCTTGGCGGTTCCTCGCTCGATATTCGTGTCTGCGCGAGATTGTGGGTATGTCGTGAACAGCGCGATGTCGACTCCGATACCATCGAGTTTGTCGTCACGAGTCTTACATTTGGCGGCATTGTGCTGTGTATTGGCAACAAGATGCGTAGCTGGAATGGAGGTGAAGTTTCGATACCACGGAATTTGACTTCTCGGAGTCGCCGGATGCCACGTGCGATTGCATCGCAAGCTTGATTTTCGGTACCGGGGTGACTTCACCTGCAACTTGGGTCGGCATTTTCTCCACACCATCACGTACTGACTTCAGCAGCCCGCTCGAGCGACGCAGACCAGCGGAAAGTTACGGTTGTGCTGCATAACGCTGATGCATCGTGTTGGGTGTCATGCGATTAACGATGTTGTGAGAACGCCGAGGTTGATACCTGCAAGCCACCCATCACTAGTCTCTGCCAATGTGAGTAATACATGCAGGAGACCGCACTTGGTGCTCGGCTGACCTTGCCCATGTCACCGTAGACGTGATGGTACCCTGCTTCACATGCGACGTTTCAGTAAGCCTTCACGGATCCAGTATATGACAGTCGCGGGAAATGCTTCACAAGTGAAACGATCGAGGGCGCAGGCGAGGTCCACGACTACCATCGAACAGTTGTCCTCAACTGACCGCAATTGCGCGTTGCGCGTCGCCGAAAGTATACCTGACACATCAACACTGCCCATACGCAGTCGGGCGCTGCTCCGAGCAGGATATGCAAGCCATCCGAACCTTGGGCCACCTTCGCTGGTCCACGCAAGCTCCTCAAGCCCGGCCACTTCCACCTCATATCAAAAGAGAATTTGTGCAAACCGAATCCGGCGACCTGGAACTTCTCGTATGTGAGCCGAAGTCAGGCCAAGCAGCCAAGTCTGGAGTCTTCTTCGTCCATGGTGGATATGGCTCAGCGGGAGTATGGCTCGAGTGGATGAATTATCTTTTCGAAAACAACTACCCTGGCCGGTTGTACGCGTACAGCGCCCGGAACCATGGAGCGAGCTTCGCTGTTTCGTACCTCGATATGGTATTCCGGACTTCTCTCAATGCCATCGCGAGTGACTTGACAGCTTGCGTGAATTGGGCGGAGAGCGATAACGAAGGTGGCAAGCTTGTCCTCGTGGGACATTCCTCGGGCGGCGGGCTCTCGCAGTACTGTCTGGCAAAAAATTTAGTCACTGCCCATGCTTTGTGTCTAGTTGGCGCGATTCCACACTTCGGGATGCTAGACATGTATTGGAACTGGTTCAAGCATGATCCATTCTTCCCGTTGAGAAGTATGCTCCACTTCGGGCATCCAACGTCTCCTCTTAGTACGCCTGACCTTGTGCATGGTGCGTTCTTCGGCCGCAAGTACCCCCAGCAGGAAATTCTGAGCTTCATGCGGTGGATACCTTGGTATGAGTCAATGGGATGGCCGGTGGCGATGTTTGGCAGCTTCGTGGGCTGGCTGATGGGCAAGAACACCTGGCTTGGAGTGTCTTATATCTTGCGCAATATCGAACTTTCGAGAAATGCATTTGAGCGGGATGCCGTTTGTGTGCTAGTGGGACTCCAGGATATGCTGTTCGATATGAGGGTGATCAGGCGTGTTGCGACCGAGTATCGAGAAGGACTTAAGAAAATGCGCGAGAGCCAAGGAGCCTCTGTCGATGCGGGGTTTTCAGGCGAGCTGGCAGAAGTTAGTGGTGCTGTCTGTGAAAGCAAGGGTGGCGTGCGAGTTGTGTTGATTGAGGATGCTGGACATCATGTGCAGAACGACGTCCAGACAGACATCGCTGCCGAAACTTTGCTGTCATGGTTGAAGCAGGTCTCGTGATCCAGGATCCCGGTAAAGAGGTGGTCATGGTTGTGTCCGGGGTGCTGTGGCTAGTGCACAGCCCCGTCTATCGGCATCTGGTCGACTTCTCTCGTTACGGTCGAGGACAGTTGTTCGCAGACGAAGCATGATTTTGTTCAAGGGATGCATGTTTATTTCACACGAGGAATGGGGCGGATAGAAATCTGTTGGCAAGTTTCGACCTGTGAGGGCTGTTGAACTGATCGAATGTTCGAGACCATTCCATCATCACATGCCAACATGTGGCCCGACATGAGTGAAGTTGGAGTTTCGATTGCCACCGTGGCCGATTGGTCGCATTATCAAGGCCGACTTACGGGTGAGTTGACCGGATACGTAAGCACCAGGGCTTGAATGTTCATGTGACCAGAAGTCGCGTCATCCGCGTGGTGCTGTGCTCGGCTCTGCTTTGCCCAGCTTAGTATGATGTCGTAAAGTTGGTGCTAAGCTCTTCGCTACAGGGCCGAGCATGCCAATGATTCCAACACGCGAGAACCAGAAACGCGGTAAGGCGTTCACACTCGATCGCGCATGGCTCTCAATACCTTCAGGATTGGCCAGAATGCCACGCGAATTTAAGCAGTGCTCGAAATGTGGATGTCGATCGAGATAGCGTTCGGCATCGACAGTCTCGGTCGGTAAAGCTGTAAGTAGGCGCTTCAGCAGGCGCAAGAACTCCTGGAAGCGCAGTCTGTGCCGAGGACCAGAGCTCATCAACTCTTCTGGAAGGAAAAGCTTGTCATTGCCTTCGAGGCTTTGGCCTTAGCCTGGAGGCGGAGTGAAGTCAATTGTGCATGTAGGGCTGGCGCTGTAAAGCCACCGTGACCACGTACCACACAGTAGCGCAGGATGCCGTCTTCGACGGGCAGCAATTTGTTCAGCTAGCGCAAGAAGCCATTGAAGTACTGGGCTCCACGTGTCGAATTGTTCCCAAGGCGTTGTACCAAGAGGTCCCTCTGAATCGAGCATGCAAACGTCGCGATATCACTTTGCAGAGGATTCTGTGCACGTGTCAGCTTGCGTATGGAAAGCTTGGTGGGAAGGGCTAGGCGAGCATGCCGAGACTCTTCGCCCAGCGCGTAGATATGCGAGGCCGTCTTGTAGTACGCGGTACGAACACCGCATCCGAGCGGTGGGTGGCAAACCAGTTGTCCGCGCAATGCGGATGGTAAATTGTCAGCAGTCGTGAATGCTGTGGAGAGATCCGAACGTGAGGTTGTTGTGAAGTTCGCCGGAAGCGCCAGAGCCCGACCGCGCGCTGACAAAATGCGAGGAAGGGAAGGATCGCTCGGTCTTAACGCTACTTGGCATTTGTGTCGCAGCTTCCTGGGGAACATCGTTTCCGGAAACCTGCCCGACCATCATCTTCACTCTTTCACCCGCCAAGCAATATATTGTCAATGGCTCTCGGCGTTGTCATGTTCGCCAAGCGAGATCACGCCAGATACACGTAGTCGGACGACACCGCTGCCAGTTCCCTTCGCTTGAGTCGCTGTGGACAGATTTCGCTCGAGGTCGTTGGGAGTCGGCAAGCTGGAGGATTTGCCGAATGCCGTCATAACATCAGGAACGACCCCCGTCATCATGCACGTCGAACTAAGCTTTCCACCCTGGCCAGTCTGTGGCAGTACGTGTGGCGCGTTCAGCAACCGCTAGAGAGCCGACCTGGACGTTGCAAGTGGACACGAGCTGCGGAATGCTCTGGTAAATGCTCGGCGCTGCTGGTCCTCTGCAGCGTCGCCAAATCGAAGGCCATTCCATTGGATCATGCTGGGCCCACGAAGCCAAGAGCACCAAGTGTCCAAACGTAGGTGAGGGATCGCCACACGACAGCAGACGCCAATAGTTCCAGCATCCGCGTGCCGTGGCAGCCGACAGTTAAGCTCTTCTCAGGGTCCTTCTGCAGGCTTCTGGTCCGTCACTTCACAAGCGCTACTAGACCAACCTACGAGGCCCCCGCCATGACCCATTCCGGCCTCCTGCAATGACCGCCAAGCGGGCCGCGATGCCACAAGAAGCGGCAGGCACTCGAGCCTGCTCGATGTGCAGATCGGTGTGCCTTGTCAAGCTCCTTGGCCCTGGCTCAGGCTGTGGCGGCACTCATAGAAGAATAATAATAGTGCAGTACCGGCAGCCCGTACACATAGCAACGTGAGCCACAAATCCATACCCTGCTAACTGCATAGTTGTTCTTGTCCCGAAGTTTCCATCAGACCCGAGCCACACTGCACTGCACAACCCGTTGGTTCTCTTCCGATCTTAACTTTGTTCTTACCACAACCACACTACCTATGAAGACGCCCAGTCGTCGATACTAATGAGAGGGCTGACATGCCTCCGCGACCAATACGACCAAAGAACGAACCGTTGAGCTCAGAGAGCAGTGATATTGGAGACGGCAAAGGCGGAAAGAGGAAGGCAGTTTCATCAGCATGTATCCCGTGTCGAAAACGCAAAAGCAAGGTGAGTTGCTGGTATTGGGAAATGCAGATTGGTAGGTGCCATATTGGCTGACGATTCTGCAGTGCGACGGCAACGTCCCGGCTTGCTCGACGTGCATTGCAGTATACCGAACGGAGTGCAGCTACGATGCGGATTCGGATCACCGGCGAAAAGGTGCACTCAAGCGTGACATTCAATCTTTACAGCAACAGAACGATGCTCTGGATGTGATTGTCGCATCTCTGAGGAGCTTGCCAGAGAATGAGGCCATTGCATTACTCCACAATCTTCGGAGCGATACAAATCCCAACGTACTGGCCGATTCCTTACGAAGCAATGTACGACTTCCACATAGCTACGCTCAACAGACTTTGGAGGCAGACTTTGCGCAGCAAATCACGACGCCTACGAGCGCAACCTCTACAGTACCACCCTCGCTCTCCCGCGATAACTCTGGAGAGCAATCCCACAGGGGAAGCGTTTCGTCGATACCCGAACAGAGCGGTCAATGGCTGCGAATACCTCACGATGCAGAGTTTATCGAACATCTGATGAGTTTATACCAGTGCTGGATTCATCCATTCTACACGTTCCTGTGCTGGGATCACTTTACACACGATATGAGTCGAGGAAGGACCGATTACTGCAGCGCGCTGTTAGTCAACGCTGTTCTGGCCTTTGCCTGTCACTACTCTGACCGGGCGCTGGCTCGTACAGACCCCAGCAACCCATCAACAGCAGGCGACCACTTTTATGCAGAAGCGAAACGCCTGCTCGACAGCAACGAGACCTCAACGCTAACAACAGTGCAAGCCCTGGGCATAATGAGCCTGCGAGAGACATCGGCTGGGCGAGACAGCGATGGCTACCGGCTGGCAGGACGGTGTGTGCGCATGGCGCTCGAGCTCGGACTCCATCTGTCGGTCATCAAAGATGGGATGAGAGAGCGCGAGGCCGAGGTGCGAAAAGTCACATTTTGGGCCGTGTTCAACTTGGAAACGTTAGTATCAAACCAATGCTCAACATGGCCACTCAAATTGACAGAATCCAGAACATGCTCCGTGGCCTTTGGCCGACTTTCGCAGCTACCTCGCTCCGCGGCAGACATCGACACGCCCGCCGCAAATGTCCGATCCGAGACCATGACTTGGCGACCGTACGAGGACACGAATCTCCCTCTGAGCGCGAGCGCTGAGCAACCTGCACGAACAATGCTGTTCAAGGACCAGCTCAGCAAACTTTCAGAGCTTGCCAGCGACATGGTCAACACCTTCTACGCCCCACGAGAACGCTTCACCAGCCGAAAACTCGCCGCGACGTACGCGCAATACCAAGCGTGGTATCAGAATCTGCCAGACTGCTTTCGTCTGGAGAACACGTCACTTCCTCACGTGCTTGTGCTACACATGTACTACTATGGCTGTATACTTCAGTGAGTATCTAACCACTTCGTCAGGCAGATCTTGTTGGGTGCTGACAATGCCAGTCTGTTCCGACCGTACATCAGACTCGACCTGCGCGCCGCAAATCTTTACCCCCGCGACACCTGCACGTTTTGCGCGAACGAAATATCAGCGCTCATGAACGCGCTGCGTGCAATGTACGGTCTTCGCCGTGTTACCCTCGCCGTTACCAGCCTGCTGCTCTCCGCTTCGACGATCCACCTTCTCAACCTTCCGTCCGAACAAGCAGCCAACCATTTATCGCAAGCGCTGCATGACCTGGAGTCGATGTCGGTGAATCACAAATTCGCAGCGCGAGCAGCAGAAATCATTCTGGCACTTTCCAGCAAATGGAATATTGCTCTTCCTGAAGCCGCGGCCGCGATTGCAGTCTATCGAATGGGCAGTGGCACAGCTTCACCCCCACCGAGTTCATTCTTCGCCGCGAGCATACCACGAGAATTATCAGGCGGATCTCAGCGCACTCGCTCGGGCGACAGTGCGAGCATTGCACCCTCTGCAACACCTCACAGAGAGTCTCCTTTCCTGCCGCCTCAACAGCAGGGCCCGACATCGGTTCCATTCTTCTATTCTGACCCGACCACGCCTCTCGACGAGCGAACAGCACAGGCAGCGTTCTGGACACCTTTCCCGACGCAGGTCATGCCAATCGCTCAGCAAGATCTTGGCCTGGGTGAATTTTCTGGATCGGGCGGGCAACAAGTTCACAACTGGGCCATGTATGGCGGTACAGGAGCATCTCAAACGGTCATGGACAATCGACATCACAGCGATCCTGGGCAGGACCACCATATGGGAGATATGGACGCTTGGAGTTGGGGTTGAGGGAGATGCTCAAGGTCTATTGAGGTATTCTGGACATCGAAATTGCCTGCCACGTTGCGAGTGAGGACCCCTGGCTTGAGCGGCAAGTCCACCACCGAGCCGGCGTGTGCTGGAGTACAGCGGAAGCTGGAAGGAAATGAAAGGAACAATGCTCTTCATCGGTCAATCTACAGCTGGGGAGCGGGCATCAGCTTCCGCGGCATACCGGAAAAGATCTCAAAAGTCAAAGAGAAGGATCGAATAGAGAGTTACTTGGGATGGACGTGGATCATTGCAGTAGCATGGAAAATAAATAAAAGGAGAAGAAATTTGACTACACGGAGCAACAGGACACTATCGCAGAGAAGAGGGAGAAGATCGAGAGCGGACACAGCACAACGAGGACTCCGAGAATGACATCAACAATAGTAAGAGTAAGGAGGACTGGAGCTGGACTCCAGCTCTTACCTGCTCTACAACCCGCAAGCTGATGGGATGAGGGGCAAAGTACTCTATACGCATTGACGGCGTTCTATATCATGATGATCTGGTCTGAAGAAGAATCGGAGGTCATTTGCGAAGCATATTCTGGGAGGATTTATTTTTGATGGCGAAATGATACCAGTGTTTACGATCGTACCATAGTGAGAAGCTGAATTGCATAGTCATGACACAACTCTGACAACACACTCTGATCCCGCATTTATTCACAACAGCATTTGATAAGTTCTGCCCGGGCATTGGTATTCAGCTGCCCAGCAATAAAAGGAGCATAGCAAGTGCCCAGATGTCCAAGACTCAGGCACGCATGGCGGGTTCTCGGCACGCTCGTTCGTTCAGCAGACCTTGGCTTCGCTTCCTCATCGTAGGGCTGCTGATCTGATCTTCAGCCTTGTCTGGCCAGCGGAGCCACGGCCGATTAGAGTTTCGCCATGACATATACTTTGCTTGCCGTCGCGCTCGGTCTTGGCAGATGCCGAGTATTCGTACATGCAGCGTATTTTGCATAAGACATCTCCGGTGATAGAGTTCGGCTGAGCCGTATTTGCATACGACGACGATCCACCACGAGTGGATTGTGCTGCACGTTTAGCGAAGATGTGAGATGGCAGCGTTGCTGGATGGAAGTCGTTCGAGCTGTGAGGTTTTGTCAGCGGGTGAAGTGCAAAGCCGAGGCGATGATGACATGGGCGACAAATTTGAGCTCATCCGTAAGCAACGGAAGCAAATACACGCCCAAAACAACATCAAAATTACCAATTGTGCGCCACGCTGCATGTGAAGAGGACAGACACGATACGGCCAAGCATCACCGATCTCCCGGCAAAAGCACGCGCTCCGTATACCACTGTCTCACTCTTCTGCAGAGCTGCTGGAAAGCACCACGATCCCTCGATGCAGTAGAACGTCATCTGCATAACTATTACCACTACACGCTACCTCACCTCCCTCTCGACCCCTCCAACCTCCGCCAAAGTGTCTTCACCAACTCCCCTCCGCCTCTACGCCTCAGCCAGCAGGTCCTTCCTCACCACGGCTTCCAATTCCAGCAACCGATTGTCCTCCCTCACCCGCCACTTCACCACCGCCAACCCCACCATGGCGCCCATCTCCAAAGAGTGCGACTACCTCGTCATCGGTGGCGGCTCCGGTGGTCTCGCCTCAGCACGACGCGCCTCAGGCCTCTACGGTGCTAAAACCATCGCAGTAGAGAACAAACGCCTCGGTGGAACTTGTGTGAACGTGGGATGTGTACCCAAGAAGGTCACCTGGAATGCTGCAGCATTGGCTGAGCAGATCAAAGAGTCCCACAATTATGGTTTCAGCGTCGAGCAGACTGCTCCTTTCGACTGGCCGCGTTTCACGCAAAAACGAGCAGCATACATCAAACGTCTGAATGGCATCTACGAGAAGAATCTCAAGAATGATAAAGTGGAATACTTGCACGGCACGGCGACATTCAAGGACCCGCACACAGTGAAAGTGGCATTGGATGATGAGAGTGAGGTGGAGATCAAGGCGAAGAAGATTCTGATTGCAGTGGGAGGACACCCAAACTACCCAGACATTGAGGGTGCAGAGCACGGAATTACGTCAGATGGATTTTTTGAGCTGCCACAGCAGCCTAAGAAAGTGGCCGTTGTGGGAGCTGGATACATTGCAGTCGAGATGGCAGGCATGTTCCACGCTTTGGGAACGGAGACGCACTTGTTCATTCGACATGACAAGTTCCTGCGAACGTTCGATCCGATGATTCAGGAGAAGGTTGTGGCAGAGTATGAGCGACAAGGAATTCACTTGCACAAGAACTCCAAGCAGACGAAGCTTGAGGACCTACAGACCGGCGGCAAACGCCTCACATACACCGATGAGAACGGCGATGGGATCCTAGATGTCGACACCGTGCTCTGGGCTATCGGCCGAAGTCCCGAATTGGAGAAACTCAACATCGACGCTACAGGCGTGAAACTGAACGAAAAGAAGCACATCCCCGTTGACGAGTACCAAAACACCAATGTGGACCACATCTTCGCCCTAGGAGATGTCTGCGACAAGAACTTCGAACTCACACCCGTCGCCATCGCGGCAGGACGTCGTCTCTCCGACCGTCTCTTCGGCGGGAAAGCCGACGCCAAACTCGAATACGATAACATTCCATCTGTTGTCTTCTCGCACCCTGTCGTTGGAACTGTCGGTCTGACAGAACCTCAGGCGAGGGAGAAGTATGGTGATGATGATATTAAGATCTACCAGGCGAGTTTTACGGCTATGTATTACTCTATGATGGAGCCAGAGGATAAGGGTCCCACATCTTACAAGATCATCTGTCAAGGGAAAGATGAGAAGGTCGTCGGTTTGCACATTTTGGGTGCTGGCAGTGATGAGATTCTGCAAGGATTTGGCGTGGCGATCAAGATGGGTGCTACAAAGGCGGACTTTGATCGTTGTGTTGCGATTCATCCAACAAGTGCGGAGGAGTTGGTCACGATGAAGTAGAGGAGGAAACCAGTGCTGAGGCCAGAAAGACGAGGCACGTCGTATGTGCTACCGAATGCACCTTTTTACGCTAGATGTTCATAGACATGTAATGAGAAGACAAACGGATTGCCATGAAGGCTTCTGAAGTTCTTTCTTTACGAGGATGAAAATATTGCTTGCTGGCAGAGATGTGAAAGAGCAAACACTGTAGGAGCAGGTGTGTGGATTTTTCGCGCGTGGAAAGTCTTTCCATTCCCATCCGCAGGGCGACAAGATCCCTCGCGGCTCGCTCGCTTGCTCCCTGCTGGCTGCTGTGTCACAGCATGAGAAACAGAATCCTCATCATAATGAATTCGTGGCAATTGCTCGCATGGGAGAGATTTCCCGGCTGGAGCTCAGGCCCACCACAGCATGCTCACAGGAATCGAGGCTTGCAGATGCGATCGATATCTCATCACTTGAGAGCAACAAATGATGTCGCTCCCGCAGATAACGCAACATAGTGGAGGAAGCAGACGGGACAAGGAATAGACGAAATTGGAATTCTCTGGAGCCGGGCCCGAGAACCCGTCTGGCGGAAGAGTTCGGCGTTGTTGAGGTGGCGGTACTGGATATACATATTGATCCTTGTAGGTTAGATATAAATGAACGCGAAGCTTTGATTCCATTCCGTCGTAACGTAAGTGATAGGTGACAATTAGCGCCGGTAGGAAGCGGAGCCTCCGTGTGGCATTGCGAAGAGGCGGTTGGGGACAGATTGGAATATATTGAGCAATGTGGCGAGCGCTGGGATGATAATGAGGACGAGGAGAACGTGTAGCGAGTTTGATATGGAGTCGGAGAAATTTTGTCATGTTGGAATTGTTTGAGAGCCGCCGAAGGCGCCGTCCACACAATTATTTCTTTGACGGAAGGAGCTGCAACAATTGACATGGCTGCCGAATTGCTGACACTTACAATCCTGTCGCTCGTATTGACTAAAAACCACACTATTTTTCCAAGAATCCCCCCCNGCTTCTCTCTGCCACTCACATCCCAAGCCCTCAGCACACCCATACGGAACTTCCTGCCTCCAACGAGCATACAACGCCGCTCCTCTCGCAGCCGCATACACTGGCGGAGCATACGCCACAAGCGAAGCCCTCAACTTCGATGTCCTTGCTGTATACGGTGGCCCCAGACGGTCTCCCAAAGCCTTCATGAGAGCTTCACGGGCTTCTGGTATTTCGATGGAGTCGCCAGCTAGTAAGACCAGAGAAATCGGGTACCCGGTATCTCGCTCTTCAGGCACGAGTTTTTGTTGTAGTGCATCCCAGTAATCTGCTTCGGAAGAATAGTTTCCCATCATATCTGTCCCGACTTCAGGATGCACAGCAGAGTGTTCACGCGACCATGGCGTGGTGAACGGAGCGTTCAAACCGACGATGGTGGTGTAGAGTACAGTACGCGATAGCGAGACGAAGTATACCGTTTCCCAGGTCATGTCTTCCAAGTTCTCTTCTTGACAAATGTGCACGTTCGTGTAGCCTGAGCAGAGGTTGTAGCCATTTGCGCCAAAGGTCGCTCGGCTTTCTATTAGTACTTTTGGCTGAATGGAGTCAATGTTGGGTTTGTGGAGCCAGGACTTTAGGCCTGCGAATTCGATTGCGTCGCCGATGTCTTCGTGTGATAGACCAGGTAAGAGGGGATGAGTGACGACTATGTGTGCTTGGTCCAGGGTGATCTTCAGCTTTGCTTCGGTTTCTTGTTTCACTCTTCGAATCATGCTGCCAATGATGCCAACGTTGAGAGTACTAGGTAGACCTCGAAATTTGTTCAATCGCCTTTGGAGTCTCGAAGAATATGTTGCTTGATCTTCCGGAGCTGTGGACAGCTGCAGCATAAGGCTCGTGTATTCCTGCGGTGCCTCGACCACAGCTCCATCTGCGATCGCGCCACCATAATAGCGTACACTAGACGTACTGTTATTTGGTCAGCGCAAGTCTACAAGAAGACTGGCCCGCAGAGCACAAACGCATATGAGAATGAAAGATCTATGCCGATGCCTGGAGCGTCGTGTATTGCCACGGGCAAGCAATCTTTACAGCGTGGAGTCCCGATCATACCGGTGACCGGTGCTATCAACCTAAACAAAGCCAGGAGATTCATGATTTGGTACATGCACTGTTGTCGTGCAAATATGCCCATCGCAGCAATAGGCAGGTGTCTGAACGGACCCGTGTTCACAAGTGCCAGCTGGGCCAAGAGTGATTGACCCCTCCATGCAGCCACGTTGTGAGTACAGCAATGCAGGACTTTTGTACACACGCATCAATCCATTTCTCAACCGTGTCGTTACTGATGCAGGAGGTAAACTTGCACGCTGTGAACATGTCGACCAAGAATTCATTCGTGCCTCAAGAGAGCATCGGCCAGAGTCTGCATCACAACGGCCATCTAGAACTTCTTGTCGGAGGGATCGGCACATACTTCACTGCGTTCGTTGTCATGGCAGTCCAGAACATCCATGTTTCTTGGTCGCGGATGCGTTGTTAGAGGTGTCCACGGCACGGAATTGCGAAGGCGGTCAGCAATAGATTGCAATATGACGTCGCGCTAGGATGATGACGAGAATGTAAGTACAGCGGCACACTCGAAGGACATGTCGTATTTTTGGGATGTCCGAACGACTGCGGGAGGCGCTGATGGCGTTAACGCGGTTGTCGCCCAGCGGGGTGAGGTCTGGGTATTTGCGATGTGTTGCTTGGCAGCTCATGCTGGTCTTGCGAAGGATTGGAATGCTGTGCAAGTCTTGCTGCGATGGTGAGGTGACACAATCTTGATCGCTGCTCCATGACCGCGCAGGTTTGTGATATCGTGCATGCGGGGGGGAGAAGTCGGACGTGCATTGTTAGCGTGCATTGTTGCTGCATGGTTAGATGAAGGCATTGCCTGCGAAGAGTCGTGCGCGCATGTGGTGCGGAGACTGAGGGGTCGACGAGACATTCGTGAGGAGGTGCAGTTCGTGTGTGAGTCGGCTGCTGTGGCACAGCAAGACGCTGTGTGACTGCAGTGTCTTTGGCTGCTTGGAAGCGATGCGCCCATCATTTTCGTAGTGCTCATCATACTGCAATGTGGGTCTGCCAAGAGGTGGAGCGTGTCGGATCTTGCACACACATACTCCAAGCAGCAGTGTTATCAAAGGTCGTCGAGATCCGTGCTGCGGCGAGAAATGGCCGTGCCTGGAAGGATTGCGCTATTGCTGTGGCAGGATCAGTAGCGTATACAGCAGGTGCAAAAGTAGGGTTATCAGGAGAGTGGATACGCAGGAATGAGGTCTCAGGGTTCGGTCTTCTGCAGGGATGCTTCAAGCCGGGACTTTGTAATCGTTCAGGCGGATTTTGCGGTACGATGCTCTTGCACGCTACAAAGCTGTCGAGATCGTACCAGAGCGCAGCGAGGGCTGGAGCAGTATAGCAGCGACGGTGTGCGGTGCGGAGAAAGAATTCCAAGCACCCGGTCGTGTTGGCAGCGCGCGCGGACTAGCGTCATGCTCGGGGGCGTGCGCAGTTGATCACGGTGGGGAAAATGTCTTGGAGGTAGTGTCGTGCAATTAATCTCGAGCCGCGCAAGTCGCACATGATGACGAGAAGAAGGCGCAAAGTGATGGCGACGCGGGTGATGCAGCGCAGACAGAGGCTTCCTGCAGCCAAAGCCGGGATGCCGGTACTCGCGCACTGTGGTGGAGGGCGATGAACTGACAGATGGAGACCCTGCTCCTGTTCCTCACCGCGTTTCGGACGATGCAACGCAGATGAATGGCTCCCACCGCACTTGCATTTCGGCTTCGTGCTGTGTCTCTTGCCGTGCCTGGTTCAGCGTCTCCCACCGTCGCCGGTGAGCCACGGCGGGCAGACGCAGGGCAGCAACGTTCGTCAGACCACCGCACCGTGGGACACTTGGTGTGAAGAAAGGGTGAAGTGGTCGTCGTCCATTTCGCGGCCGTCTCGTCGGCGTTGTGAGCGTGAGCGTGAGCTGATGTCCCGGACGAGACCGAGAGCGCGGAGTGTGCTGCGCGCAGGGATCTTCTCGCTCGCGCTTTCCTGTCCAATCATCGACCCCAGCTGCAGCTGCTCTACGAGGACGCAGGATCAGATTTTCTCCCACGTGGCAGGCCGCTGCAGGAACCACATTTACGACCTGGAATTCGGGATCCTGGCTCCCGAGATGTCGACAATGTCAATCCCAATGCGGTCGTCCCCTCACTCGTCCCGTGGTGACTGCGCGTTCGTCCTGCGGCGTCGCAGATACTTCTGCCAGTTGACGCCCAGTGAAAGCCGTGAAGAGATGCGACGTCCGGAAGGGGTTGGACCAGAGTTGTGAGGCTTCCACGCGTTCTAGTTGGTGCCCGCCCGCAGCCTGCTCTGGATCCACTCTGGCGGAGAGCCCAAAACATCAGCCCTGCGGCCGCTCCGGCGAGCTGTGATGGTGTTACCTACGCGTGAGCAAGCCACCCTCCACCTGCGGCTGCCTCGCGTACCTTCCGTCCTATTGCGCGCCTTTGCTCGAGCCACCACTTCACTAGACTCGCGACGCTAGTCTCGCCTTTATTCCTGGATGTGCGAATTTCGCACGGTTATGAGCGTTGGAGAAGAGCATTAGCGAGCCACGTACCTGTATAGCAACGCCAGCCAACCTACCTGCTGATCATCCGACCTGGGCCCAATGTGCACACGCCATACCCTCTGCAGCTCCCGGCCGTCTGGACACGCCTGACATCTATATGTAACCTCTTCCTACCCGTCCTGCTGGCACACAGCCTTTCGATCTCCACCACACGACTCCGACACACGATTGAGTCGTCATCAGCTTGCACCACTGCCACCGCACAACCCACGACCAAGACATCACGAGTCAAGAACCACCACGTCGCCTCCCCACAATCTTACGCAAAACTGGAGCACATCCTCAATGGATCATCTCTGTCCGAGGTCTTCATTCCCACTAGCACCATGCCTGTCGTGCCTTTCTCAGACAGTGCCTTCGGCTCCACCAACTCCTCCGCCAATGCGAGCGCCGTCCAACAAGACCACGCACACCCGCTTCGATCACACCGTTCCGCAGCGGACCTCCTGGCCGAACGGCTTCAAAGCTCTCACATCGCGCCGCAGCAGCAGCCGGACAGCGTCAAGCCGGCAACGCAACTCCTCGGCCGAGCCCGTCGTTCGGGATCAGGCTCCCCTTCACACCACAGAAGATCACTTGCGCGAACTTCCATCGACACCTCGCAATTCCAAGTCCAGACAACTTCTCCCAGCTCGCTTTCAAGGGGATTTCCGACGAGATTCCGCGACGATCCCGCTCAATCATCTGCCTCAACACCGTCATCACTGAATGACAATCTCTTATCACCGACATCAACCACAAGGGACTACCCAATCATTCCCACACGACCCCCACTCAGACCGACTGTCAGTTTCGGCGCCATTTCACATCATTCCTACGACTCTTCAAGCCCAATCACAGCAACGAAATCTCTACAAGAATCTGCCATGTTCTACGAGAAGCGAGCTAGCATCGAAGCTCGCGAAATCAAGAAACCTGCCCTGAGCCGCAAGATGCATCACTGCCTCTCTTGCTGCTTCGGCCAAACAGACCCTCCAAGTCCTTGACATCCTACCTCGACCACTCACTACTCATTTCCTTTTGACTACAACTCTGGCGTTCAGCGACATCAACATCATTTATTTGACAAAAATCAATCGATTCAGCGACGGTGTTTGGGAGTAGCAAGCGACTGCCGCAAGGCAAATCCTGCAAAATTGCACATAAGATTCGCTCTGCTACGTGGACAGTTTGGGAAGGCATTAATCTGGACAATCAAACATGTTTCGGTGTCTGTGTGTAAGAATAACGAGAGTAACAAGATATCCCCGGCGGGCTTTATTATTAGATGATGCGATGTCGGTGGGCATTGAACAATATGTGGCGATGTAAGATAGATAAGTTGTTGATGCATTCATGGATGAATGCTGAATGGGGCTGGTTACCCGAATGGGATGTATGAATTGAGAAAGGATCTTTGACTGTCACTCACACACTCTCCTCTCGATTGATTACGGTCGCCTTTGACAAACCAGTACCCTGCAGGAGAGACTCATTGTCTCGCATATTCGGTTACGTCCTGACTACACGGCTGCATTGCGCATGGACAGTGCCGCCAACCGCTGAAGCTGTGCTTAGACCTAAAAACCCTGATGATGATCAACGAAGTGTGAAATATTACGCCACAACGGTTTCTCTGGGCAAGAACCATAGAACGTTGCCCGTTCTTTTTCGCGGAAACCAAGATTCCGGGATGATGACCGTTGAGACATCTGGAACAACGGATTGCAATTGCAATTCTGCAATTCCCTTTTTGATGAGCCGGGTAGGAAGTTGACTGCCGCGGTATTAGAGGGTGGTGGTCGAGACTGTTCGATAAAATCACATCCATTTGGCCAGCTCTACACGTTCGTTCTCGCCGGCAGCCAGGGAGGTAAATGAGTTGCACGCCTTCAAACACTGCGTGGACTGTTAGAAGATGGGCTCACGCACGTCTTCGCTCCACCATCCACCGAATCAGTCAAGGTATTCGGTAGACCGAAAGCAAGCAAGGCAAACAATCAAAAGATCGCGAGTGACAGGATTGTCACTGTCTTCAAATTTTCCCATTTTTGATGTCCACAGCTATTTCAACCCCCTTCTCCTTCCCTACACCTAAATCTCCTCCTCATAATCCTCATCAAGCAACGGCGACCTCACCTTAAGTATGACCCTCTTATACCTCCTAATCGGCGGCTCCCCACTCCCCCTAACCTCAAAAATCACATGATACTGCTGACAAGTTTTTTGAATCCCCAACCCAACATTCGCATCCGCTTGTACAGGAATACAAGCTTCTTCTGCGCTTGGCATTTGCACACTCGCGACTTTTCCTCCCTCCGATAACGTAAAATTCAAAGTCGGAATATGTTGCACTCCCGTGTCCATTGTTGCGGAGGGTTCTTTGTACTGCCACCAGGAATATTCGAGGCCGTTGGAGTGGCCTGAGAGACCTTCGTCGGGGTCGTAGGTGGAGGCGCCGGAGAGGGTTACTGTCTCGAGGGGGGACACGGTGTAGGAGATGTGGTTGCTGCCGCAGGAGTTGTTGACTGAGACGACTGGAGGGTGGGAGCCGGAGGAGTAGTTTGATTGGATTGTCCATTGAACTCGAGCGGACATTTCGTCTTGGTAGGCTTGTCGCCAGCGCCAGATTGTGGCTTGGGTGGTTGTGTGGGTTTTGTTGTCGATGCCGAGGACCTGCAATTGGAATCAGAAGGTCTGTTCCTCACACAGAAAAAAAAAAGCTGGCGAGGGCTCGGTATTGAGCTGACTTACAGTATCCTCCGTGTTAGCATACTGCAACGTCTGCCGACTCGGATCCACCAAATCATATCTTCCACCCCAGCCTCCCCATTCTGGATGATCTTCAGGACCACCATTGATACCATTGACCATGGTGTGCAGGAAAGTCGGAGTATCACCTTCCATCGAGTATCTGATATCAGGATAATACGGCCCTAGAGGACCAATCTGGAAATTCTTGGTCGAGTACTCCTGATTCGTGAGGCTGGTGTCTGATCCTACTCCACCAGAGAACCCTGTCCAAGTCGCTTCTTGATAGACATTGAATCCATGAATCGAAGCAATATAGTGTAGGCGAGGAAAGTTGATTCGGATCCAAGGTCCTGCGTTGTCTTGATCGCTGATGGTGTAGAGGCGAAGCTTACTGACGAATTCGTCTGTTTGTTGAGGTTTGCGTGTTGAGCGGACGTATTTCAGAGCTTCTGCGAGGGTCTGTACGCCTCCCCAGCCTCCGACGTGAAGGATCTCGTCTTTGGGAAGGTCATCGACTACGTCGATCAAATGCTTGGCGCCTTCCGAAAGTGTCTTCTCCTTGAACACATCCGTGCCATAGACGGGATGTCCTGCTTTGACGATCGATTCGAGGTATGCTTTCGTTGGGAATTCGCCATCGGAGTGAAGATTCAGCTTGTCGAGAACCTGGTCCCAGACATTTGTCGTGTTCAAAATCGCTTCTGGTCGTACTGTGCTGTTGAGCCAGTATGATGTCGTGGCCACGATTCCGGTGATGTTGTATTGGTCACTGTGCAGCAAAAGCCGCACAAGCGACATGGAATCATCGGGCTCATTCGTGATGTCTGTTAGAACAAAGATTTGTGGCTTCTTGTCGATAGTAATTGCCGGAGGACATTTTTCTGTTTCGTTAGTCGTGCTTGCTACCAGACTTGTTGCCAAGCCCAGCAGGCACAACGTACACTTGAACATGACGATCCCGTGAACCTGAACCGAATTCGCATGACTATTTTCTGGCGTTGGCCACTATTTATTGGTGCCTCTCGGTACACGGTGGAGTGTCCTCCGATAGCGTCGATCAATGACGAAGTGAGGAGGCGTGTTTTCGGCAAATCTCAGGCAGCTCTGCTTAGTCTTGCTAATGCTATGGGGCGAACTGCGGAGACCCCACGAAGCCTCCAATGATTGCCTGTTTTGGTAAAAAGAGCGTGTCTTCCACGCGACTGCTACTGCCGGGCCCAAGGTTCTGCCGATCGTATTACCATATTGTATGGTGAGAACGGTACTGTATTCGGCAGTCCTCCAACGACAGAAATTGCCAGGAACACGATGTGTCTCTGGCCAAGATCGTGCCATTCGTCTATGGCTGCGTGTTCATTGTTGCCTCAGAGCCATCATTTCTCTCTGCACTTCCAACTTACGCACCTCAATGAGATTTTTGTCGATATTCAACTGCTTGAGCTCCAATTGAAGTTTATGCATCGTCCGACTCTTTTCCACCTTTGAGAGCTTCGTTGGCAATGATCGCCCTGGAATCTTGTGCTTCGTCACCCTGTTATTGTCGGTCGTGGGTGTGATGCGGCGTCTCTTGTGTTCCGACTCCTTCTTGAGGATGATTTCTTCGTCATCTTGGTCGCTAGTCATACGAGATGCCTGCGGTGCTGGTGATGGGGATCGGGAGACTGATGGTGACGGGCTTCTCTTCCGCTTTGAAGACAATTCCCTCTCCTGTGCCAGCTTCGCGACTTTCTTTGCCTTCTTCTCTTCCTTTCGCGCTTTCCGCTCAAGATGGCTTCGAAGCGGTTCGTCCAGGTTCGCGGACTCAGATTTGCTGGGCTTTTTTGCGTCGCGCCTCGTTGTATTGATGCTTTCGTCGGAACTCTCTGCGGTTTCCTCTGCTATCGCTGCTCTCTTCCGCCGTTTCTCTTCGATCTTTTGCTGTCGCCGTTTCTCGACTACTTCTTCGTCTCCGTGGCTAAGCGACTTCTTCTTGTTGGCAAGTTTCCCTGCGTTCGCAGCCTTGTTGTAGGCCATCTTGTCCTCACAGCTTTGCTGTGTGCCGTCTGTGTTGTGTTGTTGCGTCTTGTGCCACGAGAGTCGCAATTTTGACGAAGATGTTTGACCTCTCAAGCTTCATGTTTGCTGCAGCTGTATTTTCACTTCAGAACACGCGCAATCTCCGCGCCACGTAGGCACCCAGCCACCTTTCCGTGGATTTGATTGTCAGTCCTCACTTCACTTCCGTACTCCGATGTGCTCAGCTGCATGACAGTATTGAAGAGTCAACCTAATGCTACCAATGAGCGATGTGAGCCCATGCTTCCATTTCCAAAATGTGAAATTTGTATGCCAGAACCCACTCTCAGACAATCAGACAATCCAAGTGTTAGCTCAAGACCTATTCCAACTCAGCGAGGCCTTGTCGGCCATCGAACGGGTAATCTGTGGTGCACTTATGCATCGTCTGTGTATCGAGATAGATTCACTCTGGCCCAGGAGCCATAAGTCTGGCTACTCCGTCCAGCTTCTGCAGCACGATTTGCTTCTTGTCAATCTCCAATGGTTGCACTCCTAGCCGTAGCTTCTACTTCTGCTGATCTTTGTTGACTTGTGACATTCTTGGCCGCAATCTTCCAAGCTGAATCTCGGGAAAATCTGAGGTGTTTGGTGGTGGCATCGTCTTCTGGCCTTCTTTGCGAGCTCGTGTCTGCTTCGGTGGCAATGGCGTCCGCTGGGAGCTCTGCTGTTGGAGGGGCTTCGGAGTTACAGCAGTTCGAGTGCTGAGCGGGCTGGAGCGAGGCTCAGATTTGAAGATGATCTCCTCATCGTCTTGATCGTAGAAGGGAGCAGGCGAGGTCGGCAATGTCTCTTCTTTGGCAGTTGGTGTTCTTCTTGGGTCGTTGTGCGCTGTGCGCTTCACTCCTTCTGCTTCTGCTTCGCGGGCCCCTCTCTCCCTCAATGGCGTTCGCGCCGTCTCCTGCCCAGCAGCCTCGAAGAGTGGTTCATCGAGACTCTCTGTTGGCGCTGTTCCGTGTCCTCTCCTATTCATCGTCGCACTCCATTCCAGCTCCTGTTCAATCTCCTTGTCCAGCGCTGCATTCTCCTGCAAATCCCTCTTGATCTCCTTTATGAGCTTCAGCCTCTCCTGCTCATCGGTGCGATACCCTCTCAAGAACCTCCTCATAAAGAGAGCTGCCTTCGCATCTGCCGCAGTGGCGCGCTTCATCTTCTTTGGGCGGCGTTGCGCCTGTATGTCAATCTTCTATGTTTATTGTGTCGTTCAACTCCGAGCACCGTGCGGGCATGTCTGAAGTTTAGAGCTTTGTTTGCTCTCGCGCCGCTTTCAGTCTAGAGTCCTCAGCTTCGCACAACCCGAGGCACTGGCTCACTCAGTTGCGCGTTGTAAATGTGAGCGCACAACTTGGCCGCGATCCCCGTCCGCAAAACTTGATCGTCGCGTTGAGACATCGCGAGGCTGGCGTGGATTACTACTAAGATCAGCGGAACGAATTGGAAGAGGGTACCTTGTACGGTCGTCTGCACCGTTGGAGACCAATGTCATATGAGCTATGTCTCAACTAATCGGGTAGCAGCTGTTTGCTTGTGATGAGCCATTGCACATGAACTCCATGCACTAAAGGAGGTGACTTACTGCAATGTCCCATGTTTCGTGCCCTGTACTCCTCGCCTCGCTACTCTCGCACTTCAGAGACTTAGTCTTTGTCGATCTATCTACAACTCCCCACAATCTTCCTGCACCATTCGCAAAGTCTCGTCGCCCTCCTCCCACCACTTGTCCAGGACTTTTAGCCCCCGACGCGCCATGCCTGCATCTCGATTCCGATAGACCGAGTCGATGTACCGCACATCAGGCGGCGAAAGCAAGAAGCGTTTCGGTCCGTTGTGAAACTCTTCGTAGCTCATGCCCTGATACTGCTCCGTCACATTATTTGCCAGCCGCTCTCGGACAGCGTGCATAGACTTCTTCAGATACAGACCTGCTTTGACCTCGGCTCTGGATTTGCCACCTTTGACGAGCGGGTCGACTTTGAACCAGACGAGAGTCGAATTCGAGATGACGGCTTCAGTTATGTTCAGCAGATCTTCGCAGGTCATGGGAGTGTAGCCGATGTTGAGATATCGCAGTCCTGTGCCGGTGCTACAAGTGACCAAGTCTTGTAGAGATTTGGCGAACTCTTCGCCATCGAGCCAGTTGAAGCGCACGTGCAAGTCCTCAGTTGCGTAGGACTGCCCGATATCAACTGTCTGTAGAGTCGGATGTCCCTTGACAGCTTCGAGAAGTTTGGCAGTAGTTGGGCCTGTGAGTCCGCAGGATTGCAGGGCGAGACGCTGCAAGGTATGAGACTCTTGCACACCATCAGCTAGGAGTGCAACAGCTTCGCCAATGGGGTTGCAGGAAAGGTACAACGATTCGAGCTCGCTATGCTTCAGGTACTTGCCGATCTCAGTCAACGCTTCGGCACCGATGCCCGAAGCATTGAGGTAGACGTGTCGAAGCGCGATCGTCTTTTCATGACGATTCAGCAAGTTGAATAAATTTGCTACTCCTTCGTTTCCCAGGTTCGTCTGATCCAAGTCTAGAGTCCGTAACACAGGTGATGATGTGCAAAGCCGCGCAAGTGCCTCTGCAGAGTCCGCACCAAGAGGATTGCGCTTGAGCCATACATTCGTGATGACGAGAGACTTGATCATGGCTTCAACAAGTGCTTCGAGACCGCGTTTATCGATGCAATTGCCTGCGAGATACCATGTCTCGTATTGATCAGGGCGCTCTTCGATGAATTTGGCAATCTCACGCGCGCCTTGCGGGCCGACGATGTTATTGCCCAGAAGGAAGTGTTTGCCGCTGGCGTAAGATCGAAGCGCGTTCATCAGATCGCCAATGTTCGGTGGCCCAGTAACCATCTTGCACAAGTCAATTCGGCCGTCATTGTAGGCCACGCCTTTGGAGAACTCGAGCAGTTCAACTTCCTCATGACCGGGCTCATGCGCGACTTCGGGCTTCTCGCCAGTGGCATTGCCGCGGAGGTATTCGAAGAATGGCGCAAGAGATGCTTTGTCGCTGATTTGGACCGGCATGGGCAGTGATGGTGGTCCAGCATATGAGAGGGGGTCGGAAAGTGGCTGCCATGGACCTTGACTGGTAATGCGGTCTGCCCATCTCTTCGATGTAGACTCCGTGGCCTCGAGATTGGAGACTTCTTCGGTCGGCGATGCCATGATGGGCTTAGCACTGCTTCGTTTTAGGTGTTTGATGAAGTCAACTGACAAGTGGACGCTGAAGGAAAGATGATGCCGCTTTTGAGTAACGAGCGATTGTGGCTAGACAGCAATTTGTGATGACTCCTGTCCTGAGTCACCCAGTCTGGCGGAAATGGTTAATGCTGTGGACCTAGTATGCTTCGACATGTGAAGGTTTTAATCGATACCAGGACCCACAAGGCTGATGTGAAGCATGCGCATGCAGTTCAGTGCCTTCCTGCGTCTTGTGCTGCTACTCTCTAGAAACTCCTGGCATCCGAATTGTCTCGCAACTACAGTTTCCTCCTATCATGCCTATGTTTGTGCTTTGCCCTTGGAGTCATAGTGTCATTTTCCACCGGTAGTGCTGAGGCTGTAAAAACATGCCGAGCTCGAATTTGCCAAGGTATGTTGTTTCCAGCTCCCCGAAGAGAAGGACCGACGCGCACACGCCATGACAGTGTTGTCTGGCCGGCCTGGTGGCAATCGAGGAGAAGTCTTGCCGGATGATGTGAAGTGGTGCAGGTGAGAGAATTGGCAGGAAGAGACGAGGTCTCGTCACGTCTTGTCAAGTGGGGAGCTCCTGTACGAACGCCATTGATCCGAGGATGTGTGGCTATACAAACACGTCTCGAACCGCTCCGGACCGCCAACAACCACAGTCCTACCCGTACATCCTTTCGTGTTTCGCTATAGCTCGATGCGTACCACACACAGATACAGTACGCTAGCATTGGTTCCAGCTCAGTGCGACACGCCACCATGTCCGTCTTATCGAGCTCCGTGAAGCTCCCGACCACGAGAAACGCCCTACTATCACTCCCGCCTTCAATACGATCCGCAGTATACGCAGCCGCTCAGACACGATGGCAGTCTACGATACAGCCCAAAGAGCACCCGCGAACAGCCATCTTCTTCCCCGGGCAAGGTGTACAACGCGTGGGCATGACAGCGGACTGGATAGAGGCATTTCCTCGAACAGTCAAGCCTCTGTTAGAGCAGATGGATGAGACACTGAAGCAGCCTCTGTCGAGGATTATAGAAGAGGGGCCGAACAGTAAATTGACAGCGACGGAGAATGCACAGCCGGCGATTATGTGGACATCATTGATTGTGCTGCGAGTGCTGGAGCAGGAATTTGGCTTCAAACTTACTGATCGCGTGGATGTGACCCTGGGTCATTCACTGGGCGAGTTCGCTGCGCTGGTCGCAGGCGGCTATCTACGTGATCTGGACGCGCTCAAGCTGGTGAGACGAAGAGCAGAGAGCATGGCGAAGTGCAGCAAGGAAGCGAAAGAGGAGGTGGGCATGATTGCACTGGTATGCGAGGCAGATCGATTGCAAGGCATGGTGGAAGCTATACACAGCTTCCTGGGACACACATCAGAAGGCGCGAAGACGGACAGTCATTCGGACACCGATCTGCCACCTGTACAACAGGTCCTGATCGCGAACGTCAACTCAAAGAACCAGATCGTGCTGTCTGGTGGCATTAAGAGAATCAACGAATTGATGACACATCTTAGGCAGTTCGGAGGACACGATCCCAGAGCTGTGCGGCTGAGCTCTGACAGCCCTTTCCACAGCCCGCTCATGAAGCCGGCAGCGGAGCTCATGAAGAAGCTCCTGTATCAGCCTTCGCCTACACACAAAGACCAGGACTTCGTTGTATGGCCGGGCTTGATGCCTTGCATCAGCAATGTGTCTGCTAGGCCCTTTCAGAACAAGGACCAGCTCAAGGATCTGCTTGCAAGGCAGTGTGTGGAAACTGTTCTCTGGCATGACAGCATTGTGTACCTGCATCAAGAGGAGAAGGTCAAACGATGGATAGGAATTGGGCCTGGCAAAGTTGGTCGCAACTTGGTAAGTGCATGGTGTGGTGGTCGTTCGCTTCCACCAGCAAGCTAACATTCGTGCAGGTCGGCAAGGAAGTCGGTATGCGCGGCGCTGTTCGTGGCGGGGGAGTGTGGGGAGTCACCTCACCCAAGGAGATTGAGGAGTTTCTCCGCGACTTCGATTCGACCGAGAACATGCAGGAGGAGTAGGATCCGTGAGCGGCTCTGGTTTACCATACTAATGCCACCTCACAAAGTCAGCATAGATGCGGTCAGTCAACGATCGAGCACAGATGCTCTTCTGGCCACAGAAACGATCGTTGATGAGAGGTTGGGAGTCCAAGGTTCATGCACACAGCAGTGCATCTGGACGGAAGCAAAGAACGTGGCTCCACAGACCACGGCTTGTGTCGAAGACTTTTCTAGGCGGAGTTGCGATGTACAGCCAAGACACAACGCGCAGCGAGAGTAGTCAATACCGCCTGTCATGGCACAGATTGTCGGCGGCCTCTGCGGACTCGGAGTCTCGCATCAACTTCCTCATTTTCCCGAATGCAGTTCGTGAATTCGCGCTGGCAGATGGAGCCCGCGTTCTCTCATCCCACATCCGCCGATCTCGGGCTCATCAAGCATCGATGGAGCAGAAAGCTTGGCTTCCCTGCATTGCGACGCCGGCGCTCCCTGGTGCAGGGAACCCAATCACAAGCTCACAGCTCTTATCGCTCGCCTCTTTATCAGACTCTCGCGACCAAAAAAATGACATGCACCACCCTCTGCGCTGCTGTACGCGCTCTTACGTCGCCTGCAGAATCGACGCGGATGGGGCAAACAAATTATGCTGGAGTGGGTGCTGCGGCACGCTGTCTGGCAATTGTCCACCCAGTGCAATCGTCCGATTCTGCCTGGCCAGCTGGGATCCGCGCTCTTCCACGGCGCCGTTGACGTGTTGGAATCGAGCAATAGCATGGTTTGGCTACTGCTCTGAGAGGGTCCAGCCTGAGAGATTGCGCGGTAGGCGCGACGATGGGGTGAAGCAGAACCGGATAAGTTCACCTCACCTCTGCTCTTCAGCTTGTTTCCGCCTCACTTCTTTCCTCTTCACTTCTTCCTCATCTCGGACCTGACTCTTCCTGTATCTGAGTTATCGAATCCTCTTAACAATCCCGAATACCACTAGCTACTACTGACATCGAACATCCTCGACCGAGCATATCCGCAATCATGACTACCAACAACGTCTCCGAGCCCGAGTTCGAGCAGGCCTACAAAGAGCTGGCCTCCACACTTGAGAACAGCTCCCTCTTCGAGAAACACCCTGAATACAAGACCGCTCTCAAGGTCGCAGCTATTCCAGAGCGTGTTATCCAATTCAGAGTTGTTTGGGAAGACGACAAGGGCGAATGCCAGGTCAACCGCGGTTTCCGTGTGCAATACAACTCTGCTTTGGGTCCATACAAGGGCGGTCTCAGATTTCACCCATCCGTCAACCTTTCAATCTTGAAGTTCTTGGGCTTTGAGCAGATCTTTAAGAATGCTCTTACAGGGTGTATGTGCGGTTGATCAGTGGAACGGGAGAAACATTGCTAATGAATACATGTAGTGTCAATGGGAGGTGGCAAGGGTGGCGCTGACTTCGACCCCAAGGGCAAGTCAGACAACGAGATTCGCAAGTTCTGCGTCTCTTTTATGCGCGAGTTGAGCAAGCACATTGGTGCGGACACAGATGTTCCAGCTGGTGATATTGGTGTTTCTCCACGAGAAATTGGTTGGATGTTTGGCACATACCGCGCTGAGCGCAACCGATGGGAAGGTGTCTTGACCGGCAAGGGTGGCAGCTGGGGTGGATCTCTCATCCGTCCTGAGGCTACTGGTTACGGTCTTGTCTACTGTAAGTTTCCCAACACTGCATGTCTCACCCTCATGATCGGCAACTGACATCAGTATGCAGACGTCCAGCACATGATCCAATACGCCTCTGGAGGCAAGGAGTCCTTCCAAGGCAAGCGCGTTGCGATTTCTGGCTCTGGCAACGTCGCTCAATACGCTGCTCTCAAGGCCATCGAGCTCGGTGCTACTATCGTCTCCCTCTCAGACAGCAAGGGCGCCATCATCGCAACCGAAGGCGAGGGCATCACTCCCGAAGTCGTCAACTATATCGCTGACCTCAAAGTCAAGCGCAAGTCTCTCACCGCGCTGTCCGAGAGCACAGAGTACAAGGACAAGTACAAGTACATCGAGGGTGCACGTCCATGGGTCCACGTTGGAAAAGTCGACGTTGCCTTGCCATGTGCTACACAGAACGAGATCTCGGGCGAGGAGGCTGAGGCACTTGTCGCTGCTGGTTGCAAGTTCACAGCCGAGGGATCGAACATGGGTTCTACTCAAGAAGCCATTGACGTGTTCGAAGCTTCGCGAAAAGAGAAGAAGACCGAGGGTATCTGGTACGGACCTGGAAAGGCTGCCAATGCTGGTGGTGTTGCCGTTTCTGGACTTGAGATGGCGCAGAACTCTGCAAGACTGAGCTGGACGTCTGAGGAGGTGGACCAGAAGCTCAAGGGTATCATGCAAGCTGCTTTCAAGAACTGCCTGGAGACTGCGAAGGAGTATGTTCCAGCTGGTGATGGCGAGCTTCCATCATTGGTTGCTGGCGCCAATATTGCTGGTTTCAGCAAGGTTGCTGCTGCTATGCGTGACCAGGGCGATTGGTGGGCATACTAGATTCTTTTCTTTCACCGGAGTGTTGAGGATTGGAAATGAATGGATGATACCACGGATACAGAGCGATGCAGATATGTAAATAGGATACAGCGACAGGCGTTCTGGAAAGAGGGTGATGCTCAATAGAATTCTTCAAAACGATATGATTACTTCTGAAAGCTGTATGGCACATATGTGCACCTTAAGCATGTAAGTTTCGTCAATTGGTGGCGTGCACTAGTGCTCTTGTCCCACCTGCAGGATTCAGCTCGAGCATTGATCGCGACTTTACTGCACCTTCTACTTGTCGCACGTACACATTGGCTTTCTGAGACTTGGAGCATCGGAGCAGCCAATGGACGAATCAAACGCGAATCCAGCAAAATGGTCTTTACCAATATACACTGCAAGACCTCTCTGCCCGACCGGGGATTTATGCGTCACCTGCGACGAGATCTTCAATCGTTTGCTCTACCCAAATGCAATGTCCACCCAAGCTGCGCAAGAACAAAAACCTGGTTACCTAGCATTCCCTGTTTCCGGATGGCTAGACCGTATTGTGGTCACTCAAAGCTGCGCGCTCTGTCGGTTCGTCACAGAACTCGCGAAAAGTCTGGATCTTGATCTGGATTCCTTTCATGAGAATAATCGAATACATTGTACAATTCCCGAGTCGCATACGATTGAGACTATTCCTTCTTCTCCGCGTGGTTTGCGCGCAGAATGGAGTCTACAGGTTCAGTTTACGAGGTTTGAGAATGTTGTGATTGGAGATGAAGAGGGAGAAGAGGGTGTTGGTCAGAGGATGGAAAGTGATGCTGGGAAGGCCTTTTTCTCTTTGAATCAACGCTGTCTACAGGTTCTACGCAGATATGATGAGGGTCTGGAGGAGGATAACGTTTCAGTGTTCCATGTTGGGCGAGAGGTTGCTAACGATGTCGATCCAGCTTTTCTGAGGAGATGCTATGAGACATGTCGAGAGCATCACGGGTCCGCTTGTGAGGGTTTAAGGGCTGTGATGAAGACTCCAAAAGACGAGAGCGTTGCAGATCGACCGCATCTCCGCTCAGTCAGAGTGATTGATACACAGACGTTGAAGTTGGTCGATTTGCCAGATGGGGCAGATTTCGTCGCGTTGTCGTATACTTGGTCTTCTGAGCCTTTCATGTCACTTCTTAAAAGTACGCACGAGAGTCTTTTCGAAGCAATCAACTTGGAGGATGTACCACCTACTATCAGCGGCTCTATCCAAGTCGTACAAGCTATCGGGGAACGATACCTATGGGCAGATCGGCTCTGCATCATACAGGATTCTCCGGATGACAAAGCTATTCAGCTCACGCAGATGGATAACATCTATCGTCGAGCAGTGCTAACTATTGTTGCTGCAGCATCTGCACTAGACGGCACAGACAAAGGACTTCCTGGAGTTCGGAAAGGAACGAGGAGAGTACAGCAAGCCAAAGCTACAATTCGACAAGATTTTCGATTGATCCAGACACGTGCGAGTGTTCTCGACACAGCGATCTGGCACTCACGTTGGAGCACGCGGGCATGGACTTATCAAGAAGACGAAATGTCCAAGCGGCAATTGGTGTTCCTACCGCAGCAGGTTGCATTCTACTGTCCGAAAGAGACTCTTCACGAGGATTATGTTCGCCGAACTTGTCTTCATAATGCCGATGAGCAAGAAGTGTTTCGGAAGAAGAACGGGACACTGCCAATCTGTTGTCGATATGAGATTTCCCCCTCGTCCGACGATTTCGAGGGTCCGTCCATGTCAGGCGCCGCGCATTCGTATGGAGCTATAGTCAGAGAGTACACAGCTCGGCAGATAACTGTTTCGACAGATATTCTTAACGCAATTGACGGGCTGTTCCGCATCGTGACGAAAGAGACACAAGAGAGATTCCTCTGCGGGTTGCCTCTGGCTCTCCTTGTGACGGACTGGCTGGTCTGGAGACCCATCGACTATAGTGAACGTCGGAAACAGGTTGCCTTTGGCGTAGAAGCAAAAGAAACGGATCCGACATTCCTGCCCTCTTGGTCGTGGGCTGGCTGGAAAGGTCGCGTGGACTATCCTTTGGGAGTCACAAGTTTCGAGTCTGGAGCGCCGAGTAGTGATTGTGAGCCGCTTGTGTAAGGAGGGTATACTGTGCTTGCACCCAGGAATCGAGAAGGAGAAGATGACTGCCACAAAGAGACTTCTCCCTTTATCGAACTCCGGCCGGACGACATCTACTTAGATCCTGATATCGATGCATCTTGCCTTCAGCACAGCGAACTCCGCTTCTCCGCACCAACAGCCACCGTCCATCTCGCGCCAACATTCTGGGGCTCCAATTTCGAACAAACCTCTCCCGTCCTTCCCAATACCACTTCACGCGCCCACCAAATATTCATCAACTCTTCCTTTGCTGGCGTCATCTTCCCTCACATTCCATTCTCAATTTCCCCTTCCGATCTTCGCGAACTGAGTCAAGACTTCCGCCATTTGGGTGAGACCTCTTCCCTACGAGAAGTCGAACTCATTGCCTTATCGGAGCCTCCTATGCCATGGGGAATGTATTACCCGTATAATCCGGATTATGAGGACGCTGGGGAGAACAACTCGTATGTGGTTCCGGAGGGCGAACAGCAATGGCATGGATCATGAAGTTTGGAATGGCGTGGAGGATGGAGGAAAGGTGGTGAATGTTTTGATGATTGAGAGGGATGGCGGCGAGAACGGGTCGGCGAGAAGGACCGGAGTTGGACAGGTGCATTGTGATGCGTGGGAGATGGCTAAGCCGCAGGTGAGGGAGATCGTCTTGGGTTGAACTGGTTGCTCGAGGCCTACGTTGTGGCTTGGCGGTTCACCATGACTGAGAACAGGTATGGTACCGTATCGGACGGAAGCGACACGAATTCAGAGTTGTCGGATCCTGATGTTAACGATTCCCGCCGATTCATTACGATGTACTTGCTTAAGCCTTGGTCTTCCTCTTCTTCGTCTTCTCGGTCGTGGTCTTGACCTCTCCACTCTTAGTCTTCCTCTTGGTCGTCTTCTCTGCAACAACGGCCTTCCCGTTCGCTCCATTCTCAACAGCCGCCACAACAGTCTCTTCCACGACCGGTGCTTCCTCCTCAGCATTCTTGATCGCTTTTTTAGACTTCTTCGTCTCAGCTCCAGCCTTTGCCCGTTCAATCTCTTTCGGCGCCGCCACGGCCTCCACACCCTTCACATCAGGCATGTCGAAATCGTATCCCAGTTCAGCGAGTTTTGCAGCCTTCTCTTTCCGCCTCTCACTCTCGCGAGTGATGCGCTTCTCCCAGCCTTCCTTATCAGTTCCTTTCCTCAATCTGGAGCCTTCAATTCTGTTCCTCGGCCGTGCTTTACCGTTACCCTTCACAGCTTTTGCGCCCTTCCAGATGCCCTCTTTGACCTGCTCTGGTGGCACGCGCTTGCATTGCAGAATGTGTCCGAACATCAAATACTTGTCCATTGTCTTGACTACGATATCCGCGACTGTCGAAGCAGCGAACTCAACGAATGCATAATGCTTGCTCTTTCCCGTCTTCTTGTTTCTTGCCAGGCGGAGATTCGTCACATCGCCAAATTGCGCCAAGTATGCGCGCAATTGTTTCTCGTAGAAGCCGTGTGGAAGTCGAGACATGTAGACGACGCCTGGTGTGGCCTCTGGGTCTGCTGCGCCGTCTTTCTTTGGCTTGATTCTCGAGATTTTCAGCTCGCGTGCGATCTCTTTCTCGGTCTTTGGAAGTGCAGGCAGCTTCTCGATGGGAATGCCGTCCTGGTCGCGATCGACATCGTCTTCGTCTTCAGACTCATCGGAGGAGAAACCAGCGAGGAGCGCGGCAGTTTGGTCTGGTGTGAGCTCTGCGCCGCCATCGGATTCGTCGTCGGCTTCCGCTGCGACGGGCTCTTCTTCCACAACAACCTCTTCAACGACCTTCTTAGCTGGCTTTCCACTCTTCTTCTCTTTCGCCGGCTTCTCGGTTACAGTAGTCTCGACTTTGGCGGTTTTGCTGCCCTTGAGAGCAGATTTCGCGGGCGAAGGTCGGTCTGCGGATTTGTTCACAACGGCAGTGGTTTTGACCTTCTTTGCGACAGGCTCAACATTTTCGCCCGACTTGCGCTTCTTTCCTTTGGTATCTGCTGACATTGTTGCTGTACAATAAGTGGTGTCAATGGGATAGAATGAGGTTGGTTGCTGAAGCTCGAGATTATTTTCCAAAAATCGAACGAAACTTTGCCGACTGGCGAAAGTGGTGGGACGCTAAGAGACGCGACTTGCCTCGATCACATGAAAGACTATTGACTTCACCTTCGTCAGGTCTGCTCTTCAAATCGCATTTTCGACCATGGCGAATCGAGAGCTGACGCATGATGAGCTGTGGGATGATTCGGCTCTCGTCAACTCCTGGAATGATGCTTTCGAGGAATACAAGGTATGCCGTCCGCGACATTCGAGCCGGACAGATTCATTGACATTTATCACAGAAATATCACAGCTTAGCACAGAAAGGAGAGAAAGTCGAAATCACGCAAAAACCTGAGTCCAAAGAGCCAGTGCTCTCCAAAGCAGCCGCATACCTGAACGCAAATGGCACATCGAAACCTTCTCCAGCCGCTCCCATCAACTTCGCCCCGTTATCGAAAGAATCACCAAACCAACATCCATCGGCCACAGCAACAGTTCCTCGACCTCCTCCTGCTGCTCCTCCAGGTCTCGCCAGTGTCCCACAAGCCCTCATAGGTGGCGGTGAGTCGAGGCATACTTTCCCCCGTCGACACAGAACTGACTCGCCACCAGCACAAAACGAAGACCTCAAGAATATCATGATGTCGTGGTACTATGCGGGCTACTACACCGGCCTCTACGAAGGTCAACAGAAAGCTTGGACGGAGATGCAGGAAAGTATGCAAGCGCAACAGCAGCAGCAGGAGGGTGAATGAAGACCTTTCGCGCTCGTTCTCAGTGTAACTGTAAGGGTCGCAGCAGTGCCAGGGGCACGTTTTAAGCACCACATCTCCCTGAACGTCATCAAGCGATGGGAATCACAAGTCGTTGCTGTAAGTAGCTCGTCGGAAACCACAGGAATTATAGCTGATCAATGCGGACAGATGATGTGTAGCAGCTCACCTTTCAGGGCCGTGGTTCATAAGCGTCACCAATTCGCGGTTGCGAGCTGTCATCCCGCTACAGTCTGGCGCTTCGTGCAGATACAGCAGCCGATGCTAGCCGTCGGCTGCGTTCATAGCTGACAAGAAGGACGCAGACGCCAGTCGAAGCGTGGCTATGAGGGGCCGGGTGATGTGTACCGCAAGCAAGCAACGAGCGGGAGAAAGCACGCGAACGTGAGCTTAGAAGGGGACGGCGGAGCATGAACGAGAGCCAATGCGAAGTTTTGTGTCTCATTTACACGTGACGATCGTATCTACACATGGGCTTTGGGCTCTCTGGCCGAATGATGCACATTCAATGCATGCACACCAACAATGAAAGAGCGCCTTTGTCATCACCGTGACCGCCGTCCTTCCAGCACCTCGCTATGCTGAGAATCGTGAAAAGAACGCCAAAGAATTTTAGTGCAGTAGAAGAGCGGGTTCGCTTCATGGACCGCGCAGTCGCATGACGAAGTGATATCGTGGGTGTAGGAGTGACCACGGCCTTGGTGAGTGAGCACACGCCCGCGTTGGTCGTGGAGAGGAAGCGTTGCGTGGGGAATGTTGGAGTCGTTTTTCGGCATTTTCGTGACCATGGCTTCCAGGAATTGGTTTTACCCGATCAAGATCGTCGAATACAGACCTCTTCTTGTCGTACAGGGCGACCGAACCGTCACTTCTCTGCGTCCGGTCCACCGGCCTAGCTCGGTCATGCTCCTTCTATTTCACGACAAGCGCAGCCGATGGCACCAGACCTGCTTCCTTCAGCGTCAGACCGAAGTCCTCGTAGCTCCATGTCTTCCTCGGGAAGGCTTGTGTGAAGCTGGTAACGTCGGTGCCTTTCTCGTGCTTGATAGCTTCTGCAACTTCGAATAGTGTTGTCTCGGCCGGCATCGTCTTCATGACGTTGCCTGATGGGGTCTGAAGCCGCAGACGTGCTTCACTGTGGTTTACCACCTTGGCAGGAGCAGCCGCAGGAGCAGCCGCAGCAGCAGCGCCGGAAGGAGCAGTCGCAGCACCAGGGTTGTACGCGGCAGGATTCTCGCGCATCCGCTTCTCTTCTTCGATCTTGGCCTTGCGAGCAGCCTTGTCAGCCTCGATCTTGTCTTTGATCCGCTTCTTCGCAGCGATATCATCAGCCTTCTCCTGTCGCTTCTTTGCCGCTTCCTTGATCTGCTCCTTCCGCGCGAGCTCCTCCTTGGCATCGTCCGACTCTTTGGTGTGCTTCCGGCGAATCTCTTCGTTCCGCTTCTGTTCCTTCTTCTCCTCGACGGCTTGCTTAGCCTTTCTCTCCGCGGCCTTCTCGCGCAGCTCTGCGAGCTTAGCTTTCTTTTCCTCTTCAGTCAAGGGTGCGATCTCCTCCGTTGACTCAGCGAAGTCTGTATGCCCAGACTTCTCGGCGTGGAATTGTGCCTGCGCCATCGATCGGAACTTCTTCTGGCACTCGTTGCAAATCATAGATCGTGCGGTTTCGCCTGCCTCCAACTGCGGTGCCTCGGCGTCTTCGGCCTCATCCGCCTTGAGCTGCTCGATGCTGCGGTCGGCGTTCTTGTCGAGCCAGTCTATGGCGCCTTGCAGATTGCCACCTTTCTTTAGCGCCATCTGGGACTTCTCTTTGTCGAAACCCATGTCGACGAGGCTGTCGAGATCGCTCATGGTGGCGGTGTTCGAGTTAGGCAGAGGTTGATGGAATGAGATGTCCTGTGGGAGGCAAGTGGGGTCGCGGGCGTGCGATGATGGATGTTGAGGTAGTAGACGTGGTCGTGAAGGGAAGCTGAGAAATAACGCACTGCCGCACTCGATGAAAAATGGATGACAGTGGTGAATGTATGGAGAGGCGCGGAGCGGAGTGGGCCGAGAAGACAGTGCTTTGCATGTGAGAGCTACCAAGCACCGCGAGTGAAGCAGCGGCACACCGGCGACGTCGGGAAGGTAGCTTAGCAAATATCTCACTAATAAGTAAACCCGAACTTTATATAGTATTAGACCGGCGGGAGTCGTAATGGTACGCAGCATAAAAGACACGGGGGTCCGTTCACTGAGTAAGTAGGCGCGATATAGACGCGTAAATTGTCAATTACATTCGAGCTCGTTATATGAGAAGCGTCCATCTTCGTTCGCTGACGGAACTTATTAATATCGTGCGATTTCTCACATTCCAAAGTATCTCTCAGAACATCTAACTAGACTATACGAGGCTGCGGATTGACAATATCTTGAGCGGACTGTGTTCCTCAGAACGTTTGTTCGTTCGTTAGTCGTAGAGCCAGGTTGACCTTGCTCGAAGGACCGTGCCTCTTCGATTTCTTTTGTGCATGTTATTGCCCGTCGTGAGTTGTTTCGGTGGGTGCGCGACTGCTATTAGTAGCGGAGCAGTGGTTGCCGTAGCAATTTGCTTCCTCGCAAAGCTGCTGTGAAGTCTTGCAATTGATGTTGTTGCTAAGCTGCGCTGGCGGCGATGCTGAAAGTGCGACGATGGCATTGTGGGTTTTGTCGAAGTCATTGCCATGACGCTGAAAGTGCGTTGGCATGAGCTTGTGGGTTCCGTCGAAGTCATTGCCACGACGCTGAAAGAGCGTTGGCATGGCCTTGTGGGTTTCGTTGTTGTTGCTGAGCTGCGCTGGCGGCCGTGCTGAAAGTGCATGCGGCCTGGCGAGTTCTGCCAAAGTCATTGCCATGACGCTGAAAGTGCGTCGGCATAGCCTTGTGGCGTTTGTTGCTGTTGCCGTTGCCGCGCTGGCGGCCGTGCTGAAAGTGCATTGGTGCCCTTTGGGTCTTTTTGTTGCTGCTGCTGCGCTGGCGGCCGTGCTGAAAGTGCATCGGTGGCCTTGTGCCTTTTTCTTGTTGCTGTTGCCGCGCCGGTGGTGATGCTGAAAGTGCTTCGCCGCTGTTGAGGCCACTTGTCTTGTCGCTTGCTCGATGCTCTCCGCTCCATGCCCTGTCCTCAACCATGCTCCACGCCTGTTCATCTCCATGCTCCACGCCTATTCATCTCCACGCCCTTATTTCCTCCTCCTCCGTACTGGTACGTTCTCCTCTCTGCCGCAACTTTCTCTTCGCGAGATCCTGACGTTTTCCTCCATGTTTGTTCTCTCGACCATGCTCAATCTTGCATCTTTCACCCTCCCACGTTATCTCTGCAAGACCGTTTCCCTTTCACTCATTCTCTTCTTTCTTTTTGTTTTGTTCATTTCTCTTTCACTTATTCTCTTCTTTTGCTGTTCGTTTCTCTTCTTCATTTCTCCCCCTCCCCCCTTCCTCCTCTCATGTCCATGTCATGATATGTCAAGCGTGCCCTTCCTCCCGGAGGAGGGATTGAAGTGCATCAACATGAAGCTGTTGAAGAAGTGGCGCTTCGTTTGTGCTCTGCAGCACGTTGCAGAAACTGCACTGAGACTCGTCGTCGTCCTCTGAAGAGGTCCAGGCGAGACAACTCACACTCGCGGGGCTCGGCAGTCTTGCGGCAAGCAGTGCGGCGTTCGAGAATGCACGCGCGTACATCGGCGTGCGTGTTCCTTGACTCCGCCGCTGTTGCCTTCAGGCGTGTTCGTGTGGGCGCGACGTGTTGAGTGACTGAGCGGTGGGCGGTTGTGGTCCAACTTCGCGCGCATGTGTCTTTCGCTCTGAAGTTGTTGACAGCTGGCGCGAATTTGGCGAGAAGCAGAAATTTACCGCGCAGTCATGGGGTCACAGAGTGACCAAGTCTGTTGCTGCATAACCATTGCCGGCCGCATTGTTTATGAGATCTTCGACGTCGTTGAACTTGCTCTTGATCTCGAGAATGACGTCGCATGTCTGGCTTGTGTTGACGATGGTAGCCAGAAGTTTCAGACATCGTCTGACGATCGCCTTCGACATGGGGCCGTAGACAAGGTACTGCACATGTACGACGAAGCTTGTCGGCGGCGCGAGATACCTCGACATGAAAGCGCCAGTCGCTGCCCTGTACAGTGTCATTGGCAGCAGGCACGTAGGGCCCGAAGTAAAGGTGGACAAGCATGGCCTCAATGAATTCCGTGTTGCCTTCTTGCAGCTCGTTGACCTTCCAGTCGCTCTCAGCGAACCGCGAGTCATGACTTCTGGAAGTATTCGGATCGGTTGCAAATAATGGCCTTGTGGCAGGTGATTTCGCGGCGGTCAGACAACTTGATCGTGACATCGGAGTACTCTTCCTGCTTGCTTGAAGAGTTTACCCCAGAAGATACGATCTTCCGTAGCCTTCACTTCTGGTTGCTCAACTTTTGCTGCTGGTTGCTCGACTTTCGCTGCTGGTTGCTCGACTTTCGCTGCTGGTTGCTCAATTCTCACTGCTGCTGGCGGGTCGAAAAGATTGCCGGACAGAGACATGATGGCGAGCGGCGGGACAGTGCGTAACTGCAATATTTGGGGACTTGCGATGCGCGCGATCATCTGTGGCTCTCGCTTCTGGTGGCTGGTCGAAAGGGTTGCTAAACATGTGTTGCGTGCGTTGCGCGCGACGTTGAACACTCTGACAAAGTGTTTGCAGTAGTGCTAGTGGTCGAGCAAAGCATCCGTATATGGCAGAAGTATGCTGACTGAGTTGTGAGAGGCCGTTGTTTGCGCTCGCTCACATGCAAGGGTTGAGACGGGTGGGTGATTTTGCGGTCGCACAACTGGTGGTTTCGATGGATGGTTGCTGCCAATGGGAATCATTTCGTCGTGCGCACGCAAGCAGGAAACATGTGGCGGACAGCGTCGTCTCGAAAGATGTTGTCTTAGGTGGTGAGTCCTTCTGTGGTGGCCGGGCTACGTATCGCTCGTCGTGGCTCGGAGGTTTCTTGCTTGACGCCAAACTAGATGCAAGCGAAGGACTGACTGGGCCTGACGGTGTGCGTGCCAGCGTGAGTTGCCAGACGGAAGTGCCGTTTTCTGTCGCTAGCAAAGAGAGAGGGTGTGTTTGTCGATCTAGAGCTGAAATCATTGCCGGGCTCGCTCGAAGGCTGGAAACCGGCAGAAGTAAGAGTGGACCGAAGGGTTTTGCCTTGAGTTCAGGCGCACACTGCCTGGGCGACTGCACGAACAGCAGCCATAGTTGCTTCCGTTGGCAGAGTTGCTCCGAGTTCCAGTGATGTGGAGATGCAGCGAAGCTCGCGAGGCATGCATAGCGTGTAACGACAGGCCACCAGACAACGAGCTGTCTCATGCACCATGCGGTCACTACTACTGCACAGAAGACGTACAGCAGATATTCAGACTCGCGCTGCAGGACGAGACATTCTATCCTCTTCGGTGTTGCCGCCTGCTGGGTTGCTCGCGAAGCGTTCATGTGCAACCTTACGAGTACAATTCACGTGACAGCCTAGCTTCCTGAGGCATCTCCCTACCAACTCTGACGTCGCCGCGCCGTTCCCCTGTTACACACGTACAACACCCACCACCCACATATACCTTATTGCCCTACCAACTCCAACGCTGCCTGACGTCGCCGCGCCGTTCTCCTGTTACACACGTACAAAACCCACCACCCGCCAGCCGATCACCGCCGACCGCGTGCAGCGCCTATACCACGGCCTCGGCCCTCCCCAACCACCCACTGGATCAGCTTAGCAATCTGCCGGCTACCGACGAAACAACGAAACAACACCACAAACCACGCAAACATGTCGGTGGATTTGACGCCGCAAGAGCTGGGCTTCAAGCGTTCGTCATACATCTCATTCTCGCTCAAGGCTTTCCGCAAAACTGACAATGCGCCCCAGGCCCCTTCACCCACGAAGTCAGCCAGGTCCTCCGCCTGCACAACCCCAACAGCGATCCTGTCGCCTTCAAAGTCAAGACTACCGCTCCTAAGCAGTATGTTTGGATGACACCTAGTATGAGGAGGAGAGGGATACTGATTGCTATACAGGTACTGCGTGCGACCCAACTCCGGCCGCATTGACCCTGGTGGAGATGTCGAAGTTCAAGTGCTCCTTCAGGCCATGAAGGAGGACCCTCCGCTCGACGCACGATGCCGCGACAAGTTCCTAGTGCAGTCCGTGGCCATTGGCGCTGATGTGCAGGTCGCAAACGTCACCCAAGTCTGGGCCAACATCGAGCAGACTGCCAAGTCGAGCATCCAAGAGAAGAAGATTCGCGTGTCGTTCCTCCCAGCAGACGGCAGTGCTGCTGTGGGCGCCGCTGCCTCTCCCTCGCCTGCACCGAATGGAGTCTCCCACCACGACGAGCCTCCGGCATACTCATCGCCCTCACCCGCCGCCGTCACGCCCGCACGCAATTTTGGGTCATCGAGTTCCAATTTCGAAAAGAGCCCTCCGCCAGCAGATGACCTCACCCAGTCACAGTCTACACTGCACTCAGCTACCGCCGCTGTATCCAATGCGACTGGTGTGAGCCAAGCCGAGCTCGAACGACAACTGGCGGCAGCCAATGACACGATCCGAGATCTGCGAGCCAAGGCCGCTGAAGCGACTGGGCTTAGGCAGCGCAACGCAGGAGGCAGCACTGCTACCACAACAAAAGGAGCTCCATCCGCTGTCACCCAACCTGCGCCTGGCGGCGTACCAGTCCAAATTGTGGCAGCAATCGCTCTACTGAGCTTTCTGATTGCCTACTTGTTCTTCTAGTTGCCCTTCTAGGTGGCGATCTACACAACACGAGGTGCGGGATTTTGCAAACATGGCAACGCAACCGTGGCATGAAGAATGACAGCAGAACAAAAGAAAAGTTGAAGCGAGATGCCGGCTTTGCACAAAACAAAATTGGGCGCATGGAACCCGCTGTGATGCACGAACGGATCTGGCGCGAGCTGAGAGAAACTCTGCTCGCTCGCTACATTACGCATCCTTGATTTCGAAAGCGTAATGTTTTTCATTGAAGAAGCATGGGCAACCTGGCGAAGGAACGAGAAGAGAACGAATGATTGAAGGACTTTTTGTCTTTTGTCCTTGGCGGTGCAGGGCCGCTTGACTTGACTGACCTGCTGGTTATGGCTCCTTTTTTCCCTTTGACTACAACGCCTACTACAACAGTAACCGAATTTCCTTTTGAAGCAGATATTGAGATACCGCATGTACCGAATCACGTTCCAGACGAACTACATACGTGCCGAGCAGTTTTCTTCTGGCATGCTACTATTTGCACATTTTCATTCACAAATGCTCGTGTGACTTTTTAGAGTAAACCTAGCTGGTATGGAGCTTCAGGATGAGTAAGCGGCATTGGTGGCCCGCGTTGCCAAGATGGGAGCTTTCCTTCAGCTTCTTCAGATTGACATTCCTTCTCCCACACGTACTTGCATACTCGTTCCGGCCTCCGAAAAGCAACAGAGCAACATCTTCGCAGAGGCTTTCGCCGACAAGGACTCGGGCAGGTGGAATGATCATCGCGGCAACCTGTGAGTCTGGAGGAGTGTGGTCGCTGATGAGTCCTTCTGTACAACTCAGCGCAGTGCAGTGCCCGGTGACCATTGAAACGACACTGGGAGAATCCACAAGTCCTGTCTCAATCGTAGACTCCGCCATTTGCTATGTCAACTTGCTTTGGCATGTTCCTCGGTGGCTTCAATTGACTGCACAGAAGACCACATTGCCGCGCCATTGGCATCAATGGCCACAACCTTACATCGCTTTTGGCCGTAATGCGAATCTCGGGCTGCTTCCCTGACAAATTGCCGACCACAACGCGGGCATACTGGCTTGCGATAACTCTCGCTCTTCTCTTTACAGTGTCGCCTGTAATTGCTCAGGTTGGTAAAAGCTCGTCCGTTGCAACCGTGCTGCCAGCAGAAGTAGTAGCTTGGGGACATGTCCATGGGAACGAGAAGATCAATGGTTCCATGGGGTCCGTGAGCACTCTGGCTCGAGAGGATTTGCTGCTTATGGCTCTCCTCAGCCAGTACTGCTTCTAGCTCACGGGAGACCAGCGGACCTTCTCTTTGCGGACTCTGCTGGCCAGCAATTTGCGGGTTTGGGACATCCTGAAGACAAGTGATTGCCTCATCAGGCAGGCCCCACCCATCGGCCGAAGGTATGACAGGCATACTATGCGCCAGTGCACGCCGTCCACCTTCGCCTCGTTTTGCAGGCGTTCCCTCGGCGTACATGGCGACTCTTGCGGCCTAGCTCCCGGAATTGATTGTGCAGAACTCAGATGGGCCAGTCCTTGATCACCAGTGTTGCACTCCGGACTCCGTGATAAGACCAGATAGCGACTTGCTGCAGCTCACAGGTAAGCTAGATGGATGGAGAAGTGGCGAGTTACCTGCCTCGTAGGGACAAACGCCATAGCACAGTCGAGCGGATCTCGTTGTCATTACATTTATGCAATCTCATCGTGAGGCACAGCAACTGAGATATCACACTGTCAGAAAATTCCGGCGGCACCGACTGCAAGACTGAGGCACGTATACGGACACTGATGCTGTTTGAACTTCAAATATGGATCTGTGGGGCTTCTCATGCGACTTACATGCAGGAGTATCCAGCACCCCACCTGTGCCTCTTGAGACGGGCATCACGGGGAAAGCAAGCGCGCTTGGCACCTTGGCATCCTCGATTGCAACTCACAGTGTGAGTAGACCTGGGGAATGATGCTGGCTCAATCATCTTTAAAACTGGGCTTGTCGGAAAGCATTGGCCAAAGCATCGCTCGGACGTGCATCCGTTCCTGACCGCACAGCCTCCAGTACCCGGTCAAGTGGCGAACAAGCTCGATGCATTATAGCCTGGAATATCTCATGGCGACCGTGACCACAAGGCACATGACTACAAACTTATGACTACATTGCAGATATATGTGCAGACGAGCCTGATGGCTGACGTGCGTTTGATGATCCTCATAAACTTGCAATGATGCGGCACAGCTTTCAAAATGAGACTGCAAAGCACATCACTGGATCTCACACGCTTTCGATCAAAGCTACACAGAGGCTTTGGCCTGGTTCGGCAAGTCCGGTGTCTATCGGTGCCTGTTGCCTGAAATCGTCTACTGGCAGCTGCGATACCCAACACTGTGGCTCCAACACCCCGAGGCTCCGCCATGCGGTTCAACGTCATGGCGTTACCTATTTACTTGTTGTCAATCATGCGAGAAGTATTGCCGCATTGAGCTTTCAGCGTCAGTGCACTACATGAGCTAGTCGCATAGTTGAAGCAGTACCTCCCAGCTGCTTGGACATTTCGTCCTCCGCACATCGCTCAACACTTGTGAAAACTCACCCATCATGAATGCTACCTGCGATACAAGCCCATCTCTCACACCGATCCTCCCGAACAACACAGCTGGCCCAGTCTGTGGACTCACAACTTCCAACAACACCGCAATTGAGTCTTGTTGCCAGGGCAGTGATGCCATACTGGACTACCAATGCAAGCAGTACTGTAGTACAAACTTGAATATCAAGGAGTTTGTTGAATGCTTGGCCCGGGACTACAATGCCAGCGCGCTAATGGCGATGAGACCTTTCTGTCAAGAAGGCATTACGAGCAATAACACAGACCATCTGTCGGACGATCAGAGATCTGGTGCGAACAGCCGACCAGTGGGAACCAAATCCATTTGGTTGTTGCTTCTCTTGGGCTTCACCGCAATCGCAAATGGCGAACTTGTCCCTTCGCTATCGAGCGGCCTGACTCGTCGGCAAGCCGATCCCACATCAGCGTGCTCAATAGAGCTGGGCGCCAACTACACCACAATCCGGAACTCGCGCAAAATCAGTGCGGATATGGAGTGCAGCGATGACACATATTGTACGCAGAACTTTGCTGTTGAGACAGACATCCTCCAGAACAACCGGACCATCAACGGTACTTCAGCTGCTGAGCCTCAGTACGATGAGTTTTTCGGGATGCTCCAGACCAGGACGAATCGCCAGTTCCCAGCTCTGAGCAGTGTCAAGCTGAGCTACGATTTTCTGGTTGGACCTGGAAGCTTTTGGGTAGATTTCACACCACATGCGGTACGTGGTGCTTTCCATTCTGTCGCGCCGCATAGTGAAAGGCTAATATGCTCTATCAATCAGTGGTGCGTCAATGGCACTGTTTCAGACTGTGCTGGTGTCGGTGAGAGCGACGATCCTACGCCTGTTACCGCGTGTGGGCCGCTGTTCGTTCCGGACTACGAAACTTCTGCAAATGCTGGGGAAGCATCAACCCAAACCACACAGGGGATCTTGAATGTCGTGGTATGAACTGAGCTGGCTGTAACAAGTAACGAGTACCGAGACTGATATCCATACAGCGCTATTAAGCATGATCGGTGGCTTCCACGAACGAATTTGTTATGCCAATAGGCACTTACTCGCAGAAGATGTGGCCTTCATCATTGGGGGTTGGACACGGAAGGACAGGCGATCGGTTTGAGGGATGTGGTCGCTGTGATTACCCGTGGTCCTGACAACTCGCACTACATGTACGCCACTGCGGAGTGATTTACTATTACCGCTAGAGTAGTCTCACCAGAGTCACGGGCTCCATACAATTATTACCACACCTCGTCTTTCCGGACAACAAGTACAACACTGTGTCAGACTTGGATCCTCAGGTGCAGAACGGAAGGCAGGAGACTGTTGCGCCGCCGCCAGATTTCAGGAAGCATGGCATGTGGGCAAGACCGCAAGAGACTGACTCAGTGGGTCAAGCGGAGGCATGCTTGATCCCTCACGCTAATCCCTCGCCCTCATCCTCCAACAGGAACCGGATGCCTGCCCCACAGTCACCGGGTTGTGGGATCCACAATGCTCCCACTTCATTCCATACCCACTAGCGTCATCGGATGAGTCCGCCTACACTAATCACTCCCTCTCGCTACTCCCGCCGCCTCATCCAGTAACAATGCGGGCATACCGTCAGTAGTTTCTATCCAATCGACAGATCATGAAACTGTGTTCGCCGCAGCGCATATTCTTCTTTCGATAGCAGGACCCCTGTGGCCGTGGAGCATATGATCATGGACGCCATTCTCTCGGCTTGAGGATAGAAGCCGACATGTGAGAGCTTCACACAGGAACGATCAAGCGGTCGAGCGCTGGAGCTCACAAGACTGAGCACCTTGGCAGCTATGGTAGATAAATACACCTACCAACTGGCTCGTATCCAGCATTCGAAGAATCCCAAACACCATCGATTTCACGCAAATATGTATCAACTCAAACTCTTCTCCCTAATCGGATCACTGGCACTGGTCAACGCTGCTCCTACCATTCTCAAGCGGAACGACAGAACCGACCCTCTGCTCCTTACGTTCTGCGAGAACGGATGCGGTGTTGATGGAGTGTCAAATCAAGTCACCTATCCTTTCAGCAACGAAGGATCGGCTTTCCCGGGCGACTGCGTCCCTACTGGCTATTATAATCGGCAAAGTGTCGAAATTGTTCAGGACTCAGAGCAGAGTTACACTGTCGAGCTGTTCTCTGGCGAAGGTTGTAACAACCCAATTTTGGTGAGTACTTGGGTCCATTGCATCCACTTCAGAGTTGGCAAGCTGATCTTCGAACTAGACGGTAACAGAAGATGGATGCTACACGCAGCCGGAGGGTCAGATTGTATTGTCGGCTAGAGCTAGCTTGAAGTGAATTGACCAAGGGTATATGCAGATGAGCTGCTGCAGGTACTAGTTAGCATAGAGAAACATCTCGAGTGACCTGTACAAGGTCTGGTCGAGTGTAGACGTTACTGGACGCATTTGGTGGATCAATCTCAGCATAAGCATCCTCTCTCTACCATCAGCACTTTCGACAGCTCGAAATCCTGCAAAATCGCCTCACATTGCCTCTCGTGTCACCAACGTGCGTCATTACCATGTGGCATGATACCCACAGGGCAGCCTGCCAGATATCTCAGCCTGCCCCTCGGCGGTGACTAAATAACACCGTGTGATGTCAACAGCAGAGCTGCGGCTGGACGGGACGATGGAGTACCATGCGGGACCATGGAGCATGCCCCTTTACTTGCCATTCGAAAAATGAGGTCGGCCAAGAGGCTAAGACCAACGACAAGGAGCAAATTCACCGTAGCAACAGAGGATTAGCGAGAAGGACAAGTTTAACCACACAGTCCTATAGCCATTGGCTGCTAGCTGTATGAACAACAATGGCAATGGTCCATCGATTTCATCCCGCAAGATAGGAGTCGTGTCTCCACAGGTTCCGCGAGCTCGTAGTGTTCAGAGCTTCTCAGCAGGATGAGTTACAACGTATAAGAGGTGTCTGATTCCAGCGCCAGTCTCATCTTTCAATCTTTACTCCATACACAAATTGCCTTGAAAACTCAGAAGCAATCAACAGCCGCAGACATGGCCGCCATCCTCGTAGCCTCGACTTTTGCAAGCTGTCTCCTGAGTCAAGCCATGGCCCAGAGTGGACCAATGTCGCTCTGTACCGGCCTGAGTTGCGAAGAATGCCCGAATTCAATCACTACCTCTGGTACCGGCTACCCTGCCTGCGTGGTGTATGACCGAGACACGGTTCTTGGCAGCAGCGCGGGCGACTATGCCAACATGGACGGAGACCTAAAGAATATCTTCTACGATATTGGTGCGTTACAGACCGACTTCGAAGCGGATCAGCAGCGTGAAACTGATGTACATTAGCTCCGCAAACAAATCCAGAATGCAAGACCATTGTCGGAGTCCTGCCAGCACCACAGGTAAGTGGCGCTAAATCAGAATGAGAAATCCCAGAACCGGAGAGCTGATTCGCATTTGGGGTGTCAGATCCAAACTGCGGCTACCCAATCTACGCGGGCTCAGGAGGCGTCTGCTTCAATGGACCAGGAACCAAATCGACATTCATGATCCAATTCTGCTGCGGCACTGGCGATTGTACTGCAGCAGGTGCCAGTAAGCGGGATGACAATTCCGCTGTTGCCTCAAGCGTAGTCCTGCGAGACATCAACGACAACATCCTCGTTCCCCAATCCGTTGGTGACAGCGCCGGCGAGAAAATGGACATCTTCATGGAAGACCTCGGACTCAACTCTTCCACCGTATTACTCGCACGATCGACCACTGGCGCTCCAATATTCAAAGTGGGCCACGAGGAGTATGAGGACAACCATCATGCCATCACCAAACGCGACTGTGACACTTTCATCGCAGACGGTGCTCCTTACACCAAGACCGGAGACGTCTCCACACAGATCGGAGGGTACATCTGCGGTGATGCCGTCACGGTCGGCATCACGAACGAAGTCAGCGTCAGCCAGACAACGACCTTCAGCGCCTCCGTCGGCGATCCCTTTGGCGTTGTCTCAGCATCAGTCGGATTCGAAGTCGAGGAATCAGCGAGTCAATCCACCACTTACGAATTCACGCCTTTGCCAGGACAATGTGGACATGTTGCGTTCACTCCCTTCTATACCTGCACGAGTGGAACCATCACGGGCTGTGAGGGCGGTGACCAGAATGGCGAGGTGTGCACGGCGAAGCGCGTTAGTGACGACCGTATCGATGGAGCCTATTCTTTTGCGCAGACCGAGTGATGCCATAATATGGCAGGACACACAACGACATGCTTGGTGAGAAGTAGTCGAGCAAGGCAGCTATAGTCTTAGCTTACAGTACGTACGATTAGCTATAAATCGCATGTCCTCACATACAAGCGCGATGACGCAAGTCGAAAAAGGAATAAGATATTTTTGCTGGCTAAATGAGGCGACTTACTCGATAGATTGCTCAAAAGCAGCTGCTAACGCACTGCGCTGACCCTCCATACCTTGCCATGCCGCTGTGAGGCACAAGATTTCCATACAAACGACGGTCGAAACTCTTTACTCGTTGGAGAGCTGCAGGTATCATGGCTGTCTCTGGTACCAGAAGTCACATCTGGAGGTAGAGCTGCTGAAATATGTTTCCAACATGTTGTATTGGGCACATCTTGCAGTTGAAATTGATCGCTCTGTTGGCACTACTCACGTTACTCCTGCGCTCGTGAGTATTGAGTACGCGTTGAGAGCATGGTGGGCGATGCTGAGTAGCCTATGAGGGGCAATAAATTCAAATGCACCTGGAATGGTCCGCCACCATGCCTTAAGAGCACAGTTTCGTCCTTGTTGCCTGTCCATACTGACAGCTCCATCCTGTGCGCAAAGAGGATACCATATGGCTCGGACGTGATCTTGAATATCTCTTCCTTTCAACGGCTCTTGCTTTGTGGTGAGACAGCCCAATGAACGGATCTCCTTCTGCAGGCGCTCCAGTGCAGAACGTGACGTAGACTGTGGATGCCAACGAAGGACTAAGAGCGCTAGTATCGTCAGAATACGTGGTATGGATATGGTAGCACCGCGGTCGTGCGAAGAAGTGGGATGACAAAGCAAGCGGGCACCAGAAGGCGAGGGAAGTGTGAAGTGAAGTTCGGCCGAAGTTTTTCCGATCCGACGTGAAGGCACCAGCTACGCCATAACCTTCGTCGTTGTCAGCGCTTCAGTCCCGCATAACTTTGCGGAACTACCACATTTTCCCTCTTCCTTACATCCATCGCCAATCTGACTGTCTTTTCATCGCTAAGAGACAGTCAGCCAGGATGGACGATACGATGTCAGACGCGGAGAAGGTAGTGCGAGCCATCACTACGCATTGCCGATGATGCACTGACCGTTGCATGTGATAGATCCGTGCGAAGCGGTTGGCGAAGCTCGGTGGTGCTGGTCGCCCAGATGCTACCGCCGCCAACGATTCGAACTCGAACGGTTCAGCGATTCCTCCCACTACAACGACCGATGCGAGCTCGGCGAACACAGCGCCTGCGAACGACGGCGCCGACGACAAGCCAGCGACGCCACCGATCGATCGTAGTAAGCTGCTGAACAATCTGGAAGCTCACAAGCCTGCAGCAGTGTCAGCTCCTCCCCCGAAAGAGCCCGTTAAGATCACAGTAAAGCCGCGCCAGACGTCGCCGGGCGTCAAACGCGATCGAGACGGCTCAGAGCGGCCACAATCACGCTCCACGAATCGCCCCGGTGAGACCATCGAGGTATGGCAGGACAAGGTTCTCAAGCAGGTGTATCGCGTCACATTGAACCAGAACGAGACCAAGGACATCCATGGCCACAAACTGGCCTACCTCGGGGGAGTCAAAGAGGATGGCGCAGACTTGCTCCAAGTGGATAACTCAGACAGCATCTTGACGGAAGCAGCGAGCCATGCTCCACGAGGCAAGATTTTCGAATACTTCCTGCAATGCTTCAAGCGTGCTGTTCGAGCGAGCAAAGACCCACGGCACACTGGCAGCGAGGAGAAAGCTTTCGTGTTGAAGGAAGCACGACGGGTGAGCATGGGTTATTGTATTTTCGCGATCACCATGCCGGATATGTTTCCCGATTTTGAGCCAACCTCGAATGCGCTCGTAGATCATTTGCTGGCAGATCCAGAGTCCGATCATGGCATTTGCACAGATTTCCTGACCGAAGCAGTGTCGAGATTCGAGGAAGACGATACCATCAAGGAGACGATTGTCGGCGCGGCAGAAGTCTTGAGTCAACAACTTGCTCAGAAAGATATGCTGGCTGATTACACGAATTACATCACCGCCATTCGGAACCTGCTACGCTTTCCGAAGATCATGAATGCTGTGACTGAGTCGGAGATGTGGGCGCCTGATGTCGAAGCACAGGACATCGAGTCAAAGACGATACTGGGACCTTTCTTCCGCTTGTCGCCAATGCAGCAAGCTGCGGCGAGCAGCTATTTCTCGGCGCCTAAGACGCGCGACAAGGCATTCATTGCCAACGCGCAGGTAAGCCAGCCCCTGCTCCGGACGTCGCACGTGCAAGGAAAGCTGACTGAAAATAGAGCGCAACACGCATGACGTTGAAAACGCATCAAGAGCAGCTCTTCCTGATAGCGGATGGCATCGTCAAGGCGGGTCCTGCCACGCGAGGCCGCATCCTGGACTGGTTCGCGATGTGCGTCAACAAGAACCACCACAAGCGAGCGATGCGTGTCGACTATAAGCGAGTGTCCTCGGATGGGTTCATGGTCAACGTCACAGCTGTTCTTGATCGTCTCTGCAGTCCCTTCATCGACGCCAGTTTTGGCAAGATCGATCGCATAGATGTCGACTACCTGCGTCGCAACCCACGAGTAGACATTACCGACGAGACGAAAATCAACGCAGACCAGGCAACGAGTGACGAATTCTATAAGAGGCCTGCGCAAGGAACTAACAATTTCATCTCCGAATTGTTCTTCTTGACAGTGGCTGCACACCATTACGGCACTGAGGCGGCACAGACACGCATGACGACGATGCGAAAGAGCGTAAAACGATACGAACAGGACCTGGCAGAATTTGAGAAGGAACGCCACAAGTACGTGAGCGATCCACGATACCTACAGCGGTTCGAGCAACATGTTGCCAAGGTCAAGCAACAGATCGATGACATGTGGAGCACGATTCACGCTACAACGGGTGTCCTACTCGACGATGCAACGCAAAAGGCCTCCATGGACTTCATGCGATATGTCATTGTCTGGCTGCTGCGTTTGGCGAGCGGCCAGAATCTGCCCAAGGAGCAACTACGACTTCCACTGCCAACACAACAGCCGGATGTCTTCAAATGCCTCCCTGAATATTTTCTGGAAGGCGTTGTGGACAACTTCAAATTCGTCACCTCGAATATGCCACAGGCTATTGTGCCCACACAGACAGCGGAGCTTGTGCAATTTGCCATCGCGTTCTTGCGCAGCAGCGAATATGTCAAGAACCCAGGCGTGAAGTCTGGTCTTGTGACTATCCTGTTCTTCGGCATCATGCCGTATGCTAACAACAGGCCAGGTGTGCTGCATGACCAGCTGCTTGGCTCAGACTTTGCCAATACGCACCTGCTTCACGCTTTGATGAGGTTCTACATTGAGGCAGAAAACACTGGCACGCACACACAGTTCTTCGACAAGTTCAGCATTCGCTACGAGATCTTTCAGGTTGTCAAGCGCATATGGGTCAACACGAAATATCGCGAGAACCTGGCAATTGAATCGAGAACAAATACGGCATTCTTCGTCCAGTTCGTCAACATGATGGTCAACGACGTCACCTTCGTTCTTGATGAGTCTCTCTCCAGCTTGGCCAAGGTGAACGAGCTCACAAAGGAATTGGCCGACGGGAGCATCATGCAAGACTTAAATGACGAGCAACGAAAGGAGAAGCAGGATCTGCTCGAAGACCACAAAGGAAGAGCCAAGAGCTACCTCGGTCTGACCTCTTCTACCATGGAAGCTCTCATCCTCTTCACAGAAACGCTGGCCGAAGCATTCACGATGCAGGAAATCGTCACCCGTCTCGCAGACATGTTAGACTACAACCTCGACACACTTGTCGGACCACGACGGAAGAACATCGTCATCAAGGATGATGACCTCAAAGCCGTATGGCACCCCAAGAGTCTACTCTCCGACATCCTTACCGTCTACATCAATCTCTCCGAAAAGCAAGACTTCATTCACGCCATCGCCCGCGATGGCCGCTCCTACAAACCCGCCAATTTCGTGGAAGCCACAGATATCATGAGGAAATCTGTTCTCAAATCTCCCGAAGAGCTCCGCGCATGGGAGACGCTCGGCGAGAAAGTCGCTGAAGCGAAGGCATTGGACGAGCAAGAAGAAGCCGATCTGGGCGAGATTCCTGAAGAATTCGAGGATCCTCTGCTGGGCATCTTGATGACGGATCCGGTGATACTGCCAAGCAGCAAGAGTGTGGTGGATCGCAGCACGATTCGGACGCATCTGCTTTCCGACCCCACGGACCCGTTCAATCGTGTGCCGCTGAAGATCGAGGAGGTGTTGGATAATGTGGAGCTGAAGGACAAGATTGATGCGTGGAGGAAGGAGAGGAAGGCGGAGAGGACTAGAGGAGAGGCGATGGATACTACTGATGGCTGAAAGATGTGAGTCCTTGGAAGTCATGGGTCTGCTCGCTATCAAGGCAGATAGAGAGCTTGCATGCATGCGCTTTGCAACAAGCATGAATGGGAAGAAAGGAAGGCAATGAACGGAACAGTGCATACGTTCTTGTAGATTTGAGTGAACGATAGCACTGGTATGATAATGATAACTGAACTTATATGAGCCCCTGTGTGAATTGCTCTGGTCGTCTATGCATCCCGCTATGGACGTGATCGTTTCTCTGCGAGAGCCACCACGTCACATCATGTTGCGGTGTACCCGTTGAAGGTGGCCACGTCATTCGAGTCGAAGAACATAGCGCCACTCCGTTCATCAGTGACAGAGGCGGTACCGGATGATTGATCAGATCGTGTCCGATGTAAATGGCAGCCTGCATGCCCCGCAGTACCTCCGCACAGCACCAAGACGAGGATCCGGATTTCTGTGGATGGAATAGTGGCAGGAAGATGGTATTCTTGTCGAGCACAAGTTCCTATAGCAAAGATCCCTTGTTTGAATTCGTATTGAGCTCGTGTAGGACGATGCCATGGCCCTCTATGTCCTGAGGAAATTGGTCGCTGCCTAGTGGAATCGTAAGTGGTGGTAGCTTCGCTACCAACCACTTGTTGAACTGATCAATCTTCGTCAAGTTGTAGTTGCCGATCTTCGTGCGTATCGAGGTGGCTGCATTGTTGTGGTCTCTGGTTGTCTGCTTGATCGGCTCGCGATTAGAGAAGAGGATTGAGCTGTTTCAAGTGCCCGAGTAGCACACTTTCACCTATGCAAGAGAAGTGCTAGCTTCTGCCTTGGACGGATAATTGCCGAGCACATGAATTTTCGTTATATTCGGATAGTCCTCTGGAAGTGTGAAGTCGGACAGTAACACAGGTGCGCCGGGTGAGGTTCACACGATCTCCGTTGCTAGATCGAGGAAGTGCCTCCACTTGTAGAGGCAATCTAGGCCCTCGCGGAAGCCCCAGCTATCGAAGACTGCTCTCGCTAGGTCGTCTGCGTAGAGGCCTCCGAGCGAGTGTGGATAAAGACAAGAAGCCGATCGAGGTGAAGAGAGAATGCTCTTGACGAAATCTCCTATAGCCGGTGGCAGTTCTGAGAAGAATCACTTGATTTTCTCGACTTTACTAAGGCAGAGGAAATCCTTGGTGACTGCAAATTCGCGTGCCTCGCGTGAGACCCATGACGCGCCTGAATGTAAACCAGCGTCCACTGGAGTGCCTTCTGCGATCACAAATAGAGACGGTATATGCAGAGTACTGTTATGCTTTGCGAGCGGACTTTCTTCTTCGACGGTTGCAGCATTAGATAACAAGTTTTCCTCTAAGAACTAGTCGTCCTCGCGTAGGATTCCCATCTCTTCTAGGTCGCTGTTATCAACAGGGCCGCACTGCTGAAAGGTGCGAGCGGTAGACGGAAGTCTAGGAAGGAAGTTCCTAAGTGCAGCTAGCGAGTGGGTGTGCAAGGGAGTAACCTTACTCCTTGTTGTAGCAAATGCCTGTTGCACAGAGTCTTATGTCGCGATTGCATCGTTGGCGCCAAGGAGTAGCTCCTCTTATACCGGGCACCATGTTTCTGCGGCCAGTCACGCAGGAGCTTTCAACCTAGTAGGGAGCTGTCTCTTTCCGGTTCTTCTTGTAACCTGTCCACTTACTTCAAACTTCACAACCCCGGGCGCCTGACCTTGATCCTCATCGGCCTCCGACATGGCTCAACAGCAGTCGGCACGGGATACTTCATATCCAGCCATCTCGAGTGCACTTGTCCCATGATGACACTAGGAACCAGGTATAACAAAATTCCAGTCGGAATTGTGGTACCCATGAAGAAGAACACGCCTGCCATGAAGAGCCCAAATCGCTCTTTCATGGTCCAGTTTACGAAGATGGTGCCTAGTTCCTTTCGCTGTTTGGTTTCTGCGCGAAGCTTCTCGGCAGCTGCGAATGCAGCGTTAATTTGGCGAGTTTGCAGGTCGCGCTGCAGTTCCTGTTCCGGATCACCAGCGCTTGCAGTAGATTGGAGAGTAGGACTCCTGGTGGTGTCGAGAGCCGGTGAAGAGGATACTGATGTCGGGGTTTCCTCTTCCTTGGTATCGACTTTGCGGGATGCGGGCTTCGCGACTGTGTGCGATTGGCCATTGCGCAAGAAGACATTACTGAGGATCGTGAAGCCCAACAGAGTGGGTAGTATGAATGTTGAGTCTGGCATGGCCAAGTTCTGTGCCCATGAAAAGCCCTCGACGATCATGGTTGGGTCGAGGTTGTCGGCGTAGATTTTGGAGACCTTGCCCAGCATCTCAAAGTGGTACGCTGGGTCCGTGAGCTTAGGATCCAATGGCAGATGGTTCTCCGCGAACATTCGTGCCTGAGCTTCCGCCGCTACTTGTGCTTGTTCCATTCTCTGTGCCATGGCCTCTTCGTAGCTCAACATCGGCTCTGGTGGGCCCTTTTTGGGATCAGCAGCTAACCATTCCAAAGGACGCAGCATCATGCTTAGCAGCCCTTCCTTGTGCCCGCACTTGATACGTATGGTCTCGCTGAAGGCAATCAGCAGACCGAAGTTAATGAAGCTCGAGGGCCGTAACAGAGGCGCATTGAACTTTTTGCCTATCCTCTGAGTCTCAAGTATTCCGTTCAGCCAACCCTGTAGACGATATCTACTGCGGATATGATCCTTAGTCACCACCTCCCCCCTACTTTCGGCCTCAAGTACGGCCTTGTAGGTATCCTTGTTGGTCCTCTGAAGCGCAGAATTGACAATGAGAGGCCTTAGGTATGACCGGATAATGGCTGCTTTGCGGGCAGGCCTAGCCCCCAAAAAGTAGCCGACGCTGCATCGCACCAGCACGGCTGCAACCGGAATGGCATAGCACCATGACAAGCCCAGTCCGTGGATGCTGTCGAGGATGGCTGAGGGAACGGCGGTGACGATGTCTACGGCGGTGCTCTGTCGTGGAGCAGTCGAGGCGAAGGTTCGCCGCGGGGAAGCGTGGGCGAAGATGGATGCTCGTATGGCGGGCGGCAGCTGCAGGAACTGTGCTCTGGTCACGCGTGAGCCCAGCAGCGATGCCATGACGGCGCGCCCGGAGATGGCAGAGCGACGAGGTGATCAGAATTCACTTGGCATGGAACAAGTTCGCAAGTTCGCGATGCATCAATGAGGAAGCTTCGACCCTGCATGTCGCGGATGATCTCCGTGGTTGCATGTGATGCCATCACCGCCCTGTGGCCTACGTTGTCTCCCGCACTCCACTGCTTGCTCTCCCCTAAAAGATGACACGAATGCCGTGAGCGACACAAACCGCCTCTCAGTGCTACCACAATATGCCTACGCTGCTGCAGCGCGCTCGCCTCGTTGCATCCAGAGATCTCTAGAAGCGGTTCTGGCGCCAACCCAAACCCAAAGAGCTCAAGCGCTGCATCCGTCGCTGGCTGCCCTCATGGCCGTCTTCACCATCCTCAGCTTACTGCTCGGCGTCGTGGTTTTGGGCAGTCTTCTGCCGTTGGGAATTTATCAGGTCGGAAAGATCATCGGCCTGGTCATCAAGAGTAAGACTCAGCATCGAAAGGATATTTTGCTGGAACGTGCAGAGAAGGAACAACGTGAGCAAGAGAAGACAGACAAAGTTGGCCGCAAAACAGCAGCATCGTCGAGCAGTTCTCTGTCAAGCGAGTGGGATAAGGTCTCAGACGAGGATGGCGACGATCGGGAGAGGACACCTGTGCCGAGCAGCTCTGCCAGCTTCGACTCCCACTTCAATGGTGTGATTGGCTTCTTCCACCCCTTCTGTAATGCAGGAGGTGGTGGGGAGCGGGTGCTGTTCGCTGCGATCCTGGCCACGCAGAGACGCTATCCGAATGCTCTATGTGCCGTTTACACCGGCGACAACGATGCCACACGAGAACAGATACTGGCCAACGTTCGCGACCGTTTCGATATCGACCTCAATCCTGCAAAGGTCGTCTTCTTATATCTGCAGACACGAGACTGGGTCCTGGCGAGCAGATGGCCACACTTCACGTTGCTCGGTCAGTCCATAGGCAGTCTCATCCTGGGCTGGGATGCATTCAACCTGCTCGTACCTGAAATCTTCGTGGACACCATGGGCTACGGCTTCGTTTTGGCATTGTGCCGCTTCCTGTTTCCCAAAGTGCCGACAGGTGCTTATGTGCACTATCCTACGATATCGACGGACATGCTGCAATCTCTACACAACACCACTGGCAACCAAGGCCTCAATGCGGGGCAAGGATCAGGCTGGAAAGGTCGAGCGAAGCAGACATACTGGGAATGCTTCGCATCGTTATATCGTTGGGTCGGTGGCAGCGTGGATGTTGTAATGACGAATTCCACCTGGACGCAGAATCACATCTCGGAGCTATGGGGCAGAGCGCGAACGAAGCAGAACATGAAGCACCCAATTCAGGTTGTGTACCCGCCATGCCCTGTCGAGGAGTTTCAGAAAAGGATACCAGTCGATGCGGCAAGTGAAAAGAGCAGGACGAACAATATCCTCTACATTGCACAATTTCGCCCGGAGAAGAAGCATGAGGATATCATCAAAGCTTTCCACTTGTTCCTCAAAGAGCATTACGGCACGGCATCAGCGGAGGAGAGGCCGAAGCTGATCCTCGTGGGCAGTGTGAGGAATGATACGGATGATGAGAAGAAGGTTTACAAACTCCGCTTACAGGCTCAAGAAGTCAAGGACAGCGTGGAGTTTGTGGTCAACGCCAAGTATTCACAAGTTGTAGAGTACCTGAAGAGCAGCTCGGTAGGCGTGAACGGCATGTGGAACGAGCACTTTGGTATTGGAGTCGTGGAGTACCAGGCTGCGGGTCTGATCGCGGTCGTGAACGATAGCGGTGGACCAAAGTACGACATTGTCGTTGAGATTGATGGAAAACCGACAGGTGAGTTGTCAATGTCACAGAGATTTGGTATTATGACACTGACATTCTTACGAGGTTTCCACGCCTCTACGCCTGAAGAATTCGCCTCGGGCTTCCACAAAGCTCTCTCGCTATCGCCCAAAGAAGCCTTTGCCATGCGACTCCGCGCACGACAGTCCTCGCTACGTTTCTCGGAACAGGTATTTGCAGAGGCTTGGCTAGGACAGTTGGCGTGTCTCATAGCGCTTCAGCTTCCGTCGCGAAACTGTTCGGGCGTTGTTAGCTAGTTGATGGATTTATGAAGCGATTCACAACTAGATGCTCAAGCTGGAGCTGACTGCCATAGTCTCATCAGATATGCGATAAGGTCACGATTCCTCCATGTCTCGAATAGCATCCAGGATAGAGACCATTGCCTTGTCGGCCTGAATCAGTTCCTCGTGAGTCTTGCGTGAAGAGCAGCCGTTGTTTTGAAGTGGGGACGTTTCACAAGCTGTCGCGTGGCATCCCTGCATTGTTGTTGTCTAGACTCGTATCGGTAAGTAACGCGTCTCCCACATCGCCCACTTCCACCACATCCGCATGCAAGCATTCGCACCTCCAACAGACATATCCCAATGAGTCGCATGACGCGCGCGAAGGCCGCCGCCGTCGCCGAGCAGTTGCACATCGACGAGGACGCGTTGCTCGAACTGAACGCCCAGAAGGACGACTTGGTAGCCGCGTTGTCGCAAACTGGAAATCGAGGCGCGCTTCGCGAATTGTCGCCAAACAGTGTCAGCAGCAACATTGATGAAGAAGCAGAAGTCGAGAGAGAGTTCATAACAGAACCAAAGGAGACGGGCGACAAGCGCGCGTGGAAGGGCACAGACAACGACACGCTCAACGCTAGCTCCACTAGCGCTACAGGCGCTCAACTACCAGAAGTCATGCCAGATGAACACGAAGTAGCGCAGTCACCAGCGAGCAAAGCTGCTTCAGACGACCTCGTTGCTAATGTGCCAGAATGTGAGTGCTGACTTGGTGCCTCCTGCTATTTCGGGACTCCTTGCGATCACATGACGCTAATGCAGGAGTACAGTTGAGGCTTCGCATCTGCCATTACACGATAATAGAGCGACGACACCTCCATCTGATGCTGTCAAACTCGCTTCAAGCCAGTCCCGTGGCTCGCCCTCGGCTCTGCAGCTTGATGCGCCGAACCTGGGGTCAGAGGCGACGGAGGTGACACAAAGCACTGGCCAGGAAACCAACCAAGACGGGAAACAACAGCAACGGGCGCTGCAAACGACGACAGAATACGAGAATCCGCAAATCCCATCGGCCGACGCTCTTGTCTCCGACGACATGCCCAACCTTTTACAAATCAAGCAAGCGGATTCTGCCCAGCGTCCGTCCACACCACAGGCTGAAACTGGCCGCCAATCGTCAATGGATATATCGAATGTCGAAAACGTGGACCCAAACGGGAAGTACGATCAACTCGAAAAAGCGGTTGTCGATGCTTCCACACCTCCGAGATCAAAGTCAAAATCACCCAGGATCCCTGCTCCAAAGCCGACTTACGACCAACTCGAAATCGCAGCGCTCAATGTATCCAGATCAAGCAGCAGTCCCCCCTCTCCAAAAATGCCCGAGGACGCAATAGAGGCATTGGACTTCGAGAATGACGCCCTTGAGCAAGTCACTGCGCAAGTCCCAGATGTCCAAGATTCGCCGCAAAAGCCCAAATCCCGCAAAGCTGCGCCACTTGTCCGGACAACCAAGGCAAGTCAAGCTAGAATCTCGCTCGCACATGGTCTTCCGGATGCGCCTTCCAAGGCACCGGCGATGGGGCGGCCCAGGCAGTCCTTGTCTCAATCTACCGGGAAGCGCATAACATCAACGTCCAGTATGAAGTCAAACGGAACTGCTGCAGATGATTCGCTGTCAATACCAGAGAAGAAGGAAGTTATCATCCCGCACAGCAAGCCTAGGCCAATGTCGATGCAGTTTAAACCACCACCACCGCCAGCAAAATCAACCAAAGCGCCTACACAGAGCACTTTCCAACTCCCTGGTGAAGCCGTTGCTGCCAAGCTAAAGGCAGCAAAGGAAGCACGAATGCAAAAGGAAGCTGAAGAGTCAAAGAAGAAGGCTTTCAAAGCTCGACCCGCTCCGTCGATGACCAAGGCGCCCGCTGTTCGTCAAACCAGTACCAGCAAAGCTCGAGAATCATTGATGAATGGCAGTGGCAATACTCTCGCGACATCGACTGGTCCTTCTGCTGCTCGGCCGGTCAGTGTTGCTAGCAGCCGGCCAACGACGAGTGGAAGACCTTCGACGAGCTTTGCGAGACCGACATCCAGTGCACGACCTGCTTCCTCCCTCAAGACCAGCAGATCCAGGCCTTCCACCAGCGGCGCAACTAAAACTACTGGGCGTCCTTCCACCGCCATGGGCTCATCAGTCATCAGAAACAGACCTCGTCCAAGTACTGCTATGGCTTTGAGTAACAACCGGCCGCGCACTTCCCTGGCTCTGAAGCCAAACCCTCCCGCTGCTGCAACATCTTCTACGTCAACCTCTGGCGCACGCCCTCCTGCTTTTCAAGCCGGAAAAGGCAAGGAAGTGTTTCAACGTACGGCACAAGCCAAAAACTCGGCTGAAGCGGCGAAACGGGAGAAAGAAGAGGCTGCAAAAAAAGCGAGAGCCGAGGCTGCTGAGAGAAGTCGTGCACTAAGTCGAGAGTGGGCCGAGAAGCAGAAGGCGAAGAAGATGGGAGGTGCTGGGGCGAAAGCAGCTCCTGCTAATCCAGCAACCACTACTGGACTGAAGCCTGAAGATGCGATGAGTGGTATCGTTGAGAGCATCGAGACGGCCTAAGCGATCATGTTGGGAACCTGGAACGCTCCTTGGATTCACGGGAAACGAAGTCGAAGAATTTGCTGCTTGTTTGCTTTCTTGTCTGGATTAACGAACTGCATGAACGAATGCATCGGACACTTCTACCAGGACCACGAAACGTTGTCAAGGATGAGTGCATTGGAATTGGAAGACCTCTTGTTGCTGGTTGCCACTGCTGCTGCCTGGCTGGCTTTTTGCATTACTTGTCGTCACCGCTGTTGTCTTGCTTGGCCTTTTCCCATTGCTTGCTTTACTGCATTACCACGTCATGGGATGGAAACGAATTGTATCAGTCACTCTGTACGTATAGCGTCGGCGCTCCGAGAGGCGCTGTCTTTCTTTTTCCTTAGGTTATGCATCGTGAAACGAAATGAATCTTGAGTACTTGCAGATTGATGATCTTTTTTCTTTCAGATGTTTTCGCAGAGGACCATACGGCGGTCTGAGCAAATGAATACGCAGAGCAGCAAAGGCTGCTACGACATGAGCTCTGGGCGTGGGCAAAGTGCTGCTCGGATATATCGATCCTCTCGGACATTTCGGAGCCGAAGCTGGAGGTTGAAGGCCGCTCTGCTGCTTGCTTCGCACGAGGCAGAACCTGGAACTGCGATGTTGCGCATCCCATGCCTCATTCTACTGACTGCATGGCGAGCCTCCAACACGTGCTCGTCTCCAAAGTGGCAGCCGTGTTCGTATCTGGCCAGACCAAGATCTGCGACCTGGACTTGACATCAATCAAAAAGGCTTATGTCCGGCCAAGCATTTCCCTTCTTCCTTCCTCATGCTCGACGAGACCTTCGCAAGCTTTCCGCTCCTTGCTTAGCATATCATTGTCATACAGAGGTCCGCATGTATTGTGCAGAACCCATGTGGGATCTCCGGCTGTGATTTGCGACGGCCGCATGCGCGAAGCTGTTCGTGTCACATTTCGATGTCTCTAATGGTACAGTACAGGTGGCTGAGTAAATGTTGACAAACAGGCTGAATGTGAACGAAGTGTACTCCAGAGCTGTAAGATGCTTCGCATTGCGTGACCTGCATGCTTGCATTCTGATTGAGCTGCCTTCTGCTTGCGCTGGAATCCAGCTAGTACGCAGTTGGTGCCGAAGGATTCTTGCTACGCGATGGAACGCTACTCTGTTGGTAGTAAGGTGGAATTTTAACTTCCTCACTTTGCTCGTGCGACTTCGTATGTCCGGTCCGTGCTGGCTGTGGCTTTACTTTGTATGTTGCACTGCATTTCAAAGGATGAAGTGGCATGGAGCGTAATAGATTACCAAGAGGACTTGCTAAAGCAGGTTAAGGAAGGAAAGAGAAGGAGCAAGTGGGACCTACGAATTGCATGTATAAAAGCCGTAGGAAGGTAACATCAATTGATCTGTCTCAGCATCGTTCATCAGCATTCAGAAGGAGGACAACCAGAAGGCAGTCTCATCCTCGTCTGACAAGAACCAGTATTGCAACAACACGACCTCACAAGAACAGAGTCAAACCCCAGCTCAAGAGCATAACATCTGGTCCATCTCGAAGATGTCCAACCAATCCCTCTACCTCGACGCCCCAGGCCAACTTCTCCGCCTCGCCTCATCCTCAATCCCCCAACCCGGCCCCGACGAACTCATAATCGAAACCAAAGCCCTCTCCATCAACCCCATCGACGTCGCACAATCCACGAAAGGCCTATACCTCAAGTCCTTCCCCCGTATCCTCGGCCAAGATGTCTCTGGAATCGTCCACTCCATCGGCACCCAAGGCAACTCACCATTCAGCACCGGAGACCGTGTAACAGCCCACGCCTGGTCCATGCTCACAGGCCAAAACGAAGACGCCGCATGGCAGAAATACGTTCGCGTAAAAGCGAAGAATACAGCGAAACTTCCTAATAAGATCAGCTTCGCGGAAAGTGTAGTGTTGCCTTTGGTGCTCAACACAGCTGCTGCAGGATTATATCAAACCTTACAACTACCTCTGCCAGAAGTTGGGAAGAAGCGAACTGGAGAAGGAGTTTTGGTCGTGTATGGAGGGTCGTCAGCTGTAGGGTTGTCAGTAACTCAGCTTGCGACAGCGAGCGGAGTGCGAGTTATCGCAATCGCGAGCGAGAAGAATTTTGAGTTGGTGAAAGAAGTAGGAGCAGAGGAGGTATTCGACCAGAAACAGGGTGATGAAATGGTAGAGAAAGTCGTAAAAGCTGTTACGGCGACGAAAGAAAAGTTCATCGGAGTATTCGATGCGATTGCAGTCGAAGCGACGTATAAGCACGACCTGGCCATTTTGGAGAAATTGGAAGGAGGAGCTTTCGTTTCTACGCATCAGCTTCCTGAGGATCTGCCGGAGAATGTGAAGGGGAAGTTCATTTTCGGGTTGGGAGAGTTTAGTTTCGCGCTGTGGGAGAACTACATTCCTCAGGCGTTGGAATCGGGAGACCTGAAAATCAGACCGGAGCCACTGGTGGTGGGTAAGGGTCTGGAAAGTATCGAGAAGGCCCTTGAAGTCTACCAGAAAGGCGTCAGCGGGAAGAAGGTTGTAGTCGAGTTGTGATTTGCCGTAGCAATTTCCTAGATTGTTAATTCGATCCCGACATATCGCATCTTCATCCTCGTCAAAGCGATTTACCTCGGGTTTCCCATGCTATATGTCATCGCTCTTCGATCGCTATGCACTCTTCATCATCGTGGCGCCTCTGAAGACTTTGACAACTAGGCGGTGAGGCTGAAGGTTTAAAGTCAACTTCTATAACCCTCAGTCAGCATGACGTCCGCGCATATGACCTCTATTTGTCGATCATGGTCATATCTACATTCCTGGAAGTATAACAGCCCTTCAGATGACCTCGTGGGGGCAACCAAACGAGAAGACAACAATTCTGACAACGAGTCTGCGAGCGGTCAGCCTGGTTGTTTTTGAGCTGTGCTAATCACAGGCCGCAAAGTGGGAAGGTCGTCCAGTAGAATGCGAAACGTGCAACCACTACTGTAAAAATGCCCAATAGACAGCAGCTATAACGACGCGTGTGGTGTGGTGGAAGGTTTGACAATTCAAGTGCCGACGTCCGAAGGCCGAAGTGCAGCCAGGCACAGAAAGCATCGCAGAGGTGAATCAGCGTCGTCAGCTTGGTCGGTGTAAATTGCGGCCTCGTTGTCATTCGTGTGCGGCTGTGTTTTCGTTCGCACTAGCCACCGAGGCTGGGAAAATGCACGTTGGTGGTATGCTTGGGCGTGGTAGGTCAAGTCGCAACAACCCGGGCCTATCCTCTGCTAGCCGCAGCATCAAGCCCAAGCTGCACGAGCACCATCGTTTCATCACATTCCAGATAACAGCGCAGTATGCATAAAAGCGCCGCTACTTCGGTTCTTTGTGAGACTGATACACATGACAGCTGTATTGGACGCATCTGGCGGAGGCTGCATATTGCATGTTGGAGCGCTCATGCCAGTGGTCGCTGATATGGGCAGTCCCACTCTCAGGGTCTTGTTTGCTGGCGGGCGTTTCGCTTATCTCGATAATAAAGACCCTCTCGGACGGGAAGAGGCATCAAGCATGTCCTTTGATAGCGAGGCAGGGACTGAGACAAGGTCCTTCGAGACCTGCACCGCGCCTCCGACATGGCCCTACTGTTCTCAAGCGGTTGTTGCCGGCTTCATGCAGTGAGGTTTGTACCTGCTTGGAGGCTGCTCGGGCCTTGACATGCGTAGGCAAGGCAATCCGGGAAGCCGCATCACGGCCCCATTGACAGAGTCAGCCAAGCTCGTCGTCTCCAATGGTTCAGAGCGGTTCCACGTGCATGGCTTGCGGCGGGCGTATGCGTCTCAGTGTGGAGTACGCATCACGGGCGAAAGTCATTGGATCCTTTGTGCAGGAACGCTGTAAGAGGCGCGAGCTATACTGCATTGGTGACGAGGTGATGCAGTCTGGAGAGGAATCGAAGATGATCCGGCAAGGCACGAGGCGCTTGTCCGTGGGAGAGGTGCAAAACATACCGAGGATCCCGAAGCTGCTACGTCGTTGTTCGCTGCGAGCGCATCGAGCCGCACTTTTGCCAAACCAGTCGACTATTGCCACGCTATCGACCTGCTATGGCCAGCACGCTCGCAACTTGGATGATCGCCATCAACCGCAAGCGCCAGCGTGACGAAGACGCAAGAGCTTACCCCACCGATCAACCGACACTTGTGAGACATTGTGGAGCGCACTGATCACCAGAGGGACGAGGCTCGCACGCATATTGCATGAGAATTGTGCAACGGCGACTGGCGTGCAGTGCCAGTGCAGTGCCATCTCCCAGCGCAGTGTTTCCAATAGAAAGACTAGTCTCGAGATTGCTGCAGTCGGCCGGGGTAAAGTCTGCCAAATCTGGACGCGACCCTTGTTCATCAGCATCAATTTGCGGGTGCAGTAGTCAAGCGGGTACAATGGGCGTGGGGTTGCTCGCGCGCTTGACTCCAGCAACAGCAACGAGCGGGTGGGCCCCCAGGATAGTCGGAATGGGTGCATGAACGCTCTGGTGGCCTCCGCACCCAGACTTGCAGTGCTGGAGAAAGGGTTGTTGGTACAAGCGACTAGCGAGCGAGCGAGGTGGAGCGAGGGAAGTGGCTCTGCTCGTCTAAGCAGTTGAGGTGGCAAGAGGCATTATCGGCATTGGCAGCGACGTCGCAGCACAGCACCGGGCCTCGACGACGACGGCAGAGCAGAGCTTGGTTGAGGGCGTCGGAGGATTGAGAGGACGTCAGATCATGTCTCGCAAGTCGTGCCGTGGGCGAGAGCCACGTTCCTCGCCTACAGCCTTGGAGGCTTGCCAAAAGCCCACTCTGGCCGGCCGATGCCCAGACAGCTCGAGCAGCAACGCATGGGCCGCTGTGAGATTGTGCCTTCATGCAGCAGCACAGGCAGTGCCACAGGAATGGAGGCAGAAACGCTGCCATCCGTGACAAGCAAGCGAGCGAGCGGAAACACAGTCGTGCCGAATCCTGTCTCGCTGCTGACTACAGAGACAGAGACAGACCGGACACTTCGAGCGGCGTGAAACGCGGAGGCAGCGGCAACCAGGTCGTCCACCTCCAGAGACTAGTTGCTAGCAGGAAATAATTGCTCAAGAAATTGCGTGCTGCTGAGCTGATCAATGCCCACCACGGTGCATCATCTGACGGCGGGTGATCACGCCAGACAGAAAACAGAATGGCCGAGCGCGAGATGCACGCCGCATAGGGTCAACACAATTTTGTCGGTTCCAACCGCATCCTGCGCAGCACACTGAGCCCCAAAAGCGTGAGACGGTGGAGAGGATCGCTATGGGCGCTCGGGCCTCAGCGCTTAGGGAAAATCACTCGCTTGGCCTACAATGAGCAGCAGCAGCCTCCCGTGGCTCATCAGTTGGCCCAGCGAGAGCTGCTCTGCTTTGTGCTTCTCTGTCATGGGGTGTGGAGCACTGTTGTCGCGCAACTGCTGGTGGGCAGCTCGTCTCAGATGTTGACCGGGGCACCCCAGCGCGGTGGGCGCGAAACCTGTTGCTGGGCGTGGAAGTTGACGGAGCCCGATACTTCGACCCAGGCAATGTTGAAGGCGAGACAGATGGCAAAAGATGATGGGACCCATCACTTTTGCGCTCCTGCCTCCGCAGGCTGCAGGTCGTTCACTTGGGTTAGCGGCCAGTGCAGTGAGTGGGGCTCAAGCAAGTGCCTCGTGCACCACTCGGCCATCAGAGTCGCTGGCCTCCCACACGAGGCTTCTTTAACAGACGCTCGCCCTCCTCCATCAGCTGGTGATCATTCGGCTCGTATTTATCTGCTCATACACCATCGCACTTTCCTTCAGCACAGTGCTCCACCAACACACATTACCTTCGTCCATCCCCGTCGCACAATCGATCACGCTCTGCCAAGCGCTTCTTCCGCCATCGCCAGAGATCATACCACGAGGTCATTGCGCCATTGTCCGTGCGGAGTTCGACTCACACATCCACGTCTTCAAATACTCCTCCGACTGCGCTCCTTGGACAGTCTTCCATTCTGACACACACATCAATCTCTCTGGACGCTTGCATTCTCTGCAACCACAATACACTGCTCTACGCATCGTCGTCGTCGTCACCACCACCACACCACAACCCCACCTCCACAATGGACTGCTTTCAAGACTTCTGCCTCCACTGTGACCGGGATTCACCCGATGGACCCTACTGCTCTCAGAAGTGCAAGCTTGCCGACCTGGAGCGATCGAACTCATCATCACCGACCTCACCCACATCACAAGCAGAGCGCAACTGGACACAAATGCCTTCCAATTACGCTGCACCCTCATCATCGAGCAGCCGACCTCGATCATCATACTTCATGTACTCACAACAACCATCTCGACCCACGGAGCGACAGTTGACACCTTCATCATCACGAACATCTCTGTCATCCACCTCATCTTACTCAACAGCTTCCGGCACCTACTCCACCGAAGCCAAGGCACAACTCAACGACTACTTCTCATCTTTCGATCAAGCCAAAGCCGCAAAACGACGATCGAGCACCAGGTAAACCAGGACCCACAATTCGCTGCTTCGGATTTTCCTCCGAGCTGCGGACAAAGTGCATTCTGTACTACCTCAACACTTTCTCTTCTCGGCCAACGACATGATCGAGCTCTCCACACTCTACCACCACAGCGGCTGTCCCGACGAACAGTACGGAAGCAAGGCCGGCGTTTCTTCTTTTTACGAACTCCAAAAATCTTCCTCTTTGCTGTACCACTAAAAGCATTTGAATGGACAATGTCAGTAACGAAACCGAATGTACCTGGGCGAAAGTTTTTCTCTTTACCATCTCGGACGAATGTTTTGTTTGCTGGGCGGGGGCGCTCAAATGGGAAACGGAACTCCAAATGGCCGGCGAGCCAATTGCATGATCTGGAACTTTTTTTTTTTTTGCGAAGCAACGGTGTTTCAAACAGAACTGGGTTCAGCAGCAGCATAGAGGAGGGGTCCTCTCTTGCGTGTCTGGTCATGTTTTTTTGTTGGATGTTTGACCTGTACCCAGTACGGCGGGAACAGAAAAAACCTTGTACTGTACGCTGGGACGAAAGACGAGGGAAGGGATCAATGCTTGCTCATGAGATGTTTCAGAGCCGCGTGTCCCTTTACCAACGCAGAGGGTTCTAGGGACTTTTTTCTTTTCAGTTGCATCAATGCGCGCGTCGCATCGAGGGATGCCGTCAGCGGGAGTTTCAGCAAAACCCGTTTGACGTGCTACAGAGGAGCTTGCGAGCTCTCTCCAAGGGCAAAAATGTTTGCTGCACCAGTATCCGCGGAATGCGGTCACAAAATTTAGGTAGTTGGTCGCAATCAAAGACAACAAAAGACCCTTTCGGCAATGCCTGCTTGCTTACCGCTTACTGTACTCTCTGATGACTCTGACTCTCATTTGACTTCTGTTTGTTTCTGCTGTCGTTCCTACTCATGGCCATTGCTACCTTCAATCCCAGCGAGAGCCGCGCGTAACACCTGCATAGCAGTTTCGAGCTGCAGACTCAGTGCATTGCAGTGCAGCAATTGCGAGTGATGACATCGTTCGAGCACCCGCGGAGACGAGTAATCACAACAGTAGTTAGCCGCGGGCCACGATGATCCCCAGAGCTACAGTTTACTCCATGTCAAGGGCAACAACAAGCGGCTGTCGTGATCACTGGAAGCGCACTGGTCCAGCTCATCTTTCCCCGCACGAAAGCAGCTACTTTGCCTTCAAATGTTTTGCCTTTTACGCCAGCCTGCTCCTCGCAGATCGCTATCGTCCGTTTGGCCTATAGTCCAGTGCCACCTACCTAATTTACACGTACTTACACTTTCTTACCCTTTTCCGCAAAAGTCCGCTCATCGCGATAATCTTTTCCTCTCCCCATCTCATCTCCTCGTGATCTACTTGGCTGCTAGCCAGAAAAGTCACATGTCCATGTTTCGGACTCTTCTCCTTTGCTTGCCTGCCCTGCTTGCTTCTTGCGGGCAAAATCAGAGAAATCCCAATGCTTTCCTCGGGTGCTACAACATTTCATTTTTGGGGCCTGGGACGGGAATTTGTCGAGCAACTTATTTATTTTGTGGGTCGGTGGTCTAACGACTCAGTCCATTCTTACCCACTGCTGCGGACGCGGGTTAGTGTGCTGGGAACATGTCTGTAGAAGCAAGGACCTTGATGATTACGTTGTTGGCTTTTTCTTCTTGCACACGACTCATCGAGACGAAAAGGAAAAGACGTTTGCACCTTCCGCGGAAAGCTTGGAGCACTGACTGACTGATCGGCTTTGGAAGGAAGGAAGTCTGGATTCTACGGAAAGAACGCACCAGATTTTCTCCTCTGCGTTTTGTGTGTGCTTTCCACTTTTTGTCTTTCGTCGACCCCCGGTGATGAGGATTACATCTTTAGAAACTTGTGAAACATGCCATTTGCAAGGTACACACGGGCTCGGATTACGAAAGCTACCGCCGCGGTGGTACTCTTCTTTTCTCCACGCACGGCTTGACGGCTACGCAAACAAACGACGCATTGTCCCTCATCTCGCACGTCTAGCTTACCGGACCGCGAGACAACAAGAGAACCTGCTCGCCGGCCGTGCTTACAAGGCAAAGCAGACAGGCTCGCGAAATGATACAACACCTCCAGACCAGACGTCTGTTCCAGTGAGAACCACAAAAAAGAACCCGCGCAATCTCATCTCTCGCGTTGGCTGCGAGCCGTCCCTTGAATTCCCGTTGGCTCGATTACAATCCATCAACCTTTTTGGTGACAAGCTCTGATCTGAATCGCGCATCATCACAGCACAAACACAAAAATTGCTCTGTCCCTCTTCCTTGGGCCCAAGGTCCAATACGAGATATGGGAAAAGATTGGTCCGCCGTGCTCGCAAGTGAGTTCGGAGTGCCATGCGATGCAGGGGATCGTCGCAGGAAAATGCCGGAAGAGGCTGTGCAACGTGTCGGGTCGCGGATGGTCGACGAGAGACAGCACAAAATGCACAGTGCACGCACGCACGCACGCGCGCCACGATCATCAAAGTCGAAAAGACAAAAAGTCTGGTTTGCATGACTTCCAAGATCGTTGGGAAGCATTTCTTCACGGGCAAACGGTTCTGCTGATTCCCAATGCAAGCACACGCACACGCGGAAGAGGAAACAGAGACAGAAGTCTGTGTTCTGGTGAAACGGCTCGCTCATGCTGTTGATGATTCAGGTTTCACGAACCAGGCACTGACTTTTCTTCTTCTTTTCATTCCGTCTTGCCTCTGCGCTGCCTGTATGCGGACTGCAGGAGAAATCATCGATGCGATCTGGACTTTGCTTACGTACGACCCACAAACGCTTGGTACCAACTGACAAAACTCCTGGCGAACCAGCTCATACCATGTTCTCCGCCGTCCTGGCAGAAAATTCATCTTCAGAGCTCTTCTTCCGCTCCAAAGAATCTTCTCGTCGGTGACGAGGTGGGTCTTCGCTCTTGCATATTGCCATTCCCATTCGCGGCTTGTCGCCGGGGAAGTATTGTCCGTCAATCGAGACCAATTCCTCACCAGTAAGGTGCTGCATCGGGACCCATCTCGTCAGGACATTGCATTGAAACATGGTGAAGAATTAGTGGAGCTTGTTGAGGTGAACTTACCAAGTACCAAAAGAACACACCGACAAAGAGCGAACCACCGATGATGTTTCCGAGGAGTGCCGGAATCAACGATTTCCAGACGTAGTATGTGACTGTGATGTCCGGGTGGTGGTTGAAGATTGCTGTGGGGATGAAGTACATGTTTGCAACCTGGATGGTTTCCCGTAAGTCAGTTTCATCATTCCATCATGGTAATGACTTCGCAGCCCCAGTCCAGCAACACGAACCGCCCAAAAGAGTAAGAAAGAAACCATGGGCCGACTTACAACATGATCGAACCCCAAGCTCACAAACGCAAACGTCGGCCACCAAATCGCCATGACTTTACTAAAGTACTCCCTTGGCATCATGCTCAAGAAACAAGCCACGCAGACAAGCCAATTGGCTCCAATGGCTCGCAGGAAGATTGCATGCCAGGATGGTGTGATGGCTTTCGATGTGCCGAACCGGATCACTTCTGCTGCGTAGGCAGAGGATTTGAATGTCTCGCCATATCCGGTTATGAGGGCGACGACGAAGAGACAGCCGGCGAGGTTGCCCCAGAAAGCTGTGATGGGAGGTTAGTTGTTGCGGTGAGGAAGAACAGTTTTGTGGAAGGTTCGTATGTGCAAGTTCCTTTTTGGGAATTGGACTGGAGTTGTGTGTCGTTGTGAAGAGGCAAGTGGAGTGGTAAGTTCTCGTTGCAATTGCTGCTTTGAGGAAAAGGTTGTGATCGAAAATAACAGTTCCGTGCTAATGAAAGAGTATAACTTACTAAGAAACCAATGCTGCAACATCTTCAAAACTGAAATCCTCCCCTGCAGCGCAGCGATCGTGGTATACATGAAGGAACCTGTGCAAAGGTCTGTCCCTGTTACGACGACCATCAAGAGACCAAATGGAAAGATCTGGATCATCATCAGTCACAATCTCCTCAACACCTCTCCTTCTCCAACAAGCTCCATCCTTCTGCACTCCACCCCCGACCCGACAATGTTGGCAAGAACAACTTACAAGAGCTCCAATCGTCTTAATCAACCCCGGAGCATTCTCCTGAAACCACGGAGAAGAATTCACATTCAAATAAGCCGCACAAGCAAAAGATAACAACATTCCACCCATGACAGCGCTCATGAAGATTTTATCGACTCGCATATTGGCTTTTTTGTAGCCGCACCGGCCGCATAGTTCTGTCGTCTCCTGGGGTGTGTAGTTGCTGACGATGGCGTGGATGTAATGGGGTTGTAGCGCCATTTTGGATGAACTTGTGGCCTCGGCGGGCTAGTAAGGAGTGTGATGGAATGGAAGGATTTGAGTGAGAATGGATAAATGTGTTGTTGTTATTTTTGTAAGAAATGAAAGTAGAAGTGGAAGAATAACGGAACGAGATGATGAGAATGCGACTGCCTACCGATACATCGAAGGAGAAAGAGGACGATGAGGGGGGAAGAGACCATCTCATGATGCAGCAACATACGCGTCGACAACAGCCTCTCCTAGAAGCCAAGAGTCTTGTTCCTAACGATAGCCACATCAATTGCGGCTCTTGAGCGCTTCCATCGCGGAATGGAAAATCTTCTGCACACACTGGTGAGACGGCAGAACCGTATACAGCACGGCGAATTGAGCGGCCAAGCCTTCATCATGATCAAAAAAGGCTTGCTGCCTGCCTCGATCGGAACTAAACAGGAAGCGCACATTGCGCATTGCGCATTGTATTGCGCCGTTTCACCCACGTGCTGCTTGTTCTCCTTGGCAGTGATGGGTTTGATACCAAATGGGCGCTTGGAGAAACGACGAAGGCAAGGTCGGTGTTTGTTCGACTGGTGCTAAGCCTCACTGCTGCCCTAGCAAGGAGGTTGCCGGAAAACTTTCGTGCTGACGTTGAAATTTCGGAAGATGGAGGATGGCTGCCAAGAAGCCGGACGGACCTTGTTAGATTTTTTGCTGTGTTGGCTGTGTGTCGTTCTCGAATATCAGTCAACATTTGTAGCGAAGGTTTTTGTTGACTTTGCAAAGTGGTCAGATCGCTTCCGATGTCTGATGCGAGCTTATCTGCCAAGAGATAAAGCCACCATGTCAGGCCACCCACAGTAGTTCGAGCGTTCCGCTGCTCGGCGAAATTGTCCACTGCGTATCCATCTTCAATCCTGTGAGTCGGGCGTATACACCACATTTGAATCACGTCTTCATCGACCATTCGCGAGGACTTCCTTATCTGAGGAGCGAATCGTGTATTGTGGATCTGTGGGTCCTCTCTTTGCTGCTAAAAAGAAGTTCCTGTGGAGTTGGGTGGCCGTTCTCTTCAGTGCACGTACTCTAAGTGTATCTTTGCGGGCGCAGTGTCCCGCTTCTAGGCGATTGGGAGCGAGAACTACGCCCCGGGACCCGCAATGGTATGGTCGTTGTCAAATGTTTTGGGCGAGACAGTCTAGAATTTTGTGTTTGCTGCATTTGGGCAAGGCACAGATGCGGATGGCGGATGAGGCTGAATCTCACGGGGCTATTCGCGGCCGAAAATAAAACCGCTTGGTGTTCGCGATGAGATTTGGCCGGACGGCATGGGAACAGATATCCGAGTTGATGAGTGCGGTTTGCACTTCCGAGCTTTCGGTTCGCAGAAATCCTTTGCCTCGATGCGCTTGAACATCTTCCAATCGCCCTGCAAACCCGCCAAGCTCGAAGGAGTAGGATCATATCGTCCAACGTATGAGCACAGAAAGCAAAGGTCCTCTGCGGCCAGCGTGCATTGTGGTGCTCATCGTAACATACCGGATAGATGTCTCGGCTCGGACCTGCGGTACTTTGTATTGTCGCAGTGCTTAGTAAATGAGCACACTCCGCTGCATGTCGCATTTTCGGAAGATCCTGTAGCCGCGCTGATTCATTGAAGTGACAGATGTTTCGCGAAGTCGTGGGAGGAACATGCAAACTGTCTTTGTCGCGCCGAGCCTCAATACAATATTGGCATGCACAACTTCACCTTCAAGATCCACGCCGGGTTCAAGTTGTCCGGCGGCCTTTGCCAGATCTGTGGCCATTGCCGTCCATTGCCGTTTGCCATTCATTGTAGCCGTACGACCATGAGCGGAGTGATTCACGCAGCGCTTTGCCAATTGTCAACCCGATTCCGACACCTTTTGTGTTCCGTGTGACGGGTGTCAAGATCCTGACATATTCGTGGCTCTATCAGAAGGCGACGAGGGTTTTGCGATATGACCTGGCTTGAATCAAGAGCTTCACAAGTATGCAAGGCGTGTCACCCGCGGCCTTTGCGAAGAAACCATCCCGTGTGTACCGCCATAGCGACGCCATTCGTCGTTGTACTTGATTAGCAGTCCTTTTCAGGCGTCCCGCTCATGTTGACGGGGATGTGTGCTATGCTGCTTGCGTGGCAGATTTTGGCATCGTTGCGGGATGAGGTCCACGATTTGCCAAGACTCTATGTTCACGCGCCATTCGTGCCTGACGGCGGTCGCGATGTCCCTCTCCACTCATGAAACCTGTATGAAGGACCTCTTGATGATGGCGTCGGCTGTCATTCTCATCAGGCATCATTGAGATGGTCCCAGCTAGCCGCGCTGCAACGCAACAGTAGTGGAAGCCACTTGTAGGGCGTGAAGCGCGCCGCTCTCGGGACATGTGGATGGAAGACGCAATTGGCAGACTGCTGTCCATCTTGAGGATGTCCAGTGCACTTTGGAGTCTGCTGGCTTATTCCTGGGTGCCATTTGCTGGGATCTCTCAGGCTATGCAAGATCGTGATGGCGGCGATGGCAGCTCATGTTGCATGAGTGCCCGACAAGCATCGTGACAATTTCATCACGGCGGTGAGTGCTGATGCCAGCACTTCATGTTCATGCGTGCCGTAATAGTTTCGCAGTCGAATATTGTTACAGCAGTGAAGTCAGAGAGTGTGGGCATCTCAGTGACGGCGGTGACTGCCCAAATCGGGCCGGCTCGGGAGCTCCAGCCACCTTCTTCCAGCATTTCCCAGCTTCTGCTGCCAACAAGCGACTCGACGCCTCCAGCTGCAGCAGTAGCGACGAGCGAGTGCGCCAGCCACACGCATAGAGACGTCTTACGAGGCAAGTACCATATCTCACTGTTTCCTCACTTTTGCTGCATATCTATCCTGGATACGTGCAGGCAACTCTGCCGCACTCTGCATATTGACCCACAGGCACGCGCGAGACCAACGTGGGCCATGCACGACCGACTGCTCGCATTGCCTGCGACTCTCCTAGCACTGGTCGCAGCGACAACCCCAGCTCTAGCTCACGATCTTCCCTGGCCGCACGATCTACCACGGAACGCGAAATACTACCCCGAAGACGAACCACATGTGAAGCGCGGACTCGAGGCGCAGCAACGATTGCAATGGCAGGAACCAACGGGCATGAAGAAGCTTGGAGACGACCCCGGTGAGAAGTTCTTCATGCACTATTGGGAGTTCGGTGAAGCAGATGAGACGACACGATGGACTTTGCAGCGCCTAAGACATCACAGCGAGCTTGGAGTATGCGGAAATGCAACACGATTGTTGCCCCCGCTTGAGCAGCATGCCAGTGACAACAGCCGCTCGTGGTCAATATTCGGACGCGATATCTTTGCACGGGATTTCGAATGTCCCGGGGGCACGACCTCATGTCGCAGCATAGGCTCGGATCTCTGCTGCCAAAGTGGGGAGACTTGTGTGAACACATCCGAAGGAGTTGGATGCTGTCCTCCTGGAGCGACTTGCGGCAATGAAGTAGGCGAATGCGATACGGCTGCAGGGTACTCGAGCTGCCCCGGAGATGGTGCTGGTTGCTGTATCCCAGGAGCAGCTTGCGTGGAAGGTGGATGTGCCTTCTATGGGACTGCTACAGTCACGACAAACCTACCTGCGCCAACAACGAGCAGTCAACGACCAACGACTATTATAGTGTCTGAGTCTGGACAGACCACGACTGTGACAGTGACGGCAAGCGGAGAAGACAACACCCAGACGGTCACTGTCACTGAGCCGACCACAATTGTTATTGGAGGTGGCACGAGTAGGACCTGCACTGCTGGCTTTCAGTCTTGTCCGGCGACGTTGGGAGGTGGCTGCTGTCGAAGCGATCAGATTTGCGGCGCCAGCACAAGCTGTTTAGAGCTGACGACTACCACTTCAGCAACGGCAGGACCACCAGTGCGTCCTACGAGCAGCGATAACTCAGTCTCCGCAGCAAATACAGAACAAATTTCCTCGACAGCAACCAGTGTTGTTGGCTGTCCTACTGGTTTCTATATGTGCTCAGCAGTCTACCTTGGAGGCTGCTGTCGGGTTGACCGCAACTGCGATACTACCTCATGTCCCGCAACAGCCTCGACGGATGTCGTGACCAACTCTGGCCTCACGATCGCTGCTGCTGGTGGCAATGCCGTTCCCACTACCGGCTCATGCGCCAACGGCTGGTCCACGTGCGCCCCAGATGCAGGTGGAGGATGCTGTCCTTCTGGATATCAATGCGCTGACAATTGCATCAATACCGCACCGGGAGGCAGCAACACAACGAAGATGGCCCCGGACTCTGCTGCGCCTGATGTCCTGGTAAGAGGGACTGCATGGAGTTTTGGACTGGTTGGGTTAGTGACGGGAGTGGGTATGATCCTGCTGTAATGGGTCAATGCAGCACATTAGTCATCTCTGTAGATGTGAATGGACCCATCCAGGTACAATTATGCATCTGTTGCAACAACAGCAGGGAAGCAGCTGCTCTTGGTTCGTGACCTTGGTGTCCTTGCAATCACGATCTGAGCTTCCAGTATTTTGCATCTTAATCGCCCCCTCTGATCAGGTCCTTGACGGCGCGGCATTTTGAGCACGGATGGACGCATTGAGGCATATGACGAGCAGCGTGATGGCAGTCATGCTATGCTATGCTATGCTGTGCGATGCCATGCCGCATGTGTTGCAGTCAGGCAGCTCCACAATCACATGCTCCCGCAGACTAGGCGCCGCTGCCGCCGCCAAGCAGATTGCCTGACAGAGTTTCCGGGGTGGGGTCCACCGCATCATTGGTCCATGAGGCTTCGAATCTCCCAAGCTCACCTGTGACCATCACCGACGCCATTCTTTCAAGCTGTATGCCACACAGCTGTGCGTGATCGTGTCTCACTCGTGCAAAGGCAGCGACTGACTCCGTGAGCCACAGATCACCACTCCACCAGCATTTCCCTCCACCAAGCGACAGCAGTGTTCCATTCATCGGAAGCACGATGAAGGGACCCTCCCTCCACCACCACCTACCATGAGCTCGTCAGACGACGGCAACAAAAGCGGCAACAACAAAGGCAGCAGCAATGGAAGCGGAGGCAAGGGCAAAGGCTCCGGCAACGACAGCATCTTCTTCTTCCAGCCCTCCAAGGACGTGAAGCGATTCGCCAAACGCTACCGCACCGAGATCAGCGCATCCACCTCCTCCGTCCTATCGACCTTCGCCGCTTTTCCTCTCGACTTCGCCAAGTCGCGCATGCAATCCTACGAAACGGGCTTCGTCCACACCATCAAAGATGCCTACCGCGCTGAAGGCTTGCGCGCATTCTGGCGGGGCGTGACCCCACCGCTCATTTCTGTCACTGTGGTGAGAACCATCAGCTTCAGTCTTTACCAGAAAGCCAAGTACGCATACGATGCGGTGATACACGAAATGACGGGCAAGAGTCCCCTCGTGACCGCGAATGCTCCGGGCTCTTATCCGACATTGGGTACCATGGCGTGTTTCGGTGCTGCAGGCGCGACTGCCGGAGCAGTGATAACGACTATCTCGTGTCCTTTCGAGCTGACGAAGCTTAATGAGCAGCTGGCGGGGAAAGAGGCGAGGAAGGCGGCTATGGTGAAGTTCCAGAGTAGTGGAGCAACGAGCCAGAGTGGTGCCGCACCGGTAGTAGATCTGAAGAGTGGTGGGAGTATGGCTACGGCGAGACGCCTGGTCAGAGATCGTGGATTCACGGGTCTGTATGCTGGATACCGATTGCATTTGCTAAGAGACACGGTCGGGACGGCAATCTACTTCATGACCTATGAGAGTGCAAAGCAGTTGATGGGCAATGCGAGAGGGAAGAGTGCCACTTCGCCGTATGCTGTGCTTGCTGCTGGAGGACTCTGCGGCATCGTCAGTTGGGCTTGTGTGAGTACTTCATCTCGGTGACTGAGTTGTCAATTGCTGACATGGTCAAACAGATATACCCTGTGGACGTTGCCAAAACTGTTTACCAGAAGGCCTTACTCAGCGCAGGCAGTGGGCATGCCGCTCGACCAGCGATTCGATTCTTCGCCGGAGGTTCATACCGAGGACTGGGCGTTTCCGTGCTGCGATCGTGTATCATCAACATGATCTTCTTCAGCAATTTCGAGCTCATGAAGAAGCGGATCAATTCCATGGATGACGATGTTGATTGAACCCACCATGCAGAACTTGACACTTGATCAAGTGCAAGCGGAAGACCAAACGATAATGGTAATTGCCATCTGCGAAGACAGAAGGCGGAAGACGAAGCTTAAAAGTCCTTACTTATTCTCTCATCGGCGCAGCGGGCAGGAGCATCAGAATTCAGTCAATCAAGCATCTCATGGAAGCGACAAGGGAGGCAGCAAGCAAGCACCGCACACCAATGCGGAGGCATACACACATTTGAAGGCGTTATTGAGCGTGGATGGCGAAGGAGTTCTCGCGGGCGTTCGTTTGGAGATTCACCATTGAGTTGCTGGTTGAGCACCCGGCGGGTGCGATGCTCCTGGCATTTGATGAAGGGCATGCAGGGTGAGGCTTTTTTGTTGATGGGAATTGGGGAAAGAGCGATGCATTCGCGAAGGGAGAACTGACTGCAAGTGCAGATGTTGATGAGCTGGACATAGCATGGCTGAGAAAGCAGCCAAAAACATTGGAAGCAGAGCAGAATCGACAGTGCTGTTCCATCCTGACCGCCATCCCCTATCCGCTTATTGAGTTCTGGTTGCAGCTGAAGCACTCTCAGCGGCTTCCCTCGAAGTTCCATCGCGGTTGCCATACATCCTCGAGCTAACTGCTACAGTCACGACTCAACTCCTGCCAGGCGGCGTGCCATTGGAATTCGGCATTGAAAGCACTTCGACAAGACCACTGTGCCTACCGACACTCGAATGCGTTGGCCATCGCACTGTGCTGATTCTATCCTTTCACGCCGAAACTACATTGCATTGTTGACTACCTTAGCGTGCACAAAGCAACTCGACATTAGACAACCCCGATATTCATGTCGACAAGAAATGGAATAGAGGCCATTGTGTTCAACACAAAGAAGTCTGAGCGTTCATGAAAGGGCGTTCCCGCGCGTTTAATGTCTGCCACAACCATGCATTTTTCTTACGCCACAAAATGCCATTATTCACAACCACAAAGCACTATACTGACCAGATCGCAGACCACAATGCCCACTGTACAGCCCCGTAACCCTCCACACAGTATAAGACTCTCGCCCTCCAACCCCAATTCGAATTCTCTCCTCATCAGTCCCTCGATACCTCGTTCAGACAGCTCTACTTGTTTCTGGCAAACAATCTAGACAACTCTGACCAAGCAATCGACCAAGACAAAACCGCGACCGAAAACCCAAACCCTTTCTTGCACATCTACAAGATGTGCAACAACACTACCAACTACAACAACTACCCAGTGGCAACCGCCTACCTGACTATCCCGACCGCAATGGACGTCGAACGCTGCCCGAGCTGCCGTCGCAGCATCGCGACATGCCGATGCGAGGCTCCTGTGCAGCCTCGTCGTCGAGACATTTTCGACTCGGCTGATGCCCAGAGCATGGGCTGGGACACTTGTCCAACTTGTGTAAGTTCCTTTCCCCGTCCCCAATCACACCTTTGTGCGTACATTTTACTGACATTTCAACAGCGACAGAACATCAGCGACTGCAGCTGCGCCGTGAAGAACCAATTCGCAATCGACTCGGACACTTGTCCAATTTGTGTAAGTTTTCCCCCCAATCCCCTATCACGACTTTGTGCGTGCATTTTACTGACTATTTGAACAGCGACAGAATATCAGCGACTGCTGTTGTGCGGTAAAGAACAAGTTCGCAATCGACTGCGCTGCTAAGCACATCACCTACATGGTTGACAGCGCGATGAAGACCAGCTTGCTAACCCTAGGTGCCTTCCCCGGCCAGAGCATGGGCTGGGACACTTGTCCAACTTGTGTAAGTTTCTTCCCCCATCCCCCATTACCACTTTGACATCTCACTGACTTTTTTACAGCGACAGAACATCAGCGACTGCAGTTGTGCGGTAAAGAACCAATTCGCCATCAGCACACTCTCGGACACTTGCCCTGTAAGTTTCTTTCCCCCTTTCCCCATCACAACTATTTGTGGACATTTTACTAACCATTTTCACTAGATCTGCCGACAGAATATCAGCGACTGCTGTTGTGCCGTGAAAAACCAATTCGCCATCAGCACACTCTCGGACACTTGCCCTGTAAGTTTCTTCCCCCCAAATCCCCATCACAACTGTTTGTGGACATTTTACTGACCATTTTCAAAATTAGATCTGCCGACAGAACATCAGCGACTGCTGTTGTGCCGTAAAGAACCAATTCGCAATCGACTGCGCTGCAAAGCACATCGCCTTCATGGTTGACAGCGCGGTAAAGAACCAGTTCGCAACCACTGTGAAGGCTGACACCTGCTTGGATTGCGGCCGTGCTGTGGACAAGTGTCGGTGCGACGCTCCAGTGAAGCCTCACCGCCTGAGCACCGCTCAGAACAGTCATCTGGTAAGCTGTCGCTAAGTCGTCTGCAGTGCTAACTAGGATCAATAAGCTTCACTCTCAAGCACAGGCCTTTCGGGAACCACTCTGTCAGTACAGGTAGGAGCTACTTTGTAGCACTGGCTGGAATACGGGAGTCTTCTGAAAGGCGATCTCACGACGACAGGTAAAGGTTCTTTCTCCTTCTTTGTCTTTTGTCTTAGTATTCCAATCTTTGTGCGAGATATAGAATAACAATGTCAAGGGATCTGATCAAACAAACACTCACAAATCAAGTCTTCATTCACTAGTCATCACATTTCTAACCAGGCTAATCCAGCTTCTCATAAGTCGTATACTCCTTCACCATTCCCAATCTGAACTCCTTCCCTGCCTTATCAACATATGCCTGTATCTTCCCATTTGGCCGACGAGCTCTCAGCCCATCGACGTTCCAAATCCCATCTTCGTGATACCTCCCATCCTGCCTTTGCTTCAAAATCGTATTCAGACTCTTCGTATTATGCAAACATGTTTGACAATCACATCCCCTCCCCGATGCCTCACACAGCGGCATTCGCTCCGTATCATCTGGTCGATAGGCGGCCTTCGTGTCCAAGTTCATGATAAGATCTACGAGTAAATGCTGCAGACAACGGAATGCTGCATCCCAATAAGGTTTTCTCTTAACTCTTCCTTCGAGCATATCGTCGATCCATTGGCAGAAGAATCCCATGGGTTGTTGGAAATTCTCTTTCCATTCGGAGAGGAATTGATCGTAGCCTTTGACTTCGAGACCGAAACCTCCATCGAGGAGTTCGTTCACGTCGCGTTTGGAGTTGGGGACGATCATTCTTTCGGCAATGATGAGACGCGAGCCGGGCCAGACTCCTACGTTTGCGCCGTCGCCTATGTCATCTCGTCTCTGGTCGAGTTCTTGGTCGATTACGTACATCATGTTTCGGAGGTCTTTGAGTTTTGTGTCGCGAGTGAAGGATAAGTAGCCTGTTTTTGTGCGGAGGATGTTGCAGTAGACCATATACTGTGCCAGTAGATAACAAGTGAAGATTTTGAGGTCGTTGACGCCTTCTTCTGTTGAAACGTGTTGTCGACTAATGGGATACTCGACCAATGCGAAAAGCCGCTGTTGCAAATCGTAGGCTGCGACGAGGAGAGGTTGAGAGTATTTTTCTGTCAAGTTTTCTGCGACTTTTCGTTGCTCGAATTGAATTTTCACGGCTTCGAGTTGTTGGTCCGTTTTGGCTTTGTATTCTGCCATCATGTATTCGTGCTTTTTGTTCATGGCATCGATCCTTTCGGCTTGCTTCTCGGTCTCGCGGCTTAGTTTCGCATTTTGCTTTTGTGTGCGTCCTTGGATGTACCAGCCCCATAGGAGGCTACCGATTGTGCCGACAAGACCGATTGCAGCGACCACGAGGGGGACGATGAGATCTGTGTTCGCCATCCTTTCTCAGGAGGTTGCCGAGCCGAGTAAATGTTTGAGACGTCGAGCACGGATGGCGAGCAGCGTTCAAAGGCGATGAGTCCTCAAACGTAGCTGGGCGAGGACTTCAAGATGAATAGCAGCAAGCCCCAAGATAATAGAATGGCGTAGTCTTGGTGTTCTAGACTCAATAGAGCTCATGCCCGATGAGGTAAGGCTGAGACACTAGCATGTGTCGCGCCAGATCTGGCACCTTTTGAGCACGAACTGCCTCTATAGGAAGTTTTGGTCTGTTTGGTGGTGGCTGGACGTGTCAATGGAAGGTGCTTTGCAGCATATCGGCCGCACCATTCCATGAGGAGAATGTCAACAAAAGGATATTTCAAGCCACCTTTTTCTCGCCCCACTGAGCTGCATACAATGCTTGAAGCTGATAAGAATTTGCTGCGAGCTGCTTGATTTTCAGAGGACGCTTCTCGAGATTCCTGCGAGTAAGCAAGTAAAAGGGCAATGCTAGTGCAGAAAACAACTATGCCGGCTATCAGCTGCTATTCTCTGAAAGAAAGTACTAGGTCGCCTTTATTCACTGCTCCGCTGCCTTTTTGTCACCACAGTATCTGCTTCTCGGAACAGTCTACAGGGTGCCATGGTCAGTGCATGTATAACTTGTGTGAGAGCTTCGATGTTACGTACTGACCTAGTCTATCTCACCTCGCAGGCCGAAGTGCAAACTGAAGACCACCTACTTCCCCTTCGGCATCTGTGACACGAAAGGGCGACCTCTCTTGCATGTTCCCATGTGACTGATACGCCAGCGCCGCGCGCAGAACCTGGGCCAAAGTCCGCCGCCTTCTGCGCTGAGACAAACCAGCCACGAATTGAACGCATGCAACTATGCAGCCCGCTATCGCAACAGCGCCACCGAGTCTTGCTGTCTTTGAGTCAAACCCATACGCCCAGACATAGATGCGTGCTTCAAGCATGATCTCAGAGGAGTCATTGTAGCGCATGGTAGAATTAGTAGTCCATTCTGCTAGTGACAGGGTTTGGTACACAGGCGTGAGCAGCATTGCGCGGGCAGTGTTCCCAAATGTCTTCTCGTTGTAGCCGTGCAGATAGTCTTCAGCTTCTGGTCGGGCATTGTCCATTATTGAATGCCATAGCATTGCGATCGATCTGTTGTGTGGTACGTGACCATTCGTCCAATCTACTCCCCATGCGGCGAATGTCCACGATGGAGGCGTTGGGAAGTTCAAGTAGGAAATGTCGCGTGTAAGATCTGGTACATGTACCAGGGACAACGGATTTGTTTCAGGCCAAGGATCCAGCTCGTAGGTAGTAAAGCCTAGTTGAGCAATATAGTCGATTGCAATTGACACTGTTTCATTATCAAATTTCTTTGAAATGACGGTGGTGTCGACATGATTTGACTGGTTCGTCTCTGACATCCAGTTGAACACCCCGAAGAATTTGGTCCAGTTGCAGGAGACTCCGACGGGAATGGTCGCATTGAGACATGATATTGGGAAGTCTTCCGGGAAGTCGTACGGGATTTCTGCCAGAGTAGAAATGCCTTCCAGCATTTTTGCTACTGTTGCTCTTATATCCGGATGGTAAAAGGCTGCCCTAGATGAGCTGATAACATCTACTAGCAGTGCCGAGGATGCATCATCATCGCCCGCGTCGATGGTGAACTGACGTGAACGATTGAATGATCCCTCATAGTTTTCAGGCCAGCCGTCACCCACTTGTATACACTTGGTAAACAGGTTGTTGTCGAGATACTCCGAGAAGAGGTGCTTGAATGTGACCGTGTAATTTGGAAAACACATCACACTCCGATCTTCGTCAACCTTGACGGTCCAGGGATTGCCTGCCCAAATGATACGGCCTTGCACCAAGGATTACTCCATCTCGTCGTAAACGTAACCCCAGGCTACTGTTGAACACTGCGTATTGTCTGAACATGCTCTCGGAGATGCCGATTTGTGCCGCATCAGCCCCGAGGGATATCTGCTCTACGATGTCCCGATCACGGCTGAGGTGATCGAGCGTTTGACGGTTGGGGACCCAGACAGTCGACTGTCCCATCTCATCAAATGTGCGATTCAGATGAAGAGTCAGTCCACTTTGTTTGGTAGTGGACTTGGTGGTTGATGCGTTGGTGTGAACTATGTCATCTGAAATGTAAGCGCCGATTGTGCTTAGAGTCCAAGAGTCAAGAGTCTGACTCTACTGCGTAGCGTAAGAGTATCGACCAAGCGCAAGGTCATCGATCGAGCAGCCTGAGTCGGAGAGGACGAATGAGGAAGGCCCAAGGTCTCCTTCTCCTTCTCCAATCCTGACATTCGTGTTGATGCTGTAGAAGTACCCCTGTGAAATCCGGTCTGTCTCTACCCATTCCAATGTAGGTAGAATAAGTGTGGCTGTAGCTGGTCCCATGAGGTTGACCAAGATTCCCATGAAGATCGATGCCACAACTACAACTGTCCAGTAGAATTCCGAGAACATGTCTTGATATAGACCACCGTCGAAGACGGCCAGCAGATTTGAAAATTCGATCGGTAACGTAAGATGGCGGACAGGTGACCCATATCGAGATTGCGCTACACGCATTACCATGAGGTACATGAGCGCTGCAGCGATGACACTGAACCAGAGTTCAAGAATCTTCGCAACGTACTGCAGTATATTGTTTAGATTGCGACTCCGTACTGCGAGCGCTGCAATGCTGCTCTGCACCATGCTGGATTGGTTGTTGAAGGCATCCACCCAGCAGTCGTGCTTAGGACACCAGGCACTGGCACCGACGACGTGATGCTTGGCATTGAGAAAGAGCAGGTAAATGATGGGTCCAGTCCAAGCGAGGCAGAAGAACTGCATAGGCAGAATCTTCCACCATGGTCGCCTCGAGGAGCGATTGCGGCGAGCGTGGCGGGGATTCGCCGCCGAGCGTTGAACCGGAAGAGACGTTTTCAGCTCGTGAATTTCTTCTGTCGGTGCCGGTTTGTACTCAGTGCTGACCTGAATGAATTGAGACTTGGATGCTGAAGTCGGCATTCGGCATAGGGGTAACTGAGACATCTCGAGATCTCCCCAGGATGAGTGAGCTCTGTCGGCAAGGATGGCCAGCGAGAGCTTTATCACGCAAAGCATGCCCTGCTTTCTCTTGGGAGGAGAATTGCGACTGGGTGAGTGGCCATATTGCAGGTCTGGACTACTGCACGATCCTACAAGGCTGAGATCAATAGCTTGCGAATCGCATTATCCAATGACCCATTTGGCACTCCAGGTGAGGTGCCCTGCAATTTATTATCTGTATGAGATACGCGCACACAGCAAACCGTACATAAGTCCGGCACAGAATGTTCTCGTCAACGGCTCCTGTCGAGACTGTCAACTGCGGGATGCGATCTAGGTCTGAATAGATCAGACCACTGCTGCAGAAACCATTGGATATCGCTTGTCTTGGGTTTGTCAAGTGGCGTTGCGTTCAGCCTTGTCCGAGGGCGAATAGCAGGCTGCATGAGATCGCCACAATACCTTGGAAACTGCGCAGTCCAGTCGAGACTGCGAGAAACAGCCATGCCAAGTCAAGAGCTTTCCACAACATGTAAGAGCGGCCTGAGTTGAGCCGAGTGCAGCGGTAAAGATCGATTTGAGGCTCTCAGTGCCTCCTGCAGTTGTAGGTGTGTATGTACCGAGGTTGCGATGTCGCATTAGGCTTGCCGGTGCAGTGAGATTGCGCGCCGGAGATTATGATGGGTATGGCGCGCAGCGACATGGCGCAGCTGTGCAATGTGAGCAGTGTGCTGTGTATGGTACGGAGAAACTCTGGTAAGCTCAGTACGAGACGCGACGAGGGTGGAAGTCATATTGCTTGGCCGACCCTTCAGGCATTTGACCATCGCTGCCTTCCCAAGTTTGTTGAAAAGATCTGCTGTTACGGTCTGAGCGCTGGCAGTCGTGGCAGTATAAATCACCTGTCTCAGTGTGAGTTACCTGAACAATTCTATGCAGCGCATACGTCGGATGTCATGTTAGCGACCTCCTGTAAAGTTGCAAGTTACCACTCCTCGGCAGTAGCCTCTCTTTGACTCGACAATGCATAAGTAGGCCAATGGTGCAGCTTCAAACCTTCCAGTAGTGGTTGAGTCTCCTTCGAAGGAGCACCTTCGACCCGTATCTTTGAGATCTGAGGTTCATTGCATGAGCATACTAATCTTCATGCTCGAAATCTTCAGCCGCGGGAGAATGTGGTGTTCGCCATTATGGTGATTTGTTACGAGGCTTGGGCGAACGCATGGTCCAGATGTCTTCAAGAAGTAGCACTGTTGTGTCCCGGGTGTCCCCAGGCCTGCAAGCTCGGCTTTTTTCGGCCATTCTCGTAAGTAGTAGTGATGTGATGAAGACGACGCGAAGCTCTGTACTCAACACGAGTGCGTTCCCTACGCCCCAGATATCGGCTGCTTGGGAGATGCAGTTGCGGAAGCTTGAGATGGGCTTATTGAAATGGCAGCCGTCAGGATGGGAGGGAGGCCGTTGTTCGGGTAAACCTGCGAGCATTTTTCTCCTTGCGGTTATCGGCGCATGCTATCTGCGCAGATGTGCTCGATCTCCTGCGGAGGTCGTTCGAGACGCCGGAAGTGGTGCATACCGAAACCAGAATCGCAAGCGAGCTCCGGCCTCGTGTGCGTGAAGTCGAGCAGCTTCTGTTCCGACAGCAAGGTCTCTGCCTTGCTCATCACGGCACTAACAGGGATCTCCAAAGTGTTCGCAGGTCACGCGAGACCCACTCTTGCATCCTGCTTGGGAAAAGTGGCTTTCACGTGAATATGCATTGTCATGACAACGGCGTGGGCCCCACAATCAACACACGACGTTTCACCCAGCCAGCCATTCGCATTGCGCAAGAGAGGCTGGCAGCGCAGCGTCCCATTCGCCGTACCAGGTGTGCACGCCTGTTGCGCAATACCAACGCTGTGTGCGCGGCTAGCCAGTAACAGCGCAAGCGTCGTCCGAGGGAAGGCTGGTTGAATGGTCCAGGCCGGTGTGGTGACGGCAGCGGTCGGGTTTGTTGATGTGTGTTCGATCCATTTTCAAGGGTCATCGACTGCAGACCTTGAAGCCCTCACTACTGCATTGCGTGCATTGCATGCCACCATCGTTGAATCCCGTACGCCAACCTTGATCGCTCGCACACACCCTCGCTGCGCACTGTTGTTTGTCTAGTCTCACCTCTCACTGCCCGGGCCTCACGACCGCTTTCACGACCCGGGGAAGATCAGTTGCTCGTCACTGACTATTGTACATCACGGATGGGGAGGATGGTGGAGGAGATCATGGTCTAGCCACGAACCGCACTCGACACGACGCCCGCTGCGAACGAACGATTTATGACCTTCCCGACGACCACGAACCGATATTCTTATGAAGAGGCAGTCACTACCGTGGGGCCTGCTGGCTCTGTCGCGTGTAGTTCTGGCCGATGTATCATTACCCTACAATCCGACAAGCGTATTGCGGTCGCGGAATTCGACGACAGCATACATCCTGCGAAGCTCATCACGCAATCCCAATCAGGCGGTACTGCAGAGCATCGACGTCTCCGAAACGGTCTCAGGCAATGACGCCTCACCCTCGACTCTGTCGCAGAGTTTGCCATTTCTGAACGATGAATCGCAAGTGCCGTATCTGCCCATCATCGACGAGTATGGGAACATCACAGTCATTGCAGGAGACTGTGCAGAAGGTGCAGATAGCACAACCATATGGAAGTGGGCTGGGGAATGGAAGAAGCATACCACGACAGCGCAACTCGGCGCATTCGCGAACTTGACAGGCGTCAATTACCTGGGCAATGGTGTGGCATTTTCAGCCGACGTGGGAAACTCAGAAACACAGCTGGAGTTCTTCGTGTTCGGCGGCATGTGTCCAGCAAGTAACAGCACAGCGGCATCATGGCAAAATGATGCTCAGTACTCGCAGTCGATGCTGGTGTACAATGCAGGAGGTGCGACAGGCGGCAATGAGAACACTTACAGCGTCAGCGCGTCGGCCGCTCGAGGACCACCCATCGCTGAAGCTGGTTTCACCATGACTGGCCTGCCACCCACTTACCGAGTCAACGCTACTGGGGCAGCACAGACGCAACAGCAGGACTTCTTGCTGCTGGGTGGGCACACACAAAATGCCTTCCTGAACACTTCACAAGTAGCGCTCTTCTCGCTCCCGCAAAATAGCTGGTCATATCTCCCAGTGCAACAACCTGCACCAGGACGTACGGATCTTGCCGCGCGAGCTTCGGACGTAACTCTCGTCGAGCCTCGCTCCGGACATACGGCGGTATTGTCGGAGGACGGAAGCCAGATCATTGTCATTGGAGGCTGGGTAGGCGACATCACCAACCCAGCTGACCCCCAAGTCGCCTTTCTCAATTTGGGTTCCGAATATGGTGGCGATGATCAGCTGGCTTGGACGTGGACTGTACCGAGTCAGGCAACAGGTGGTATCGCGAAGAACACCGGAATCTACGGGCATGGCGCGACTATGCTCCCCGGTGGAGTGGTTATGATTGTGGGCGGCTTCATAATTCCAGCTCCTGCTTCTTCGAGATTTGCCAAACGGCAAGCGCAGTCCAATGACCAGGTCTTGCTATACAACACGACCTCGAATGCATGGATCAGCTCATATACGAACCCGGTCGGTGCCAGTGAGACAAAGTCCGAAGGCGGAGCTTTGAGCAAGACATCGCAACAAGCAGGCCTCGGGCTCGGGCTCGGACTGGGTGTGCTCGTCCTCGTCATATTGATCCTTGCTTACTTCTGGTATGCGAGACGACTAAAGCAAAAGCGCGAACAGCAAGAGCAAGCGCTCGTTCATTCAGCAGGTGGATCATTCCTCGCACTAGACCAACCGTACCTCGACCATGGAGATGTACATGATCGTCGGCAAGGACCATACGCCGCCATTGATGATGGACCACCGGAGATGCAGCATGCAGCGTCTACAGGATTGTTCGTCAATGTTCCAAGTCCAACAAGAGGTCTTCGAAATGGACTTGCCACACGCCCGTACTCATACCACCAAGCACCCCGATATGACGAGGTGCGCGTCAGCAAAGGGAGCGGCAACATTCATCCCATCCTTGAGCGTCAAGACGAAGACGATCTTGAGCGAGGGGGTAATGTGCGCAACCCATTCTCGGATCCCGCTCATGGACCCGAGCCTGGCCCGTCACACGACAGATTTAGCAACGCTGAGGCAAAGCTTCAGGAGTTACAACGCGTGCTCAATTCTGGTACTGGATATGCTCCCATCAACGATCCATTCAAGGACCCGCACCCAAATCCGCTAGGCAGTAACCCAAACTCACCGCGATCTCCGAACGCTGCAGAAACATTACGAATCGTTCCAGCTTACGTTCCGCGCTCCCATCTTGTGGAACGAAAACCCGTGCCATCAGCCAAAGACCAAAATTGGTTGGTAGTGGAGGACGAAGATGATGAGCCTCCAGCCCCAATGCCTGGACCAGCATCCGGATCGTCTTATTGGAATGGCCGCGCCTCACCTACCAAGAGTGATGACCGGACATCATCCACCTTGAGTGATCGCTCGACCCGATCACATGCTTCCACATCATCCATCACGCGAACAATGTCGACACGCACGGGAGCTCTCCTAGCCGCAGCACTGGCAAGGCGAGAAGCGGAACAAACTCCAGGCACAACACCGATGGAGGGACGAACGGCGACGATGTCCACTACTGAATCGAGTGGAGGGCGAAAATCACCATACTACTTCTATGGAGCTCACACAGAGTCTCAGAGGCAATCAAAACGAAAGTCGAAGAAGCCTGTGTTGGAGCCCATACATAACGCCGACAAATCCACTGAGTCGTTCATGACAGCACATTCATCATTCATTGGGCTCAAACAAGAAGGCAAAGCACTTCTCGGAGGCAGCTCAGTGTCTGACAGAGACGATCCATATCGACGCGCACTGGCAGCCCACGGCCTGGTCGGAAACAAATCCGAAGCAGAAGCTTCCTCATCACCTCATCGCCGACAAGGTTGGATGGGCAGCATTCGTCGAGCTTTAACAACAGCAATGAACGAACGAAGCTTCAGCCTAACAAGTCAACACAAACACTCCCACGAAGAAATGATGGAACCTCGAACTTCCACCTCCTCTCCCACACGCTCCGACCGCGCAGTCCTCGGAATCCAAAGCTCCCCTCGACGAGCGATCTCCGATGGTGGAGCGCTACTAAAACAAAAACGCGGCCAGAAAGACTGGGATACTATCCATCCTTACAAAGATGATCCGGAACTTGAAGGTGACTGGGGAGAAGAAACTCGAACCTCACTCGAAGTCCGCGAAGCAGAGAACGAATGGGATGTTGAAGGTGCGGCTGCTAAACGTGATGTACAAGTCATGTTTACGGTTCCGAAATCGAGATTAAGGGTTGTGAATGCGGATGTTGAGAGGGCTAGTATGCGGTCTGCGTCGGATGGGGCGATTAGTAGGAAGGAGAGTGCGTTGAGTTTGAACTCGAAAAATCAACAACAAGGAGGTGGGAGTTTGATCGGTGGGGGCATGGCCACGAGCTCTACGGCTGGGGTTCTGGGGAGAGGAGGATCGACGAGTACGACGAGGAGTCGGAGTGGTGGGACTTTGGAGTTGAGGGAGACGGAGTCGCAGATGCAGGTGAGGATGAGGGCTTTGTTGAGTTCGGGGAGTAGAGTTGAGGAGAGGGAGAGGGAGAGGATGAGGAAGGCGAGATGATCTTGGCTTCTCTTTTGGATGAGGGAAATTGTATATGATGGTGATCAGGACATTGGCTGATCGATCGATATGGGTGGCTTGATGATGAGAGCTTCGAGGAACGAATTGGTGCCAGGGACAAGAAAAGGGCACAGCACAGAATGATTGTTTAGCGAAAGGTGCTTGGCGTTTTTCAAGACTGTAGAGGTAGCAAGCTTTACTTACCTTACCTTACTTTTGGGACCAGGAGGTTTAAGTCTGCTGGTGTATATATAGATGGGCCATTTGATGACGCTTCTATGGCGATATTCGTACAAAGAGCTCGATCCTCAAGGAAGAGTGATTGTGATCGAATGCCCGACTTCTTGGTGTCGCTATCGTTGAATATTTGACATTCCAGCACGAGAGTTGTCAGAGGCGTCTCCTTGGATCTGCGTCCCTGTCATGTTGCAAGCCGACACATAGATGCAACAGTAGCTCGATGTGATCAATCGATGGTCATTACTGGCCTCAACAAAGCAATAGGACATGACTATGATACTCCAGGAAGCCACATCGCTTCGTCGGTAATGTCCTATCTCCGATTGTGCAATGCACTGGTGGAGATATTATGCACGAGGGAGGAACAGACTGAATGTGAATCTCTCTACACAATAGTGATTACCTACCACTTTAGGAGGTACAACAAGAGGTTTGGGGGAGGCTACTGTGGACCCCCTCTGTAGCCTGCAGGAGGTATCTCCAGCCACGTTCTAGCCCCAAACTTCGGAGAATGGGAGATCTTCGGATTCCGTGCATCTCTGGCCACACACACAATAGCGCGAGGCGGAGCCTCCGCAGTGATGTCAAGCGGCTGTCGTCCATAGTATAGCCAAGACGACGATTCGTATTGTCGGCTCAGGTGGCCGGAGCCCTAAAAGCAGTTTCCAAGCCGGCTGCTGCTGTGTTCGAGTTTCCGGTCGTTCGGGCTCGGTATGCTGTTGTTGGGAGGTGGAAAGGTGTCTCTAGTGTGCGGGCAAATGGTATCCGATGGGATAATGAGCGCCGTGAGGGAGTGTAGTATATATGGTGCATGTAGTCTTGCAGGCATGAAGCTGCAAAGGATCCGTACACAGCTCTCCACGAAATGGCCTCCTCAGGCCTCGAAATCGCACAACATGTGCAACAAAGTCCAGGCCTCGCGATCATCGCCCTGCTGGCCGGAGGTGTTACACTGTACACCTTAGGTCGCATCTTCTACAACCTCTTCCTACATCCCATGCGAGACGTCCCCGGTCCATGGTGGTGGGCAGCTTCGCGAATCCCATTCGACTACCATTCTTTCAACGGCACAGCTCTGCACCGAATACTCGAACTCCACCGACAATATGGCACCGAAGTCCGAATCGCACCCAACGAAGTCAGTCTTGGAGATGGCGCAGTTTGGAAAGAAGTCTGGTCAGCAAAACCAGAATTTCCTAAAGATCCGCAGTTCACCGAGGCGAATTTCGAGCCTGTGAAGAATGTCTTTATGGCAGATAAGGAGGATCATTCTCGGTTTCGAAGATTGTTGGCTTATGCTTTCTCGGCCAAGGGGATTAAGGATCAGGAGCCTAGGTTTATGTATTATATTGATCTTTTGATTCAGCGGCTTCATGAGCATGCTTCGGAAGGAAAGACGTTGGATATGGTTGATTGGTATACCATGACGGTTTTTGATGTGCTCGGTGATCTCACCTGGGGAGAACCGTTCAATGGGCTGAGAGATCAGGTCGTGCATAATTGGGTGGATGTTTCGATGCATGCCACGGAATTCTTCTTCAAGGCTGGCGCTCTGATGAAGCATTACCTTCCTTTCTTGATCCCGATCCTCGCGGACCCGAAGTTGGCTGAGGCGCATAAGCTGAATAGCTTGTATTCTGCTCAGTTGACAGAGCGGCGTGCGGACGCTGGGAATGACGGACCTCGCGGGGACTTCTGGGACAAAGTCTTGATTAAGAGCGGAGAGAACGATAAAGGCGAAGGCATGACGCTGGATGAGATGAAGGTCAATGCTTCGTTCCTGATTCTTGCCGGGGCTGAGACGACTGCCACGACGCTGAGTGGTGCCACATATCTTTTGTGCAAGAACCCCGGAGTTTTGCAAAAGGTGACGCAGGAGGTCCGAACGACTTTTGCGTCCAGCGATGAGATCAACCTGGCTACCGTTGGTCAGCTGACATACATGCACCACGTCCTTCTCGAAGCGATGAGAATGTATCCTCCTGTGGCAGATGGCCTTCCACGCGTGCCTCCTCGTGGTGGAGCAGCAGTCTGCGGAAGATGGTATCCAGAAGGTGTAAGTATGATACGTCCGGGTAATCTCTGATGGCATAAGCTCAACATCGCTGACTTTTGCTTGATTTACAGATCAGTATTCACGCAAATCATTTCGCCATCAACCGTTTACCGGGCAATTTTGTGCGGCCTGACGAGTTCATTCCCGAACGCTGGGCATCTGATGCAACAGACTTCTCCGACGACAAGAAAGCGAGTTTCCAGCCTTTTGCTGCAGGTGTAAGTGAAATAGTGTTTACCAACAAGTCGCTGAACACAAGCTGATATTTTTCTCAGACGAGGAACTGTATCGGACAGAACTTGGCACATGCGGAGATGCGATTGATTCTGTCCAAGATCCTGTTCGATTTCGATCTCGAGCTGAATGAAGACAAGATGGGTGGGAGAGATTGGTTCGCGACACAGAAGAATTTTGGTGTCTGGTTCAAGGATCCTGTTTGGGTGAGGATGAAGGCGAAGGCGAAGGCGGCTGCTTGATGGGTTCAAGATACCGTTGAAGCGATCAAAGGCCCGGGAGCCATTCTTGAGGCCATTGCGTACCACGTCTTTGCGGATTGCGGCAGGCACGTCTCTCTGTCGCCAGCAGCGCTCACAGCGCTCTCGCAGCTCCATGAAAGATCGCAATTTGTACGACCCCGGGACAATGCTGAAGGCGCTTTCGAAGCTCATTTTGAAGAGCTTCGACAGAGGTTTCTTGCACGGCAAACCACGTATACCGGCGTCATGAGTAAGGCGCGACATGAAAATTGAGAGATGAAGTAAGCACGATAGAAGTCGGGCCCGCATGCCTGATTTGGTAGAAGAGCAGCGAGTTCTCCGTCACGAGCTTTTGCCAAACGGAGACCGTCCAATCAAATTTCACGGGTTCCTGATTAACCCAAACCTTCACAGACGACATCATCTGTGCTCGTTTATCCTGCACGCCAGACACGCTCTCTCATCAAGAACAGAAGGTGCATGAAAACAGCGTGCTTGGTCAGGCAACAATGGCCGCGCTCCTTCCACCTCGCTGTGGCACATCCAGCTGCTCTGGAAAGCTAACATCCGGCACTCGTCGGTGACCGTGAATAGAAACACGCCCTGGCCAGCATCACGACAGACGCGAGTGGGTCTGAAGAACTTTCACCTTTCCGCCTTCTCAGACGCTTTCTGGCATCTTCGCTGCGTTAGGGCACGGTCATGGATAAGTCGCCGTTGTTTGCCCATTGCCTTATCTGGCACATGTAGGCCCTCGCTGCACTGCATTGACGCTCGCTGTCAATGCTCGGCAGGCGATAGATCACTTGACTCTTGGGAGCGATACCTGCCCCGAGAAATCTGCTGAAGTATTAAAGCCATTCCGTCCCCACTCACTCGCACAGCAGATCATATACCACTCACCACACGCCAAGATGGCTTCCACAAGCAGAACATTAACCAGAGCTCTTCGCTCACCACCCCCGACCCAAGCGTTTCGATCCTCTGCCTCGAAGCGCAGCGCCCAGCTTTTCCAGCAACAAGCCCGACGTGGCTACTCGAGCGAGGCCCCGAAGGCTGCGAGCAATTGGTACATCTGGGGAGCAGGAGGAGTAGCATTGGGAGTTGGAGGATACTTTGCCGTCCGTGGTACCAAGCAGAGCTCAGATGCCAAGTCGGAGACTGTCTTCACACCTACAAAAGATGACTACCAGAAAGTCTACGATGCGATAGCGGCAAAGATCATTGAGGAGGATGACTATGACGATGGCTCATACGGTCCTGTCCTCCTCCGACTAGGCTGGCACGCAAGTGGCACCTACGACGCAGCGACTGGTACAGGAGGCTCCAACGGCGCCACAATGCGTTTCGCACCCGAACGAGACCACGGAGCCAACGCTGGTCTCACTGTGGCCCAGAAGTTCCTCGAGCCCATCAAGCAGCAATTCCCCTGGATCACCTACTCCGATCTCTGGACCCTTGCCGCAGCCTGTGCTATTCAAGAAATGGGAGGTCCTGACATCCCATGGCGTCCAGGCCGCGCCGACCGCGATGTATCCTTCTGCACACCCGATGGTCGCCTTCCCGACGCCTCCAAAGAACACAACCACCTCCGCGCCATCTTCGGCCGCATGGGCTTCAATGACCAAGAAATCGTCGCTCTGTCTGGCGCTCACGCTCTCGGACGCTGCCACACTGACCGCTCTGGCTTCGACGGTCCTTGGACATTCTCACCTACCACATTGACGAACGACTACTTCAAGTTGCTCTTCGATGAGAAGTGGCAGTGGAAGAAGTGGAATGGGCCGAAGCAGTATGAAGACAAGAAGACCAAGAGCTTGATGATGTTGCCTACAGATTTGGCGATAATCAAGGATAAGGAGTTCCGGAAGTACGCAGAAGTTTATGCTAAGGATCAGGAGGCTTTCTTTAGGGACTTCCAAAAAGTCGTGGTGAAGTTATTTGAACTTGGAGTGCCGTTTGTCAGTGGAGAGGATGCCAGGATAACTTTCAAGAGGACAGAGTAATGCGGGAAAGAAGGGTTTGTGTTTTGGCGTCTGCCGCTGGGATGAAATCACCATCTGGGGAGCAAATGACAGTGTGTGCTGGAGTGTGTACCTTCGAATCGATTATGATACCAATACTAGCATAGAATAGCGCTGCTAGAGCAATAGAATTTCTGAAGATTGCAACTTTGCATCAAGCAGTGTTGATACTTTCGCTGCGCAGTTCGCGAGTTCACGACGCGTTCCATCCTGTCAGATCGATTCTCTGCGTCGCCGCCATATCGCGTCTTTTTGAGCCGAATACCCAGAGCTTGCAGCTATTGCTGCAGTACCGGCATCATCGACTTGAATCATCGAAAAAAGCTAAGAATGTAGACCAAACTCGATATAGTACACTACGACCTACAGCTCTATCATCTACCAATTGGGTATCTACACATCTACAGTTTACGCCAAAATTTCCTTGATGGCCTCAATCTGCTCCAGCACAGCGCTCCTGCTGGTGCCGCCCTTTGCCGAGCGAGCCTCAACACTAGCTTGATAGTTGAACACTTCCAAAACATCTTTCTCGAATCGGCCATCTACGCCTTGTAGCTGCTCAAACGTGAGCTTATCCATCGGCACGCGCTCATTCTCTGCGAGCTGCACCACGCGTCCTGAGATGTGGTGCGTCTCGCGGAAGGGGACACCTTTTCGCACGAGGTAGTCTGCCAGATCAGTAGCGAGCATGTCGGGAGATAGTGACCGAAGCATGTTCTCGGGGAAGATGGAAAGGGTCGAGAGGACACCAGTGGCGATTTGGATGCTGTCGCCAACGGTCTTGACATGATCCAGAAGTGGTTCGACAGATTCTTGTAAGTCCTTGTTGTATGTCGAGGGAATGCCCTTCACACTCATCATGAGACCTGTCATCTGGCCAAATGCCCTGCCGCTCTTGCCTCGGATCAGCTCCAGCGAGTCGGGGTTCTTCTTCTGTGGCATCAAGCTTGAGCCGGTGGAGTACGTGTCCGCCAACTTGACAAATGCGAACTCTCCAGTCGAGTAAATGATCAAATCTTCCGCCCATCGAGAGAGATGTGTCATCAACATACTTCCCCACTGCATTGTCTCAATCACAAAATCACGATCTCCCACACCAGCCATGGAGTTCATGATCAATCCATCAAAGCCCAGCTCCTCGGCCATGGCATCACGATCAATCGCAAAAGGGTTTCCTGCCAGAGCACCACATCCGAGAGGAGACTTGTTGATCCTCTGCCTCACCTCCCTCAATCTCTGCAAATCACTCGCAAAGTAGTGTCCGTAAAGCAACATCCAATGACTCCACCTGATGGGCTGCGCGCGCTGCAGATGCGTATATCCGGGCATGACATGATCAATCTCTTTCTCTGCCCTCGCAGCGATAACCTTCAGAAATGCGACCAAGTACTCTTCCAGCTGCGAAAGCTGGTCCCTCAGCCACAGCCTCATATCAGTCGCAACCTGATCATTTCGACTACGTCCCGTGTGGAGCTTCCCCGCGATATTCGTGCCGATAATCTCGCCCAATCGTCGCTCGTTCGCAGTGTGGATATCTTCATCGACGCCAGGCACGATTTTGAACGTGCCATCTTCCCACTCTTGCTGGACTTGTTTGAAGCCTTTCTCAATCGCGGAGAATTCTTCTGGTGTGAGAAGTCCAGACTTTGTATTTGCGCGAGCGAAAGCGACGCTGCCGCGGATGTCTTGAGAGTAGAAGGCGCGGTCGAAGTAGATGGATTCGTTGTATTGGGTCATGATGGGGTCGGTGCCGCCAGTGAAGCGGCCGCCCCAGAGCTTGCCAGCGGCGGGTGTGGAGTCTTTGGACATGGTGGGCAGCGAGGTCTTGGACATGAGTTAGACGGTCTTGAGTGGCTGAAGTATGAAGAGGGAGGATTTCGCGACTGGGGAGTCATCTCAACTTTTTCCCCAGAACTGACTCCAATGGCTGGCAAGGGCTCGCTATCGATAACCTGAGCTCCTGCAAGGTTTCAGCTAGTACGGATTTGGTCGAAGCTCATCTTGGCAGACGCAGGATGCCTTCACTTCATCCCACTAACAGCTGCCTCGCATCCGCCTTTCATGTGATAGTGCAACTTCATCTCAAGCCTTGATAGGCTTCAAAAGAGCCAAAATGTCCGCCGGCCCCACGAACCTCTGGCATCGCCGCCTGGTCAAAGATACCGACGCCAAAGCCTGCTGGATCTGCTACAAACCCACACCCACCGTGCTCTCGACCCCAGACAATTCCGACTGGTTCTACATTTGCCCAGGCCATCTCACAGATCCTAAATTCGCCATTTCAAAAGATGCCGAAGATCTCGCCAAGAAGGCCAAAGACGCCGAAATCGAGAAGGAAATTGAAGCTGTGAAGAAGGAATTCCAAGAGAAGATGAAGAAGAAGATGGATCGACAGCGAATCAAAGAGTGGGAGAAGGAAGGGAAGAATGTTAAGGAAGAACAGAAGAAACTGGATGAGGCGGACGAAAAGACGCTGAAAGAGGAGGAGGAGAAAAAGTTGAAGGAGTTGGAAGCAAAGAAGAGTGAGGCCGGGAAGGCTACCGTCACGGTTGAAGGACCGAGGATATTTGAGTTGAATAAGAACTTCTGGAATATGAGGTTGCAGAAGAAGGCGCAGGCTGCGGCAGCGAAGAGGCAGGCTGAAAGACTGAGGACACCGGGCTTCTTTCCTAGTGTTCCACAAGGACCATGAAGAAGAATGAGACCTGTCGGAGATATTGGTCTGCAAGGTTATTTAGCTGCTGGACTTGTTGCTGGATCTCTAGCAAAGCTCCAGTGCGCAACATGATGAGGCATGTCCACGGAGCGCCATCGCTGACAAACAAAGCGGCTCCACTTTCCCAAATGCGGACATTGGAAGTATGGCGGCTTTGTCTTCAGCCACCTGGATTCTCATCACAGCTACAAGATACTGACTCGATCTGAGAATGCATACACGAGGATAAGTGAACACTCGAGTCGAAGTCACGAGTGGGAGACAGAATATTTATTCACTGGCTCCGCATCCGGTCACTTCACACAAAGACGCGTCGTGGCACATATGATACAACGAGGACCCAGATCTGTTCTATCTAGTAATATCACAGTCAACATGGTGCCGCGTAAACGCAAATCCAAGAGTACAGCTCCCGCTGTGCCACCTGCGAAGAAGTCGAAGAAGTCGAAGCGGGAGCCAGCGCCGAAGCCATACCCCGCTGTCATGAGCTTACCCCAGGAAGTCTGGGACAACATCCTTAAGTACCTCTGGTCTCGTGATGAAGCGAAGTACCCAGCCTGGATCGAAAGCCATTGGATTAAAGATTTTCGTCGAGTCAACAGAACGTTCAGAGACGCAGCCGACGATGCATTTGTCAAGAAATATATCGAGAACCTCCGCGTCTACCTCATTGCGAGCGACGTTCGAAAAGTATTCGATGGACTGGAGCTTATTGGCCCAAAAAATGGCCGACCAATCGAAAGCTACATCAAAGGTCTCAGATTCGCCGACCATCGACGAACCTCCGGATCCATTCGTTCCGGCCCATTAGCGACACCCCTCAACCCAACAGAACTGGTTGCACTGCGTACAGAGCTGATGAATCTGATCGCTCACATCCCACAAGTACAACACGTGCTGTGCAAAGCGGTTGACGTAGGCCCGCCCCGTGTGCTTACGCCAAACGCAGGTGTCACAGTCATTCTCCAGCTATTATCCCACAACCCGAACATCAGCTTGACCTCTATCACACTGAAAGAATGCGAACTCGACTTCAATACACTGCGTCCGTTCCTCGCATCACACAGCAGGCTGCAATCCCTCAAGATCTCTCGGGTCAATCTTCGCAATGGCTCTTGGGGGAGTCTCTTCGCCTCTTGGCGTGATTCGGCGCCGGATTTGTCGCGACTTGAGTTGTTTGTACTTGCGGATTCGAATTCGTCGTGGGGGATATCTCCCCCGCTCGCCGGCGACTGGTCTAGCTACACCGGCAGCAATCCAATTCGGGCTTTTCGCAATCCGGCGGCGACGGTTCCGAAGAAGCAGGTGGAGAGCTATCATCTGGCGTCTGGTAAAGTAGTGTGCAAGGGAAGGTTCGCGGTCATTTTGGGGACGAACGCGATCTTGGGGGACAAGGGGAGTACGCTGTTTGATCCGGCGATTACGGTTGCTGCGTTCAAGGAGAGAGGCCTGCTGTTGTGAACTCGTGGGCTGCAGTGGCCAGTGCAGCAGTGAGTTTTGTAGCGAGCAGCTGTGTGCCTTGGCTGCATGTGACGTTCTAGGGTTTGCTTCAATTGCGCGGGCACTAGCGTCCGTATGTGGCTGCATGTGATGGGACCAAATCTTCGTTTATTGTTTATCCACTTCAATCTGATCCCAAGCCAACTTGAGAGTACAACACTTTACCTATCTGGCCCTCGGGCACATTCACATTGTCATCACGACTCGAACGCAGCTCACAACATGGCCGAGTCCAAGGGAGCCGATCAAGATGTTACCAGCAGCCGACTTGTCGTCGCCCATCAGGTCGTCGCTGATCAAGTCGTCACTGTTGGTCAGGTCGCAGCCGTGAAAGACACCACCGAGGATGAGAACAAGCAGGCGAATTATCTGGAGACACTACCAGGCGAACTGATCGGCATTGTCGCCTCGCATACAGACATCCTCGACAATGCCGCGTGCCCGATAGAAGCGTCGATCCACAAAAAGAAGAGCACAGCCTTACACGCACTGCGCCTCACATGCAAGGCACTCTTCAGGGGCTCGGAGGACGAGTGGAACCGTCGACACACGCAGAATATGGTGGTGAGACTCGCTCCTGGAGCCATGCATGCCATCATGAGCTTTTCCTGGTCTCCCAAATGTTTCGCACGAGTGGCGAAAGTGGATTTCTTCCCACCAAAAACCGCGAAGCTGCAGACTGACTTCATGGTTGGTGCCCATGCCACGGACTTCGGCCTTCTGCTGGAGGGCTTCTTGCGAAAACTCTCATGTCTACAGTCGGTCGAAGTGCACGACATGTGGCCCCCATTTGGCATAAAGCAAGGAACGTCGCCATCGCTTGAGGTCTCATTGTTGCTTCGTACTCTGGAGACAATTGAACCACCGAAACTCAAGCGCATTGTGCTGGGCAGCTTGGTTCATTCAACCTCGTCCATCAAGCTGTTCCTGCGAGCTATGGGACAAAATCTGCGCTGTCTCAGCATTCAAGAGGTTGACATCTGTTCCGGAACTGTGAATCCCATGCTCGCTTGCATCCGGGATGATCTGCAGCTGAACGAGCTATACTTGGGAGCTCTACGCCATACTGAGGCAAACAGACACGTATGGTTTCTCGATGCCGGACACATAGCATCAGCGCGCGAGCACAAGTGGTTTCGTGGTACCTTGAGTAGAAAGCTCGAACGCTACTCGATCGCCTGGCGGAGGCTGGAAGCCATCGGCGAGGGCGCAGTCAAGCTAGCTCTGAACAGAGTGCTGCAGCGTTCGGAGAGTAACTTGTACGATGCTAGCATGACCAAAGAATCTTTGGGCTTCTAGAGGAGCCGACATGCGACACATTTATTGCCTTGTGGCTTCGTGGAAAGTTGGAAGGGAAGCTCGAGCATTATACCCTAGGCTGGAACACAGTGGACGCCAAAGACGAATACGCGGGCAAACTGGCTCTGAAAAGGATCCTGCAGCTTGAAGGAGACGACCTATACGATGCGGGCATTTTGGGGACGATGCGATCTTAGGGGTAAAGGGTAGTATGGTGTTCGATCCAGCGATTACGGTTGCTGCGTTTGAGGAGAGGTGTTTGCCATCCTGAGACATGATTCTGGAGTGCGTGGTGGGAAGAGCTTTGACTCGTTGTTCGTCATGTCTGCTTACCAAAAGTTGCAGCAAACTTCACTGACGTAAAGCATCATCACATAATTCCGCCAGACTCGTTCACTGTTCACTCGACTTGACCATTATTCACTTGCGATCAGCACTTTACTCACCAGCGTTTTACGTATATCCCATCCATTTTCACACCTCAACCCAGTTCGAGACTATACATAAACTTGCTGCAGATCCCAACCTTAACACCACTGCCGCACAACACTGTCCCACTGACACCACTTCCCATCCTTTCCTAGTTGTCAGGCTACACGCGATGGCAAAATCGAAGAACAAGGGCCGCCGCGCCAACCCCGCAAGCATTACTACCGTGCAGCGCCAGCAGACCATCTTTCTCGACGCATTACCATGCGAAGTGATTGGAATGATCGCTTCGCAAATGAGCTACGCAAAAGAACCAAGTTGGAGATATGAAGTCGAGAAGAAAGGGGATAAGGAGGAGAACGCAGGGCTGAGCGCATTTCGGCTTACGTGTAAGACGCTCAACGATAGCTCGCAGTACGAGTGGGCACGTCGCCACACGACGTCTATTGTGGTGAGACTTTCGACTGCTGACATTCAGCTCACGACGAGCGTTCTTGCGAACTCTGGACGTTTCGCGAAGGTTAAATCTGTGAACTTCGTCGGACCAAAGACAGAAGACCTTCCTGATGGCGGCTCCTTCACAGTGAAACACACAACGGAGTTGCGGCTCTCACTAGAAGGCTTCGTTCGCAAGCTATCCAATATTGAAGCCGTTGAAGTGAACGCTCTTCAAAACGTCTATTCGGCGTCTGCACCATCTCCTCGAGGTTCCTCGCTGTTGGGTACTCTAGAGGATGTGAACCCAAGCAAGCTCCAACGCTTGCAGCTCAGCGACGGCGTCTATTCAGCGGCGACGGTCCATTCGCTGCTGGGAGAACTCAAAGCAAATCTGCGTTTCTTCAAGGTCGACAGGTTCGAAATCTGCGACGGCAATGCACACTCGACACTGGCGTTCGTGCGGGACGAGCTTCTTCTAGATGAGCTACAAATGACCGCGGTTCGCTCGGTCGTTGATTCGGAGAAATACACGCTGCTTCATGACCAGTTCGACATGGGAGGTCGCGAGTCCAAGTGGCTTCGTAACAGGGCGACTGGAAACTTTGAGCGCTACACCATTGGCAACTGCTGGTTCCAAGCCCAGGGCAAAGGTGCGATCAAATTGGCACTCAATCGAATCCTGGAGCTCGAAGGCAGCGACCTGTACGATCCTAGCTTGACCAAAGGATCTTTGGGCTTTTAAGTTGGTGCGCAGGAGTCACACCTCTTGTCGAGCTTTCGCGGAGGCTAGGCTGTTGTCACATGAACGAGATCGTAGCATGGAAGATGGTGTGACCGGGATGATGAAGGAGTGCATGATTGAGCATTGATGGAGATTTGAGAGCGACTGCCATGTGGTCAGAAGAGCAACTTGTGCGATCAGAGTAGTTGTATTCAAGCAGAGGAGATTGCTCATGCAACAAAATGTAGTGGCACCATCGAATAAAGAGCCTCATTTCTTGCTACCTGGACGTGTCCTGAATCCACACCAGTGTCTCGCAGTGGCATTATGGTCTCTCATATCCCTGAGCATAGATAATATGAGTTTCTGCAAGAAATGCGGAGCGAAGTATTGCAATCTGCTTGTGCCTCTTTCCAACCCGCGAGCTACCAACCAGTCTTGGTGGGAATCGGGCAAAAAGCTGGTATCTGTAAGAAGCTGGCGTCGACCACAGACTTCGAGATCATGGAAGAGCTGTCAAGATGCTACATGTGCAGACGACTGTCTGCGTAGGATTGCCCTTGTATTATCCCTGAATAGCCATGAACCATTTGCAACAACCCAGCTCTGCTGAAGCTGTGGCCCTGAGGACCCGTTGATCCCTCCATAACCTAGCCATTTCCAAAGCCTACTGAGCGTCCTTCGTCGTTGATAGATCGATTAACAAGTGTCTCGCGTATAGAGGCCGATCTTCGGGCTGCGTCACTTGGTAGTTCTAGGTCGATTCGTGGACCTCAGTATCGTCGTAGGTTTCTTTGAAGGACTTTAGCGTTTCGTACAAGTATCATTCTGCACTATGTGTGCTGTGGGCGAGAAGCTCGAGCGTCGTCGTTGGCTGTTCGACAAAGTCTTACCTGGTAAGTCTCGTGGCGGCGCTGGAATAAGTCAATCGCCGGCCTTGCTTAGCAATTTGCTCCGTTTCCAACTGTCGAATTCTCAAGCTCTCTGCTTTTTGAGACAAATCAACCATTACATCCAGTCCTCGCCGACCTCAGCGCAACGATACGAGATGGACGAGGCTCAAGGCGCAAATAACGGTCCAATGGACCGTCACGACAACACCCGCGTCCCAAAGCCCTACCTCCAACGCCTCCCGGCAGAGATCATCGCCCAAATCGCAACAGAGGTGCACCGCTCGGTCTACGCAGAGGTAGTCTGGAGAGATCCAGGGAATGAGAAAGCGGGCTTTAGCCTTCTTGAGAAGAAACGCTTGGATCTGCTCAGTCTGCGAAGAACATGCCGGCACATTCGCCGGTCCAGTCAAGACGTGTTCGACCAGGCTTTCTTAAGGATCGCGAAGGTTCCACTCAGCGCTGTCGAGATCGATCGAGTGTTGAGCGTGTTTGGTCCTGTTAGAGCTCTGGACAAGATCATCGCCGTCGAGCTCATCCCTCAGGCTACGCTACACGAGGATAAGCGAGTTTTGCACAACAAACTCCAAGCTTTCATCGCCAGCACCACTTCCATCAAGGGTTTGAAGGTCTACAGGCCTTTCCGCGACCTTGGGAACTGCCCTGTCGTGACTCCCGAAGTCTCGGGTCTACTCCAAGGAGTGACAAGCATACCAGCGCGTCTCACCAGCCTGTATCTGGCCTATTGTGCATTCGATGAGGAAGCAGATGTCAACATCTTGCTAGGGAGCTGCGCTGCTACCCTGAACTTCCTTCGTCTGACCACTGTGCGGCTTGAGAATGGTACCTGGGAAGAAACCCTGGCCAACCTCCGCGATTACACTGCGCTGTACACTCTCGAACTTTCAGAGTTGCAACAGTTCCATCACAGAGAAACAGGACGTCTGACCTATTTCGAGCGCGGTAGAAGCATTGCAGCAACGGGAGAGCTTGAGACTTATGGGATTGCCGGATCTTGCGCTTCCGCCAAGGGAAAGGGTGCAGCCCGATTTGTTCTGAACAGAATGCTGGGTCGTGCGAACAGTCCCCTGTACGATCCGAACATAGTGGAAAGGCTCTGAGCACATAGGTCCCTATCTGCAAGTGGAGGAAGGAGGGGTGATACGGCTGGGCATAAGGACGCGCTGCGGTGGTGTGTTCTTGCGCTGGAGGATCGACGGCCGCCACCGTCGAGGTTGGGCCGCAGTAGTCTGCCACGAGCCTGTACGCGTAAGTAAAGGTCTTTGAATACAAGTATGAACCCCGACCCAGTGCGTCTATGATGTCCGAGCTGCCAGTGGTTCGCTTGTATGGTTGAGATGGTCAGACAAGTGCTGCCTTCCTCACAAGCCGGCCAACGTAACAAGTTGCTTCCGTAAGCAGTCGCGCGGACAGCGTGGCTTCCAATCACCAACTCTGACTTCCTTGATGTCATTGCATGTGCATCTGACACTCCACATATCGTGAACACCTACTCCGCTTTGACACGCCACGGAACAGAGACATAGGACAACGCACTACCACGCGACGAACAACCTTAAATTGCGACGAAGTAGTGCCGCGACCACCACCTTCTAGAGCGAGCCACGGGCTTGAGAAGGAGATGGGGCAATTGGCACATGAACGACATCATGCATCAGAACGATATCGATTGGGAGAACGGACGGCTCTTCCATGTGGATCATCATTGATGAACATTGCGAGAGGATGTGGCATGGTCACAAGAGAAAGGTACGATCACGGCGACCTTGCAGAGTTGAAGGGCATGACTTTTTCGAGACATTGTCTCGAATAGAGCAATACATTAAAGTCCTTGTCTCGTCTTTGCTTACGACAGATAGTAGCAAACTCCAACCTTGCAAAAAGTACCTTCACAGTGCATTCACTCGCTCTCGATACTTTCACTCCACTTCACGTGCATTCACTGGTGAACAGCATTATACTTGTTATCATGTTACATATAGTTCGACCTTCGTCCATACCTCCACTATACTTAATACCATACCATACACCTGCTGCCGCGCAACTCAACTCGATCGCACATTCCATACAACTGCTGCGGCGCAACTTGACTCGAAAGCACATTCACACCACGGTCTCTCATCGACACGTCGCACCGAATTGCACACTGCACCCGTCGAAATGGCAAACACTCCCATGAGTCGCCACGACGTGGAGGCGCCAAACAGCGCCACAGACCAGAACAAGAACAAGAACTATTTTCAGAGACTTCCAATCGAGCTTGTCGCTAGCATCGCCAGACACGTCGACGATCATCCTGATTCCCGCGAATGCAAACAGAAGTGCGCATCGCTGCACGCATTGCGTTTGACTTGCAAGCATCTATACGACAGTTCGCAGGATCAGTGGGCCCGTCGCCATTTGAGTAGCCTGAAAGTACCAATCACCAGGGAGGCTATTGAGCACATCTCCAGTGTACTGGCGCCTGCTGGGCTCCTCGGTAGAGTGAAGCAGTTGACACTCTTGGGGCTCCCGCCTATGAGACGTGAGATGCATACTATGGCTGCGGATTAAGTGGACAGTCTCTACGTCTTGCTGAGAACTTTTGCACAACAGCTGTCAGGTGTCGAGTCTATCAATATTCAGGACGCTGGCGCTCGCCGTCACGATATTTCGCCTTCCTGCGAAGCTGCACTGACACCTCGTGTATTGGCTGAGACCAATCTGCCAAGGGTCAACGAGATCGAAATCATCACCGGCGACTTCTCCAGCGATCTAATTGCGTCAGTTCTCAGCACACACAAGTCCAGCTTGCGTTCCCTGGAAATCGATACGATCACGATCAATGACAAGGACGTCGACAAAGTGCTTGCACTCATTCGCGACGAGCTTCAACTGGTTCGAGTCTGGCTGATGCACTTGTCCATTGGCACGCCCTCTCGCCCAGTGGAGGCGTTCGCTGGATCCCGACCACCGTGGGCAGCACTCCCGCGCGAGGATGGATGCTTTCGTGGAAAGGAGGTCCGAAAGATTGAATCTTACAGTGTGAAGGACTACTCAGTCACAGCTAGCGGCCGGGATGCAATTAAACTTGCTATCAACAAAGTGTTCGAGCGTCGTGGCAGCAATGTGTTTGATGTCAGCATGACGAGGGAGTCATTGGGTGTTTAAAGCGCATCTCCGATCGAAGCATGGCGAATAGGGCGACTGATGGAGGAGACCACTGCACATAACGTCAAACCATGGCACATTCTGAGACTCGACGGATATTCGTTGAGTTTCAAGACTTACTCGTAGGGAGCCATACCAGAGCAGTTAAACGCTCAAGACAAATGGGGTTACGTTATCTTCGTGGAAGCCTTTCGACGACATCTCAGCAACTAAACCTGAATGCCAGCTGACCAGGCGTATGAAGACTTGCGCACAGAAGCCATGGCATGCGCAGAAACAGGATTCCGTGGCGACATTACATCCAAGACTGCGTTCGTGGAGTGCAAGCGATGTCTCCAAGCTTGTGTGGCGAGCGAGGATATCGTGTTAGTTTTCGATGTCGAGACAGAAGTTCCTTTGGCAGAAGGAGACTGCTGCAGGCGGAAAGTATTGCTGTAGTGTCTGCGCTACCTGACTGTCCGAAATAAAATCTCTGTAGCAAACCTCAAATGAAGAATGAAAAACTGTTTTTTCTTGTCAGCGCGTAACAGTGCGTGTACTGAAAAGTAGCCAAAGTGCTCCTGCGTCTGTCGGGTTCCTCGAGCTGACTGGCTCGAAATTCTTGGCACGCGTCCGGTCTGGAGTAGTAAGGTCATCTTGTAGCATTTGTCGGGATAATGAGTGTCGTTGATTCATTCTGTATGTTGGAGCGCCTCGAGCAAGCTGACTAGCGCTGCCTTGTTCTTCGTCCCTTGTGAAAAGTTGTTCCCATGTGCAGTCGCGCGCCACTGCGACTTCCAACAACCATCGCCTACTTGCCTGCTGTACTGCAGGTATCGTATCTCCGGTGCGTGCGTTGAGCATCGCGAACACCGACTACTCACCAGCATACTCCGGAAGAGAGTCGCAGAGCATCGCGGCACGATACGATAGACGAGGACGGAGCGAGAAGGAGACAGATTATGCGGCCTGGTCTACCACTTCGCCACCAGCATCACAAACGGAGCCTCCCGACCTATACTCATTCAGTCGACTCGAGCGCCAGACTCAGTCGACCACCATCCCAACATCCTGCTTTGGCGTGTGGATCGACGGCCTGGCTGAGCGAGCGGCGCACTAAGAGCCAACGACGATACCCGATCAGAACCGTGCCTACAATGCCGCTCGACAGAGATGTTTGCACATGCAAGAACGAGAACTGGATGTTTTGCGAGTGAGGAGAGGGGTTTCCAAAAGATTGATGAGGCGACAAGGCTGGAGGCAAGGGACACCGACCAATGATAGCAGTGTGCATTCAGAAGAGCCAGCTCCTCCCACGAAGCCCGCAGAGTGATAAAGAGCGCCTTTCAAAGACGATCAGGGTCTTTCATGTCACCATAACAGCAAGAGCATTGTATGGTCCTCTCGATAACACAATGCGGAACATGTTCAAGGGCTCGTGGCCGACTCGAGCAGCGACACACTGTGATTTGCATCGGGCGCTCTCAGCTGAAGTTTGTACCGCACGCACCGCCGCTTCGACGGCCTTGCACAATACAAGCACTCTGGAAAGCCTACACGAGAAGGCATTCTGGAGTAGATCTTGGTGCAGCGGCCGGTGCAACGTGGCCGGAAGCCCGATGGAGGCACTCGTTCACCTGCTTCCGAGTGCCATCCATGGCGAATGGTGCCTTTGACACAGCTACGGTGGGTCTGGACGTCTTGAAAAAGGCCCTTGAATGTCTTTCGCTACTTCTGCTCTGTCACGATGGCGTTGTTGCTGGAATTGGTGTGTGCACTAGGGTTACAAGGCGATAGGGTTACGTGGGCAAGAAGTCGTGGGACGAAGGCGAGGAGGTGACCGATGGACAGTCCGCTCCAAGAACATATCAGTGAGGCTGTTGTAGTCATAAGCAAATGTTTTTGGTGTCGTTGATGTCGTGCGCTCTGTGGTCGTGCCAGAATCGCGAATCTGTCGATTTGTCCCAAATGTTGATATTCGTAGATCTACAAATCTTACACGTTTATCATTGCTGTGCTTTGCTGCCACTCGACGCAAATGCCCATCATGATGTCGAAAGTAAAGAACTCGAGCTAGATATCGCTGTCACCGTCCCACTGCATTCTCTCGCAATGAATGCCATCTCTTGCTGCGGGCTGATAGTCTAACCATTTCTCCACGCAGCGCTCACCTTTGACTTGGCGTTTCAGCCCATCGCGTGCTCGATAGTATGATCCCAGCCGGCTCAGTCCAGTCTCATCTCCCTTCTACATCTCTGCTGCCAGTGCTGTTCCCGATCTCTCCTCCCCTTGCCCCTGAGATTGCTGACTAATTGTGACTGTCCTCGAGCCCGTCGCGTTGTGCCAAGAGTGCCTCAAAACGCGTCTGCTGAGTGGTATGCCTCGAGCCCGGCGTTCTTCATGGGAGTATGTCCGCCTCGATCACCGTTCGTGAGACGTTCATCGCGGATAGGTGGCCCAGGGAGCGAGGGGAGTCGTAGGGAGGCGCGTTGGCTCGGTCGGCGGCACAGGGGGCAGAGATAGCGCCGTTCCAGAACAAGTTCCTCATCGTTGGTAAGTGACAGATAGAGCTGTCCGGACTGCTTCTTGATTCGCGTGAGACCGTGAAGTCGGCGCCGATGCGTCGGTGAGTGCATATCGCGGTGTAGTGCTACGTGGAGATCGCGACGCGTCGCTCTGAACGCGCGAAGCGCCTCCTTGAGGCCCGTCTCGTCTCAGGGCGGCGGCGCTTGTTCTGTTCCTGTAGAGTAGCCGTAGATCATGATGAGTGGTGTTCATCACGTAGGCGCGTGCTTTTGTCGCGCTGCAGTGGCTCTCATGATAGAAGACGCGTCAATTCGGGCGGAGAACGCGTCCTGGAGACACGCCGACGGAGACAGAGAGCGTAGCAGGAGCAGCTGGTCCACTCGAAATGAGTGGCAGGAGATGAAGGCCTGCAGGTGCGATGTATTCACGCGTTTGGCGTGGCGAA